GCGCTGCGTCCCGCCACCTGCAGGCCCTGAGCGGGCTCCAGCTCCCCGGGCCCCCCCCCCCGCCCTCCAGCCCTGCTGCTCGGGATGCCACCCCGCCTCCCCCTCGCCTCAGGGCGCTCACTCGCCGCCCCCCTGGCCTCAGCCGCTGACCCCGGCCTCCAGGTCCCCGGGCAGGCGCCCGCCCGGCCTCTCCTGGCCTCCGGGTCCCCACGCTCCTTACCCAGGGGTTCCCCGAACCCCCCCCCAAAGCTCCGCGGCCTGCCGTCTGCCCCCATTTATTTCTGTGTTTGTTGGCACCCGGCCCTGCGGCAGCAGAGGTGAGGGGTCCCCGGGGGGCCAGGCCCCTGCGCCCCAGCATTCCCAGCACTCAGTGGCCAGCAGGGCCCCCCTCCCGAGGGGCGTTCAGAGCGAAGTCGCCGAGGGGCAGCGAGGGCCACAGCGGGGAGAACTCGGGCAACACGAGGATTCCGGTCTGGCAGCTGTTTTATAGGCGGGAAGAATTAAAGGGAAATGAACCCCGCTGGGCACAGGTGCTGCGCTTACACCGCCGACCACCGGGGAGACCGAGGCAGCACAACCTCGAGTTTAAGGCCAGCTGGGACCACTGAGTCAGGTCTCCAGCTTCAAAGTGCTGGGGGCAGAGCGCAGACCTGACTGGCATGTGGCCCAGGGTGGGGTACTACACCTCATAAAATGGGGCCAGATGCTTGTTCCAGAAAGTTCCAGAAAGTTCTAGAAAGGGGGCTGGGTGCTTTTTCCAGAAAGTTCCAGAAAGATCCAGAAAGGGGGCAAGGTGCTTGTTCCAGAAAGTTCCAGAAAGGGGGCCAGGTGCTTTTTCCAGAAAGTTCTGAGGCAGGCATAACTAATCGACCTGCTTGAACCGAAGGTGGATTGATCAGTCATCGCCTTTAGAGGCAGCTGGAAGTGGGGAGGATCGGATTGCAGTGCAGGGGGTGTCAGCCCGGGAGAGCAGTTTTGACTCCGCTTTCCCAGTGTGGGTCACACTTTAAAATAGAACATCATTCAAGAGAGGGCTGGGGACCAGCATGGTGGTGTGCACGCCTGTGAACCCAGCACTCAGGCAGCTGAGGCAGGAGGATCGCCTGAAGTGACAGGCCAGCCTGGGCTGCCAGGATAAATAACTTAATTAAACACAGAAGCCGTCCAGTCCCCTGGGCCCTGCGGTCAGCCACTGCCCACTGGGCAGCCTGGGCAGCCGACGAGGCCTTCACTCCGGTGCCGGGGGCCTGGACTGAGCCCCACAGGGGTCCCCACAGTCCCTGTGGGAAGTGATGGGGCGGAGAGATGGGAGTGAGAACAGCGAGAGTCTCCGGGTTGCTCGGTCTGTTGTCTTCAGTGTGTCTGTCTGTCCCTCCGTCCCTGTTGAATCTGGGGTCAGGGTTTCTCTGCTGCTGTGTCAGGGCTGGGCGTGGGGATGAAACTCCCAGCCCCTGCCCGCCGGAAGCTGCTTGGCTCCGGGGAACAGGGAGGTAGGGTCGGGGTCGGGGGTCCGCCCTCCTGGTCCCCTGCCAGGGCGCCCCCTCTGGCCACACCTGTTACCCATCAGAAGCCCCGCTGTGGGCATGCGGGGATTTGGGGAAGAGTCCAGGTGTCCCGGGGCGGCCCTGGGGGCAGGAGAAGGGGCCCTTGCTGGGTGGGGCCGGGGCAGTCACCTGCCTGGGACTCTGCCGCCTGAGCCCCACTGCGTTAGGGGGCCATGTGAAGCACTGGTTCCTGAGCTCCCATCTCAGGACTTGGGACCAGAATCGCTAAGAGGCAAGAAGCTCATCCAGCCGAGGGTCAGAGCCACCAGAGTCCCCATCACCTCCTGGGCTCCCCATCTCTACTTCGACCCCCTCCCCACTCCCCGTTCTCTGCCCGTGTCTCACTGGTGCCCTTGCCTCTGACTTCAAGCCCTCCAACCCCAGGACCCTTGCACACACTCCCATTGATGTGGCACATGAGCACTGCGAGTGTCTGTGATCATCCTGACGCCCAGCCCTGCCCCCTGCCCCCTGCCTTCCAGGGGCTAGGTCTGTACCGCCCCACGGCACTTCCTGTGGCACTGGACATGTCCCTGTGTACACTGTCCCCGTGGGGCTATGGAACTCTTACAAAGCAGCTGGTGCCTCTGAAGGTTCCATTTGATCTGAATGAGCTGGACTGTGTGTGTACGAGCTGTGGGCCCATGGCCATGCTGGCCACACAGGGCCACACGGCTCCGACACAGACGCCGTGGTCATGCTCCTGCCCTGGACATCGTCCCTCTCATTCCTGGACTCACATGCTCCGTGCAGGTCACAGCCATGGCCTGGGGACAAATGGCGCAGGGGGAGGACACCAGGTCCTCCCCACCCCCGAGGCTCCTCTCTGGGAGACCAGTGAGTGGCTTTGCCCAGAAGGGTTTTCAGCATGGCCTTGGGGGGCTGTGCCCCCACCAGGTCTCTCCAGCTCTGCTCTGAGCTGCTGGCTGGCTCTCCCCTCCCCTCCCCTCCCCCTCTCCTCCTCCCTTCCCCCTCTCCCTCCTCTGCTTGCCCCCACAGTGTGCTGGGCCCCCATCTGGGGAGATCTGGTCCACCACAAGCTTGCCGGCTCTGGAATTCACTCAGAGAATATTCATCCAGTGCCGTGGATACACACACAGATACACACACACATAGACACATGCACACACACATGCACAAGACATGTATACGCATGTACACACCTGCACACGGGCACACATTCATATACACGTGCACACATAGACATGTGTACACACATATGCCACACAAGGCATATACACACACGCACACATACACGTACATGCACATAGGTACATGGTACACACACGCACACACACACACACACACACACACACACACACACACACAGAAATCGGAGCTCGCTCCAGGGTGAGGCCCAGAAGGAGCCCAGAAGGGATGGGGCCGGAGCCTTTGCCAGGGGAGGCCAGCACAGCACCTCCAGTGTGGGAGGACCAGCGTAGGTGGCAAAAAGTTGGGGTGAGGTGGGTCGGGCTGCTTGCCGGAGCCGGGCCCTGGGAGACCCAAGGGCCCGTTAGCGCCTGACCCCAATCTGAGCCTGCCAGAGGCCAAGTCTGAGCTGGGGAGCTGGGGTGCCCACGACTCAGCTCTCGGTCTCCTCCACTGCTGTGTCCTGTGACCCCACTCATGGGAGTCCTTCCTGATCCCTGGCTGCCTCTCCCTCTCCCCAGTGCTTGTCCCTCTGACACCCGACTGCTTCCTGGGGTTCCCATGGTCTCCCCTCACGGTGGGGCTGCCTGGGACCTGAGTCCCGGGGCCCGGTGGCCTCGGTTGATCTCTGTGAAGCAGGTGAGTGAGGTCCTCCCGCGCTGGGCCCAGGCAGAGGCCGAAATCCGATCGCTGATCGATATCCGGTATCCGAGAGCTGGTGGGGGAGAAGCCGCAGGGGGCGGCCAGGGCCTCATTGCCAAATGACAGGTAAACAAAACACAACTGATGGATGCACGGGTGGGACCTTCAGAGGATGAGCTAGCATCGTTCAAAGGAAAATGTGTGGACGCAGAGTGAGCTGAGCCGGACTGGGAGGACAAGCATAGCTAGGGCGGGGTGGCGCGCGCCTGTCATCCCAGAACCAGGGAGGCTGAGGCGGGAAGACCCCAAAGCTGAGCCCAACCTGGGTGACTTAGCAACTCGGCAAGACCTGGCCCCCAAAGGAATTAAACGCAGAAGTGCACTGTTAGCTCAGGGCAGAGGGGGGCTTTTCCCACCTGCAGCGGGGCCTTTGTCCTGGGTCTGGGAGAGCAGGGCTGTCTTGTGTGTCACTGTGCCTGGCACATGCTCGGGGGTGCCGGCAAAGTGCATCCGTCCAGCCCAGTGCCCAGCTCTGCGCCACAGGAATCTCCACAGCAGGCCAGGGCTGGGAGGGCTCAACAGCACGGAGCCTGCCTGGCAAGCACAGGTCCTGAGTTCAATTCCCATCACCAAAAAGAGAACCTGGAACGGCTCCCGATGTAGTCTGGATTCACCCAGAAAAGCCCGGGGGCCAGAGTTGGCTACACCGTCTCCCCACAGGTGACCCCAGGAGACACGGGCAGGAGAGGAAGGTGAGGCAGGGGTCACGGGGACCTTAACTCATGGGGAGCCCAGCACACTAGTAAAGCACATCCCAGAGCCCCAAAGTGGGGTGCTGGGGCTTGGTGAGGAGGAGCCCTGAGCTGGGAGGGGTGGACACAGGGTCCCAGACCGCACTGGAGCTGCTCCCAGCTGCCCCCCTTCCCCCGAGCCTTTGCCGAACTTCTTGTTCACCCTGGGGATCCCGATGGGAGCCTCTCCACTGCCCTCCGCATCCTCAGCTCCCTGCCCAGCACCCAGCTCTGAGACGGGCAGGGAGTAGGTGTTAGGGGAGCGCTTGGCCCCCTGAAAGCTGTTGGCCAGACCAGGCTTGGTCTTCCCGGGGAGGGAGGGTTTCCACAGAAGACCCTCTCACCTGCTGGCATCAGTCGGTTGGTCGGTCTGTCTGTCTTGAGACAGGGTCTCACCATGTGGCCCAGGCTGGCCTTGAACCTACAGGATCCTCCTGCCTCAGCCTCCCAGTGCTGAGATTGCAGGCCTGCGCCCCCACCCCCAGGACCATTGATTCTTTGCATTTACAGAACTGACTCACTTTGACCCAAAGCCTGGGGTCTCTGGCCCCCTCCCCGGCCAGTGGGGACAACACACGCAATGACCTCTCGGGCCCTCGGCTTGTGGGTGCCATTGATTCTGCAGGGGTGGAAGGGGCGCTGGGGTGTGGAGCCGAGGGTGACTCGGCCAGGTCCCCCACACATCTGCCTCTCTCTCTGCCAGTCGATCCCTCTGCTGTGCGGCAGGGGCTGAGAGCTCCCGTGACAGGCGGCCGAACAGAGGCCGGAGCTGTCCAGTCTCTGGCTCTGGCCCCCGGCCGGGAGGGACACCGGGGACTCCCCGCTTCCTGCACAACACTGACCCCCTCCTGTCCGCCCTGCCCCTCTCTTCCAGCATCCTGGCGACAGTGGGGACGGAGTTTGACCTGCGCACGCTGAGAGCGGTCCGGGTGCTGCGGCCGCTCAAGCTGGTGTCAGGAATCCCAAGTGCGTGAGTTTCCGCCAACCCCATGTGGGCTTTGCCTTGGGGTCCCCTGCACACCCTGTCCCCCAGGAACCTGGCTGCAGGGTTAGGTGGGCTCCGGGAGGCAGTCGGGGATCTCCCCCATCAGCCAGGGCCCCTGAGCGTCAGGCCGGAGCTCTGCACTCGTGTTATCCCACATGGCACCCCCAGCCTGTGAGGCAGCACCCCACACTGATATCCCCATTTTACAGAGGGCAAAACTGAGGCCAAGAAAAATGCATCAAGATCTAATGGCCGAGAAGTGGTCAAAGGCCGGTGTGGGGGTACACACTTGTCATCCCAGCACTCAGGAGGCTGAGGCAGGAGGGTCGCTCTGAGTTCAAGGCAGACTGCGCCACTGAAAAAGACCTTGTCTAAAAGCAAACAAACCAAACCCAAGCAGTTTCTTGGAAGAGCAGCTTGGTCTGTACTGAGCACAGAGACCTTTCCTGTGTTGTTCCCTGGCTGATGAATGTCAGAGCTCAGTGCTAGGAACTTACACTATCCGGGAGTCTCAGGCCACCTCGAGATGATTTAAGGGCCACGGCTGGAGCAAAGGGGTCCATGCTGTCCGAGGCCTTTTGTATCAGGCAGCTGAGCCTCTGCAGATTTGCATACCCAAAGAGGGTGGCTAGGCCTGGTCTCCCTGTGAGCCTCAGGTCGCCCCAATACTGAGCAGCCGTGGCCCTGATGGGACTTCACCCTGGTCCGGAGGGAGTCAGGAGTCTCATTCTGCCTCCTTGAAGGCTGCAAAAAGTGAAGAAAAAGCCCCTGTGGGTTTCCTGAGCGAGGTGACTTCAGGTGAGAGAACTGAGAATCCACATCCACTGAAGCCCCGTGGGGGGGCGGGGGCTGAACGGGGTGAGGGTCCGGGTCACGCAGGCTCCCAACCTCACTGGTAACAAACTGCCCTGGTGGCTTGCTCGGAACAGAGAAGCCAGCGTCCGAGGCTGGGCAGGCTTCGGGCTGCAGGTGTAGGGCCATCCCAGCACTGGGGAGCCTGAGGCAGGAGGATCGCGGGTTGAACCCAGCCTGGGCTGTGCAGCAAGGTCAGAGCCAGCCCAGACCGCGGAGGGAAGTCCTGTCCGGAAAACAAAAGACTCCCGGCCCTGGCATTGTGGCTCCCAGGCAGAGCCAGAGCCTTTTTTTTTTTTTTTTTTTTTTTTTTGGTCTTTTTTGTTTTTTTATCGGTACCAGGGATTGAACTCTGAGCCTCCATCTCTACCTCTGTGCAATGGGGGTGATCGGCTCCCTAAAGGAGCCTGTGCTGGCCCGGGCCGGAAGTCCCCCGACGATGCGGGCTGCGATTCCTCCGGGGGCGCCCGGGACGTGGGCAGCTGCTGTCCCCACAGGCTGGGGCCAGGCTGGCCGGAGGGTGTTAGAAAAGGGGGTGTCCTCCGGGGAGGGAAAAAAAAAAAATCTGTGGGAAACGGCGCCCCCTGCTGGGCAGAAGAGGCGCAGCACCTTGAAAATCCCCAAAGGTGCTGGGGAGCCACAGACACCCTAAAAGGCTTTAAAACCGGCGGGCTTCCTCAGCCGCCACGCCTGGGGGCCTCGAGACCCCGGGCTGCAGCCCCTGCCCTGGCACCCCAAAACGAATGAACAAAAAGGGCTTGTTAGGAGCATGAGGTGCCGTCCCTCCGTCCTGTGCCCCTCCCCGCTCGTGGAAGGCGCCCCACTGCGAGAGGCCGGGCGCTGGCTGACAGGCGGGTGGGCCCTGTGTCTCCCCAGGTTTACAGGTCGTGCTGAAGTCCATCATGAAGGCGATGATCCCGCTGCTGCAGATCGGCCTCCTCCTGTTTTTTGCAATCCTTATTTTTGCAATCATAGGGTTAGAATTTTATATGGGGAAATTTCATACCACCTGCTTTGAGGAGGGCACAGGTAGGTGGCACCGCGTGATGCGTGTTTTCCCCAAGTGCTCCTGCCTGGCGGCGCCTCGTGGGCCCGGGACCTGCCCCGGGGTGCAGCGGCTCAGGGTGTGTGCGGCTGGCAGGAGCGGGGCCCTGCCATCCATCCCTAGCTCAGGGAGGAGAAAAAACCCCTCACCTGGGCCGGTGTCACACAGCTGTCATCCCAGCACTGGGAGGCTGAGGCAGGAGGACCCCAAGTTTGAGCGAGGCCAGCCTGGGCAAGTTGGGGAGACAAAAAGGGCTGGGGACGTAGCTCAGTGCCAAGGCCCTGGCTTCAGTCCAGGCCCTGCTGCAGAGAGACTGGGCCTGTGCCCCAAGAAGGGACCCCCGCGGGTGAGGGTTACTCCAGGAGGCCTGGACGCCTTGCTGTGCTTCTCTGCCTGAGCTGAGGCAGCCGGGTGGGCTGGGCCTGAAGGGTTTGCAGGGCCGGGTGTGGGTGTCGTCACTGCGCGTGGGAGGCCCTGATTGGGGGGGGGGTGGCTGAGGCGCTCACAACTGAAAATCAAGACGTGTGAGTAAGAGATGCCGCAGCAGGGAAATTTTAAACTGCGTTTATAACCAGGCTCCTGCCCTCTGGAGGGCTGCGCTTCTAGAAGCCACCTCCGGGGCACCCGGTGTCCACGTGGCTGGAGATCGCTCTGTTCCCAGCTTCCGGCTGGTTCCGGAGCCCCCGGGTCACAGGCAATGTCACGGCACAGGCCCCTGGTGCCCGGCCCTGTGGGAGGCTGAGGCTTGGGGAGACCCCGTCTCAAAATAGCGATCATCAGAACCGGGGGTGTAGCTCCACACGGAAGCCCCAGGCTCAGTGCTCCCTGCCGTGGAAAGGAAAAGTCGCCCACTGCGTGGAGCTCACACAGGCTGACACAGCCTCGCGGCACCCGCGGGGCCAGGGAGCTGGAAGCTGACGCAGCGCCCCTCCTGGCCTGGGAGCTAACCCCTCTCGCCCGCCCCCGATGCCCCTGGGATCTGCACAGCCCCCAGCTCGGCTCCTGCTCTGAGCCTCCTGCGAGCGCAGGGACCTGGTGCTGGTGGCCACAGGGAAGAACCTTGCACCTCCCGAACCTGGCTTCTCTCCTAGGATCTGAGAACCAGAATCGCAAAGTGACTCACCGATCACAGCTCCAGGAGGCTGAGGAGAGGGGAGGGAGGTTCCCAGCCAGGGTGGACACCCTGAGAGCTCCCCACTATTCGTGTGGAAAAGATTCTAGTACAGTGGGCCACGGTGGCTCACGCCAGGCATCTGGGCCCAGCAGTCAGGGAGGCTGAGGAAGGAGGATTGCACCTTCATCACTCGGCAAGACGCTGCCTCCAAAAATAAAAATGCTAAGGGGTGAGGCAAAGTGTGCAGAGGGGAGTGGGGAGACAGGTGGCTGGGGTGCCAGGTGTTAGAGTCGGTGACAGGTGTGTGGGGTTTTGGGTTCTCCGTCCCCTCCCAGCCTCAGCCTGTATGAGTGCCGGGTGTCCTAAAGGAGACGCCTGTCCAGTACTCGCAGGCAAAGACGCCAGAGGAATGGAAAGTGGAAATGGTTGAACAGAGGTGTTAAGGGCAGGACGATGGGTGACAGCCAGGGCTGCACTGGGGACGGCTGCAGGGGAAACCGTGCAAGGTCACAGAGCAGACACCAGTCCCTAAAGAAAGAAGCCGGGCCTGGTGGCGCTCGCCTGTCATCCTGCACTCGGGAGGCTGAGGCAGGAGGGTCCCTGTGAGTTCCAGCCTGGGCTGCATAGCGAGGCCCTGCCTCAGATCTGGAAGCTGGGGGAACGGACCCCAGCGCCGCCAGCCTCGCACCCTCCGGGCACCCGTTTCTCCGCTGACTCATGTCCCCTCCCTCTCGCAGATGACATCCAGGGTGAGTCCCCGGCTCCATGTGGGACTGAGGAGCCCGCCCGCACCTGTCCCAATGGGACCAAGTGCCAGCCGTACTGGGAGGGCCCCAACAACGGCATCACCCAGTTCGACAACATCCTGTTCGCCGTGCTGACGGTCTTCCAGTGCATCACCATGGAGGGCTGGACCGACCTCCTCTACAACGTGAGTGGGCCTGTGGGGGCGGGGATGGGGGCTGGGGGCTGGTGGGGTGGTGGGGCGGCTCAGGTCTCCAACCCCCACCCTGGAGCTCTGGGTCCCACCGTGTGGGATTTACCTCACTGGACACGATGGTCTCTAGATGCACCAGTTTCCCTGAGGATTACTGGGCTCATCCGTCTTCACGGCAGAGTAGTGCTCCACTGGGTGTGGGTGCCACAATTTCCCATCGGTTCACTGTGGTGGATGCACAGGCTGCTTCCAGGATTGGGCTCCTATGAGCGGGTGGAACCCATAGCAGCACTCCCAGCTCCCCCAGGATGGGGTGGGGCCAGCCCTGCCTGCTGCTCCTTCCTTTAATTTCCTGTCCCTTCAAGGTACTGGATGTGGACCCCAGGGCCTTCCCACTGAGTTCTATCCCTGGCTCGTTTTCTAATCTTTCATTTTGAGACTGTGATCCTCCTGCCTCAGCCTCCCGAGGTGCTAGGTGAGGGGCTGAGGCTGCTGCCACCTGCTGGGAAGGCCAAGGGCTCCACACCCCACATCAAGGGCTCTGCCTGTCCTTGTACCTGGAGGCTTTCTGGGTGAGGGAGCCCAGGGCCTGTCGGGTACAGGGTCTTCCTGGCACCCACCCTCCCTGTGCTCCCAGAGGCCGGGGCAGCCCTATCACTGCCTGCAGGGCTGGGGGACCAGCTCTCTCCCCTAGGGCTAAGCGCTGCCACCCGGGACCCCAGGGACTCCTCCTGACGCCACGGTGGACGAGCTCATCCTCCTCACACCTCTGCCCGCCCGCCACCTCCCTCCTTCTTGGGGTTTCCTGGGGAAAATGTTGGGCTCACTTCTGAGCAAGTGAGTACCACAAGTACCACAGCCCAGGGGCCTCCAAAGGACAGGAGCATGGCTGGGAGTGGTGGCAGGCACCTGTCACCCCAGCTGCTCGGGAGGCTGTGGCAGGAGGATTTCAGGCCAGGCAGCTTGGTGATTTAGCAAGGCCCTGCCGCAGATAAAAAATAAACTCCACAGGGCTGGGCTGGAGCTGAGTGCGAGGGTCCTCAGTTCAGTCCCTGGTGCGGGGCTGGGGAGAGCGAAGTGCCCGACGAGACGACACAGGGAAGGCTGTCACCAGGGCAGCCAGCAAGGGCCTGGTGTAGGGAAGCGCTCCGGGTGTCAGGGTGGGCACCGGGTGACCCCAGGGCAGATGCTGCGACACTGAGGGACAGGGGAGCCGGGCAGGCCCCCTTCCAGGGTTGCTGTCTGTCCCTTCCTGTCTCCGCCGCCAGCTTCCTGTTAAAACGCCTTCTGCAGAATCCTGGCCCGGCTCTGGCTCTGACTGTCAAGGTTTAAATCAGGAAATGTGTCCTGGAGTTATTTATAAACTTGGGAAGCCAGGAGTGGTTAGAGGCCAGGCCCTGTGGGAGAAGTCACCTGCTGGGGGATGTGGGGACACAGGGATGCTCCCCGAGTTAATTCTCAAAAGGGGTCCGGGCTAGGTGAAGGAATGCGTGGACCCTCTGCCCGTAGCCCCAAGGCGTCGCAATTCGGGGACCTTTATCTTCTCCCTGCTTCCCCCCTTTTCAAGTTTTTCTCCAGTGAGCCCCGCTTTGCTTTTGGGTTTTGCTTGTTTTTGAAAACCTCCCTGTGCAGCCCAGGCTGGCCTTGAACTTGTGATCTACCTGCCTCAGCCTCCCAAGTGCTGGATTACAGACACGCACCGAGGTTTATTTTTGTGATACAGAAGCCCTCTGAACTCGTCTCACTAAAGCTCGACGGTGAAGCGTGGGGATTTTGGTCATTCCCAGATGGGAAGACAGGAAGGAGGACGGGGAGACAGTGGTTTAGTGGGCCTCCAGCGTGCTGGGCAGCCTTATCTAAAACAGCCCATCTGAGGAGCCCTCGGTGGAACAAAGGAACACGGCATACACTGCTGTGGGATGGTGAACCTCAAGTTTATTATGGGGCACGCACAGTACAGGAAGGAACAAGCCCCCTCCGGAAGAAGCCCAATCAGTGTCAGCAACCACTGGGGAGCAACTCGAGGTGGGGAGAGGTCTCTCCAGCTCCGCTGGTGCTCCAGGTTGACGCCCGCATGGCTGGGTTCTGGTGAGGGCCTGTGGGGGGAGCAGGTGTTGGGGTGTCCCACCCCCACCCAACAAGCCGGGCCTGGGAGCCCAGGCTGGCTCTGTCTGTAACTCCAGGGCCCCCGGGGACCCTCTGGGTCCACTTCCCAGGGACCTGAACCCCTGCCCTCCCAGGTCACCCCATCCAGCAGCTGCTGCCTGATGACCAAGCCTGCAGTTGCATGCCTCTCGGGGACCCCGAATCCATACCCAGACCGCAGCGGGAGTGCACACACACGCACACACTCCAAAGACGCAGCACAGGTCCTCCCTCCTCCTGGACTGGGCTTTGATTGGGTCCCAAAGTTCTCACCAGGGGCAGCGTCAGGAAAAGGGCAGCCGAGGGCCCCTCGGGGGTGTTGGTGTCACACGGCCCGATGTGACCACCGGGACGTCACCACCCCTCCACGGTCCTCTTTTTCTCCGAGCCCCACAACCTCAGCTGGGTCACAAGGGAAGCATCAGAGGAGCCCAGAGGGGAGGGATTCCCACGGGGGCCCCCACAGGGAAAAAGAGCTGAGAAACTGGAAGCGCAGAGACACTAAGGGGCCGAGGCGTGGCGGGTGCTCTGTGATGGCCGGCTGAGGGGGCCTGACAGGACCCAGTGGGGCGCAGGGCACAGGGCTGGGTGGTTCGCAGCACTCAGAATGGAGCCCAGGGCCTTCCATGGAGCTACATCCCGGCCAGAGTTTCACGTTTTTTTGTTTTTTATTTATTTATTTATTTATTTTTTGTCTTTTTTCTTTTTATCAGTACCAGGGATCGAACTCACGACTGCCTGCTTGCAAGGCAGGCTGAGCTAAATCCCCAGCCCCCAGAGTTTCAGTTTTTTAAAAATGGTAAAGGGACAGGCCTGTCATTCCAGCCTCTGGGAGGCTGAGGCAGGAGGGCTACAAGTTCAAGGCCAGCCTGGACACTTAGCAAGACGAGACTATGTCTCAGCATTTAAAAAAAATTATTAAAGGGCTGGAGATAAAATTCAGCACCCCTTGGGTTCCGTCTCCAGGACCCACAAAGTAAAACAGGTTGATGATGTTGCTCAGGAGCTGTGCAGTTTTAAAACTATGACGACACCAGGCCTGGTGGCCGTGGCTGCACGGCAGGGTTCGCCCTGCAGCCTTCAGGTCCTCTCTGCCATGCGTGTTTCCCGTGGGTGGTGTCACGCCAGTTCTGTCCGTGCTGTTCCTGTCCTCATGGGGAAACGCCCCCTACTGGCGGAAATGAGGAAGTGCAGGCGGCTCACCACCTTCTGTGCAGAGCCGGTGATTTCTGCCCTTTGGCCTGCACCGCATCCGAGACTGCAGGGCTTTCACCGGCGGGTTGCGCAGGTGCCCTGCACAGAATCCCAAGAGGTGACAGTCCAGCAGGCCGCAAAAGTTCTTGAAGGTGGCAATGTGGCAGGGCCCTGGACCCCCAGAGGTGACAGTTTTGCGGGTAACCGGCACCCTCACCTCACCCGGCTTGGTCCCCGCCGTGCCACTTACGCAGCGTCAGTGTCAGCAGCGACCTAAAAACCAACCTCATCTTCCAGACGAGAAAACTGGGCTCAAAGAGGATGTTCAGGGAAGGGTAGCTCCTGGGTGGCGTGTGGGCGTGTCCATGCGGAGGTCTCGCGAAGCCTGCCTGCAGCTGGCAGCCGGGGCTCACAGCCAGGGAGCCCTGTCGGTCGCACTCCAGGCCACGGCGGCTTTGATCTCTCCAAGGCCCCCGCAGCTCCCTTTCCCCGGGGGCCAGATGTCCTCCTGAAGTGACCAGAGCATGTGACCACGCACTGCACCCAGGAGGACTCTGGCAGTGTGGGGAGGAGGAGGAGAACAGGATTCCTCTCCCCTTTCCAGTGTGGCTTTTCCCTTCTCCTTTTGGAGGAACCGTCTTAAGTTTTATTTTTTAAATTCTGTTACTAGCACAAGTCTGCAGTCTGTAACAGTCACACTCTTCTTGAGGACCGGGCCCAGACACCTGTCACACCTTGATACTTACCCCTTCCTGCGCACTCTCCCGTCTCCCCCAGCCCCCATACCCTTCCTGTCCTCCCAGAATCTCTCTCTCTCCCTGTGTTCTCTCATCTGTTTTTCACTTTGCTCCTCAAGTCATTTATGCTTTGGGGTTCTCATGCGAGAGAAACCATGTGATATTTAACTTCCAGTAGCTGACTGATTTCATGTGGCACTATGGACTCAGGTGCATCTGTTTTCCCACAGAAACTCAGGGTTGTCCTTTTTCGTGGCAGAGTAGTACTCCATGCACATGAAGGCTGCATTTTTTTATCCGTGGTCCTGCGGATGGGGTCTGGGCTGCTTCCAGGATTCAGCGGTTCTGAGCGGCTCTGCTGTACGCGTCCAGGCTGTGTCTGGATTCTGTTTTGGATGTCTTTCACTCTTCGGGGAAGGTTCCCAGAAGGGGAATGACTGAGTCAGATGGGACTTCCTCCTCCTGCCTCTGGACATGCCCTGTGTCCCATGCCTGTTCCCGCGCCCCTGGAAACCGCAGCACTCCCCTCCCCTTGGTTCTTCTGATTCCCTCTCTGCCTCCGGGACTCTGCAGGAAGCCATGCAACCCAGCCCGGGAGACCCCAAGCCGCCCCCTCTCGGGCTGGCAGGTCTTCCCGCGCCTGTTCCTCACCTGCTCCCCACCTTGCACCCGCAGAGCAACGACGCCTCAGGGAACACTTGGAACTGGCTGTACTTCATCCCCCTCATCATCATCGGCTCCTTTTTTATGCTGAATCTCGTGCTGGGCGTGCTGTCCGGGTGAGTACCTGCCTTCCAGCCCACTCCTGGGCCCAGGAGAGGCCGTGGAACGGATTCCAGGCCTCCCCTTGCTTTGGGGACAGATGCCCAGGTTGTGCACTGCTAGAGGGAAGCAGGGAGGGCTCTCCCAGGGGCTTCACTGCAAATTGTATTTTTTAACCAAAAAAAAAAAAAAAAAAAAAAAAGAAGTTTGGGTTTCCTCCTCTCCATAGTACATAACCCAAAACATACTTTTCTGACACAGATTGCTCCCAAATCCCATGATAATGGGTGGCTTAGTTCTAAACGGGTCTCCTAGAGCTGGGGATACAGCTCGGGGTAAAGTGATTGCGGTGAAGGCGCAGAACCTGGGGTTCAATCCCTATCATCACAGATAAAGAAGCTTTGTGTTTGTTACCACAGGCGGCCTGGGGACCACTATGGTGGCTCCACAGTGTCATAAACAACCTCAGGGCCCCCAGCTTCCCTCACCAGGGACTTCTCAAGCTCAGGGACCCTTCCTGGTCCCAAGAGGCTGACTCTCACACACAGGGTGACAGCCCAGGTTCTGAACGGGAAGGGGCGGGGCAAAACAGGAAGGGGTGGGGCAAAGTAAGAAATGAGGCAAATAAGGAGGGGTGGGGTAAAAACAGGAAGAGGCGGGGCAAAGCAGGAAGAGGCGGGGCCTACAAGAGGAAGCGAGGGGCCTTGTCTCTCTGTCCTAACTGAAAGGAATTGAGAAAGCCTTTTGGCCAGGGATAAGACGAGACGGAGGAGGGGCTGGCGTGGCGTCGTCTTGTTCTCTTTCCCTCTCGCTGGTGGCAGTTGTTGGGGAGTATGAGATGCAGATACCCACATCCCTTAAGGACTGCCCTTCTCTCGGAGCACTGTTGAAAACCACTGCTTTCCAGTGAACCCAAAATGCACGCGCATGTACACACACACGCACACGAGAGACTGCTTACAAATCCCAAAGCAAGGGCCAGGGATTTAGCTCAGTGGCATAAGCACTTGCCTGGCAAGTGTAAGGTCATGAGTTCGATCCCTGGTACCAAAAAAAAAAAAAAAAAAAATCCCAAAGCAGTTGACCCTGTCTTTGTTGTGACTCTAGAGAGTTTGCCAAAGAAAGAGAACGTGTAGAAAACCGACGGGCTTTCCTGAAGCTGAGGCGACAGCAGCAGATCGAACGCGAGCTCAATGGGTACATGGAATGGATCTCAAAAGCAGGTAAGGCCCTCCTTGTGCGGCTCAGGAGACTCAAAGTCATGCCTGCCCTGTGGAGAAGCCCCGGGGAGGGCTGCCGTGGGGTGACCAGAGGATCTAACTTGGTAGTCCCAAATTCTAGCAGCAAGAACGCGGAATAGGGGGCTGGGGATTTAGCTCAGCCGCATAAGTGCCTGCCTTGCATGCAGGCAGTTGTGAGTTCGATCCCCGTACCAATAAAAAGGAAAAAGACCAAATAATAATAATAATAATAATAATAATAATAATAATAATAATAATTTCATGTCGTGTCTGCAACTGCCAAGAAGAAAACTAGAGCAAAGTAACAGGAAGTCTCCAGCCTACACACAAGTTCCATTCCGGGAGAACTTTTGTAAGTCAGGTGTGTCTGGAAGTCCACCAGAGTGAGTCTCACATACCTTGGAAACAAATATATGGCAAAAACATTTAAAAACCAAACACACACATGACTGATACAAAGAAACTTTACTTTTCCAATTACCTACAAGTGGCAAGGTAGATGTGTAAGCAACTTCCACAATTTGCTCCCATCTACAAACATTCGTCATTGGAGGTCTGTTCAGATCTGTGAAAGCTCACAGCTCGAATGTGCATAAGTCAAGGACTTACGGCAGGAATCGGAGAGCAGGGTGATTAGGAAGGCTTGTCAGAGGATGCAGTGTCTGAGTAGAGACCTGGAGAAAATGAAGAGAGATGCTCTGGGGATGCCGAAGGAAGTTCCAGATGGAGGAAACACAAATGCAAAGGCCCTGGGGCAGGATTGCAATGGAGACAGCAAGGAAGCCAGTGTGGGCACAGCAAAATGAATAAAGGAAAGAGGAGGAGGAAGAGAGGAAAGTGAGAAAGATTGGATCATGCAGCAGCTTACAGGCTGAGGTGGGGATTCGGGGGTTTCAGATGGGATAGGGATAATGTCGCTTCTTGTCCACCTTCCATTACTATAACAAAATGTTCAAGGCACCTAACTTTGCAGAGAAGAGAGGAAGAGAGGTCCTAGAGGCTCTCACTACTGCCTCATGGTGGCCTCCAGCCCACAAACCACTAGGTGACAGCCACATCCAAGCCACTGCTTGAGAGGTGCCGGAAGCCAGGAGCGAGGAGCAGCACCTCTGGGACTGCCTGCCTGGTTTGGGGGAGCCTGTCCTGGGAATGCCCTCCCACCACGGGAGCTTAACTGTGTGTTCTTCCCCCTCAGAAGAGGTGATCCTTGCAGAGGATGAGACCGACGTGGAGCAGCGGCACCCCTTCGATGGTAACTGCTCTAGGCCCAGTTCAGTGTCGGGGCTCTGGGGAGGAGAAGGGGCCAGGACTGGGGGACCAGTGCCTTGGTCCTGATGCATTTCCCCAGGTGACTATTCAATCTGAGAACAATGGAGACCAAGAAGTCTCAGGAAAATCAGCAGTGACATTTAACTTATGAACTAGGCACCATACTGGATTAACAACCGTAACTCATGATAGAGTAGGACTGTTACCTAGACGTCTACCCATTGTTCACTTCCAGAATTTTCCAGGTACTGTGTCAGACTGCAGAGGGCTGAGGATAACAGAATCCTCAGGAAGTGATAACCACCGATAGGGGAGCTTTCTGTGCTGGCTCCACTTTCTAAACAAATAACAATATTTACTCAATAAATAATAATGTTAATAATCCCACTGAAAATCCAGCTCATTGTTAAGGTCTGTTGTCCCATATTAAAAATTAAAAACTTGGCTGGATAAAATCCAATTTTATTGGATTCATTGCTAACTAAGATCTTTCATAAACATTTGATGTGAAAAAAATGTTTTGGCTGGAGAGAGCCATGGCTTGATTGAGAATACTGAGCATCAGAGGAAAACAGAGCTGAGGAACCTTTCAATCAGTTAGGAAACCAGTACTGCCACCCACTTCTCTAGGGCTGTGAACTACTTTCTCCACAGGTAGAGTCCTTGACCCCTGGAGCCCTGCGTATGGGAGGAGGGAGCATTAAAAAGTGTCCATAGGGCTGGGGATTTAGCTCAGCAGTGCAGGTGCTTGCCTGGCAGGTGCAAGGTCGTGAGTTTGATCCCTGGTTAAAAAAAAAAATCCATAAACCCAACGTCCCCAAAACTCATAAAAGAAAATCCATAAACCCACCTTCCCCAAAACTCATAAACCCAGTCTGTTGCAGGGAGTCAAGGGGTGGACTGTAAAAGGCTCAGTGTGTCTACCTTAGGGTTTCCCAAAAGTGCAATTTCTTCAGTTTTAGAGGTAGACAGAAAGGAAATGTTTCCAAGATCATATTGACAATAAAAGTAATGCAGATGGGTGCGGGTTTTCCTGGGGTCTGAGACAGGGTCTTGCTGTGTGGTTCAGGCTGGACTTGAACTCACTGCAGTTCAAGCTGGCCTCAGACTTGCAGCAGCTCTCTTAGCCCCACCTCCCGAGAGCTGGGATTAGGGCCAAGATAGTCCTCCTCTTACAATGCAGAAACATCCCAGTAAACTTACCATAAGATGAAACTGTCATCAATTGAAAATGCGTTTAATACTCAAATAAACCTACTGTGTGGATAAAAAATAGTCACAAGTTGAACTATCGTAAGTTCACATCCTCCTCAATTTTCCATGGAATTATATCCTGAAAAGCCAGTCAGAAAGCTGAAAACATCCTAAATTGAAATCTTCAACTCCAGGACCATCTGAACTGGTTACTTCGGAGTGTACTTTCAGGCCCACAGTGCCAGCACCCTGGGAAGTTGAGGTAGGAAGACTGCAGGTTGGAGCACAGCCTAGACAATTCAGCAGCTTGGCAAGCCCCTGCCTCAAAATAAAATAAAGCAGGAGCTAGAGCTCAGTGTGAAGGCCCTGAGTTTGATCCCCACTGTCATGAAAAAAGAAAGAAAGAAGGTGGTTAGATGGGGCAATGGCTTTTCACTGAAAGTCCTGGACAGTCAAAGGACATAAAGGGCCTGGAATTCTGTCCCTGGAGAGTCTAAGATGAACTAGCTGGATTCCAGCTAGGCCCACCTGGGCAACATGGTGAGACCCTCATCTAAAAAAAGGAAAAAGAATCCCAGTTCTGTTATTTGGAGGAAAGGAGAGATTGCTCATCGGGGTATTCAAAGCTCCTTATGGGTTGTGTATATGTGGATTTACTGTAAACTGAAGAGTCCTTGCAGAGTCCCTGTCTGGGGTAAACATCCACAACCCCAGCCAGCCCAGCTGCTGTGCTACAACTTGAGGGGTGTGCTGTCTTCCTGTGTATCACCATGATGGGTCAAGTCCCCGGATCACTGGAAAGTGAGGTTTCTTAGAATTTTAAAATAGACCAGAGGGAAGATAGGGGTTACTTTTGTGATGACACATGATGCATAGTGAGATTACCTCCCTGCACCTCACTTGCACATCTCTAAAATGGGTACGCTGGGGCTTCCCACCAAACCAATCAGCATGAGGGTACAGTCAGAGGTGTGCTCTGACCATTCATCATCACCGTTGCAACAAGGGTAACGTCTTTTTCCCTTGCCATGTTTCCATTGTTGGAGCTCTGCGGAGAGCCACTATCAAGAAAAGCAAGACAGATTTGCTGAACCCAGAAGAGGCCGAGGACCAGCTGGCAGACATCGCCTCTGTGGGTAAGTGTCCTGCCAGCCCTGAGCACCCACGATATGAGGGGACCTGGGCTGCCTGGCTTTGAGCCTCCTCCCTACCTCCTGCCCTGTGAGTCCTGGTGCAGATTCCACAATCATGGAAATAAGCCACAGCACCTGTCTCCTGATGTCATTGGAAAGACCCAGCATGCACTTCGAGTGGGCCCCCAGGAGTGCTAAGTGATTACATGATGGTTGGGAATCCCTGCTCTGGAATGCCGGGTCCCAAGAGGGTTTCAGATTTCAAACTTTTTCACATTTTGGAGAACCTGTGTATTTGAAAGGAACTATCTTGTCTCATTAAGACAAGGGCGATGGGGCCCTTGTCTTTTTTTTTTTTTGTCTTTTTGATACAGGGTCTGACTGTGCAGTTCAGGCTAGCCTTGAGCTCACTTTGTAGCCCAGGCTGGTCTGGAACTCTCAGCGACCCTCCTGCCTCAGCCTCCCAAGTGCTGGGATTACAGGCATCGGCCACCACGCCCGGCCATGGGGCCCTTGTCTTAATGCAGAATTCATTTGTTTCATATACGCCTAACTGAAAAGCAACTGCATAAAGCATTTGTATAATGTTGTACATGAGTCAGTGTTTCACCCTGCGGAATCTGCCTTTTGTAGCATACTTTCAGTGCTCAAAACGTTTTAGATCCTCAGATTAGGGGTACTCCATCTGGCCTCCAGGAATCTTGGTGCGGGACCTGCTGCCATTAGGTACCTGCCCGTGAATGACACAGAGGTAGCATCCCTACCAGGACTCACAGCCCGGCCTGGAAATGGATACTGAAGGGATTACGCAAACCCGCAAGGCTAGTGGTGCTGCAGAGAAGCCTCCTGGGCGGCCAGAGCTGGAGGGGTGGGGCATGGTCAGCGAAGGGGCCTGGAGGAAGAGCAGGCTGAGGAGGGTTCAAGCCGAGGGCCACCAAGAAGGGTGTGAATATGGCACCTCGCCCCATGCCTTGGTGAAAGCCAAGGCTGGAGGTCGAGGAATGGAGACTCCTTTGTGCCTCCCCTCCGTGTTGATCTGCTTCTTAGCACCGTGACCAAACCCCAGAGAAAAGCACCTCAGAGGAGGAAAGGCTTGCTCAGCTCAGGTCAGAGGTCCAGTCCAGGTCAGCCGCCTCCACTGCGGTGAGCTTGAGGTGAGGTGAGGTGAGGTGAGGACACTGCGGGGCAGCCAGGTGCCCACTTCATGGGGGCCAGAAAGAAGGGGCCGGGCCCAGGCGACCCCTCCAGAGTCACAGTCCAGGGGACCCGTGGGGAAACAACGAGATCGCCACCTCCCGCGACCCGGGCCTCGCTAGGCCACGCGGTGACCCGGCCGCGCTGGGGCCCAGCCCTGCAGGTGAGGGTCTGGGGTGGGGCGCCGCCCCGTGGGGTGATCCCGTCACTTCTGGCCTTCTGCTTCTGAGCGCACTGGGGGTGCTTTTGGCTTCCGCATCGAGTGTTAAAATCCCCTGGTAACAGAGTGGACGGGAGAGGACCCAGGCCGGGGGCAGGGCAGACGACGAAGGAGACGAAAGCACAGAGGGATGAAAGGCAAGGGGGAAGAGGAAAGCTGGAAGCGGGGAAAGCAGGAAGCAGAGGGAAGGAAACAAATGGCAAGGCAGGAGGCGAAGTGCGCGTGCGTCCTGGTCCTCACTGCGCATGCGCTCCGGGCGCGGGTAATTCTGCGGTTCTCTTCGCGGTGTCTGCACCGCCCCAGTTTCACTCCGCTGCTGCGCTCTGGCCTGGTTTCCTTTGCGGTGCCGCAGCCCGCTCAGGGGTCGCAACCTGTGACGTGGTGACCCGGTGACCCGAGGGTCTCCTGGGAGCGCCCCCCCCCCGCGCCCCTTCTCAGGCTGTTTTTCTTGGGGCGTCCCCCGCAGGCTTACCCACCGCCGGGTTTGTGGGTGGCTAAGGTCAGAGCTTGTTTGTCCTGTGCATTTTTAATTTCCCTACCCAGAGGAGTGAACCCCACTCCCACCTGGGGTGCAGCGGGCTGGCTCCCTGCTCCAGGCCACGGGCGGGTTACCTGCTTCCAACAGTTACCTCGGTCGCCTTCACTTTTAAAAATACATTTTGCTAGGTTGTTTTGGCTTGGTTTGGTTTTTTGGTTTTTTTGTGATTGAGGCTGGCTTCGGCCTCCCAAGTGCGCGGATCCCAGGTTTGCCCCACCGTGCCTCGCTTATTTGGCTGAATTACACAGTTAGGTGTGCATACATGCGCTGCTGGGGCTTCACTGTGAATGACATGCCCAGCCCTTTTGGTTCCGCCCTCTCCCCAGACAGGTCTCACTAAGTCAGTCACTAACTTGCCCGGGCTGGGTTCAAAATTGCAGTCCTCCTGGTCCAGAAAACTCAAAATAGAAACGCCACTGGATCCAGGAATACACTCTGTGGTATATTTCTAAAAGAATGAAAGAGAGCATACAGCCGAGGTACCTGCATCACCAGATTTATTCACGATTGCCAGGCCTAGCAGTTGGGAGCCAGCCTATGTGCCCCTCCCAGAGAAATGGATTTTTTTTTTTTGTCTTTTTCCTTTTTATTGGTACTAGGGATTGAACTCACAACTGCCTGCTTGCAAGGCAGGCGCTTATGCTGCTAAGCTAAATCCCCAGCTGATTTTTTAAATGTGGTAGATGAGGCCTGGGGATTTAGCTCAGCAGCATAAGCACCTGCCTTGCAAGCAGGTGGCCGTGAGTTTAATCCTCTGTACCGATAAAAAAAAAATGTGGTAGATGATAGACAGGTAGCAAATATATGATAGATAGATGATCAGTAGATAGATGCAGTGGGATACTATTCAGCTCTACAGAAAAAGTCATGTTATTTGTAGGAAAATGGATGTCACTGGAGTCCCCATGTTAAGTAAAATAGGTCGGGTTCAGAGGTCAGCTGTCAAATGTTTTCTCTCACGTGAGGAACCTCAGGGCAGTTTTTTTTAAGAGACATGGTGTGGGAGAGGTAGGGTAGGAAGAGAAAGAGAGCAGTCAAAAACGATGAAGCAGTGATGCACACAAGTACCAGTCCCTGGGTAAATGTGGCAGTAATGCGCTGCAAACGGGACCAGTGAAGGGGGGCGAGGCTGTGAAGGGAGAGGGGAGGTGAGTAGAGGAGGGGGCGGGGTAGTGGAGGAGGGACACTCAGAGTGTGAGAGGTACATGCCAGGCAGAAATGCCAGCCCACAGAACTGATGCGCACACAAGAAACCGAAAGTTGGGAGTCCTGCTCCAGGCAATGCTTTCCTGTACAGCACCCCAAAAACACAGGCAAGAACAGCAAAACTGGACAAACGGAATCACCACACCTAACCCTGGGGGCCTTCTAAGCACACACAGGGGTCCTGCTTCATCTCACCGTGTGCTGTGACCCACAGCCCCCCTCAAGAGCCATCAGTGGAGGTCAGAGCTGCTACTAAGCAAACGTTTATACTCCCAGCACTCAGAGTCTAAAGCAAGAGAATCTCCAAGTTCAAGCCAACCCAGGGAATTTACCGAGATTTGTCTCAAAAAATAAAAAAGGGGTAAGGTTGTATCACAGGCTCAGTCCTCAGCACACAAAACGTAAGAAATATAACAAATAACAAAGTGATCCCAGGGACAGGTATGGAAACTGGGTCCCAGAGCTGTTAGCCTCCCAGTTTCTGTCCAGAGCTCTCATCAGCTCGTGAACTGCTGGGAGTTTTCCAGAACATTGCTGTCTCTCGAGCGCCATCTCTCGGAGGTGACCAGGCTTGTTGAGAGCACCATGGAGCCTGGCCAGGACAAGGCCCCAGGATGCACGGGTGAATTTCCTGGGCAGGAACAGCCTGAGTCTCTGTTCTCCATCCTTCCCCTGGCAGGCTCTCCCTTTGCCCGAGCCAGCATTAAAAGTGCCAAGCTGGAGAACTCCACTTTTTTTCACAAGAAGGAGAGGAGGATGCGTTTCTACATCCGCCGCATGGTCAAAACTCAGGCCTTCTACTGGACTGTGCTCAGTCTGGTAGCCCTCAACACGCTGTGCGTCGCTATTGTCCACTACAACCAGCCTGACTGGCTCTCTGACTTCCTCTGTGAGTACCACCCCACACCCATACCTACAGGCAGCACCCTGACCCCTGGCTCACGCCCTCTGTCCCCTCCTCCTCACACTCTCTGTCCACTGCCCTGTTGCCCACTTTTGTCTCTACTTCCTCTTGTCCCATGTGCTCCTGTTAGTATCTCACTGGATGCCATTCTGTCCCCTAATCATTTATCGGAGCCCATGCTGTGCCACCTGGGTGCCGCAGTGTCCCTCAGATATGTGGCACTAGGACAAAACCCCAAGCCACCATCTCTGCCCACAGCACTGCCATCTTGGGCGCCCAGTCAGGAGGCTCAGGGCCGCGGTGCCCAGGTCTGCTCCGTCTGTGCTGTCCAGTTGCGGTGGGCAGTGCCGGGTGTGTGTTAGGCCCATCCATCTGCAGCAGGGAGCAGACCCGAGGGGACTTGATGCCCCATCATGGGTGACATGGGCTGCGGGGGGCGTCACCCTGTCCCTCAGTGCCCCTTAGGGCCTCAGCCCCTCATCCCTGTCCCTCTCCGGCCCCAGGTAGCCCCCCCTGCCTCCCTCCCCCCACCTTCCTCTCTGAGAGCTGAGAAGCACTGAGTCCCCTGAGCCCGGCGGGGCTCCTGATTGAGTTAAACCAGAATGGCCTGGAGCGTGGACACAAAGAGGGAGCAGGAGAAGCGTCCCCATCTCAGGCCGGGTGTGGCCGCACACACCTGCCGTCCAGCGCTCAGGAGGCTGAGCAGGTGGTCGCCACCTGTTTGAGTCTGAGACCAGTGGGCTATGCAGTGAGATCCTGTCTCAGACAGGCAGGCAGACAGACAGACAGACACACCAGCTCCCAGGTGTGAAAATCCCCCACGGCCGACAGCAGGACATGCTCCTGTCTCTCTTGCTCAGACCTGTGTTGCTCTCTGCTTTTCCTCCCCCCCCCCCACCCTTCCTTCTGAGACTCTTTCCCGGATCTTCTCCAACAAATGCGAGCACACCCTGCTCTCTCAGTGGGGACTGGAGCCCCGGAGGCTTTGCCCCCCTCTAGGTTTATTCCCAGAGCCCTGAGATGAGTGTGAGACAGCGGTACCACGAGACACAGGTGGTCATGACATGAAGCAGCAAGCAGACGACCAAACGGGCAAAGGACAGGACTTGGAGGACAAAGTGGGAGTGTGCGCTGGGCTGGGAGGGCAGCGCCCACTGGGGTGCAGCTGGGGCGCCCCCGCAGGCCGGTTCTTCCCCGCCCTGGCCACTTGGAGCCTCCCTCAGAGCAGACCTAGGGTCACGGCTTTGACCTAGGAAGGCCCCATGCCCGCCCTACTCCCTGTCCCCGTCCTGCTGGCCAACCCCCAATACCCTGGGCCCAGGCCACCTGAGCTTCCAGGTCCAGGTCTAGCCTCAGCGCCGCGCTGGGTGGCTCCAGGGCCTCCCCTGAGGGTCTATTTCCATCCCCTGCTGGCTCTGCTGACCACCTGGCAGCACCCTGCTTTAGGCACAGGCTGAGCCTCTTCCCCGAGTGCCTGTCCATGGGATCCCCGCTTGTGGTGCAGGCCCAGAGACAGAGTGGGTCAGTAACTCATCTAGGGTCACACAATGAGCTGGCCACGCAGCCGGACTCCAACGAGGCACTGGGGCTGGTGCCCGAGTGCTGGCTTGCCAGGTGGCCCTGGCAGGTCACCGCAGTCCCTCATTCCTCAAAGACATCCGCTTATTTTAGGCACCTGCCATCTAAAACTGGGACAGGGCCACTTTTAGGATGCATCAATTTCGTTGATGTCAGGATGTAAAGCACACCTCTACCCAGGCTGAGGTGGGAGGGTCACCTCGAGCTGGGCCAGCCTGGGCTGTGTAGTGCGACCTTGTTCAAGACAAAAGAATTCAACAGGGGATTGAGCTCACAAACTTGCGCTTGCCAGGCAGGTGCTTGTGCCACTGAGCTAAGCCCCTGGCCCTCCAAAAAGAAAGAAAACAGAATGTCTTGAAGCCAGCAAAGCGTTGTGAATTCTCTGGAAATGGTACCTGCTAGCCCTGAAAGTGTCCCCAGGCCCACAGGTGCTTGGGATTGGTCAGTCTCTGCCTGTCTCTGCCTCCCCTCACCCCTCTCACCTTCTGGGTCACGGAGCTGCTCTTTCCAGGATAAGCACCTCAAACAGGGCTCAGGCCAGCTGTGCGTGCCCTGTGATGCCCGGTGGCAGACTTTGACACCCTTGTAAGACCTGATGCACTACAAAAAAGATGTGCTCTGCCACCGAGCAGCACCCCAGCCTGGGAACCTGAAAGCTAGGAGCTTAACGACCCCCTGCATCCCACCTCCTCAGCCTAGGGCACAGGGCGAGATGGAGACGGACCTCGCTGCTTCTCACTCCTTTGAGAGAAGCCTGGTGGTTGTGGGTTGGTTATTTTGTTTGTTTATATTTGGTACTGGGGACTCGAACTCAGGACTTCATGCTTGCCAGGCAAGGGCTATGCCCCTGAGTTAAACCCCCAGGCTCTGTTGGTGGATTAGGGGGTAGGGGGTCATTGTTACCTTTGTTTAGCAAAAGGTAAACGGAGGCCCATGGCATACATAAAAAAGCTTTGTGTCACACAATGCGACTCCTGCCCTTGGGAGGCTGAGACAGGAGGATCCCCGTACATTGGAGGCCAGCCTGGGCTCACTACCCTGGCTGAGAACCATAGGAGCAGAGGTCCCTGAGGCCGCTGGCCTCTGCCGCAGTCACCATCCTCTCCCCTCTCTCTGCTTCTGCCTTCCAGACTATGCAGAATTCATTTTCCTAGGACTCTTTATGTCCGAGATGTTTATAAAAATGTACGGGCTGGGGACGCAGCCTTACTTCCACTCCTCCTTCAACTGCTTCGACTGTGGGGTAAGTGCTGCCCAGGTCAGAGGCCCTCCAGCTCTGTCCAGTCACTGGGCAGGGGCAGCTCCACCCTGAGACCCCAGAGGAGCCCAGGCCAGAGTCCGGGAGGGAGAGCAGGAGGACTGCGTCCCTGGATCTGGTGAGGTGTGGGCCGAGCGGGAGCCTGGCCCTGACCTTGAGACCCAGCTGTGATTCCAGGTGATCATCGGCAGCATCTTCGAGGTCATCTGGGCCGTCATCAAGCCCGGCACGTCCTTCGGGATCAGCGTGTTACGAGCCCTCAGGTTACTGCGCATTTTCAAAGTCACAAAGTGAGTCTCCCCGGGGCCCTGGCCTTCAGATGGACGGACGGGCTGGGGGACCCTGGGGTGGCAGCCTCACCCCGCCCGGCCTCGGTGGCAGGTACTGGGCGTCCCTCCGGAACCTGGTCGTCTCCCTCCTCAACTCCATGAAGTCCATCATCAGCCTGCTGTTCCTCCTCTTCCTCTTCATCGTGGTCTTCGCCCTGCTGGGAATGCAGCTCTTTGGCGGGCAGTGAGTGCCCCGGGCATGCCCAGAGCTCCCACATCCCTGACCCCTGCTGCAGCCCTGAGGGAGCACGACCCTGGGTTCCACTGGGCGTGTTGTCCTGGAGACCGGGCTGCTGCAGGCACTGCCCTGGGGACAGGGTGTACAGCAGTGAGGCGGGGCTCACACCTGTCGGTGTCCCCCCACAGGTTTAATTTCGACGAAGGGACCCCTCCCACCAACTTCGACACCTTCCCTGCAGCAATCATGACTGTGTTTCAGGTAGGACCCTCGAGGCTGGGGCGGGGACACTAGGCCTCACCTTGGCGGCCCGCCCGGCTCCAGCATGGCGCCTTGGTCTTTGCTGCCTTCGAAGGCAGACCTTACTATTACTGAGACCAAGCAGACCAGGGACCAGTGTCACTGGGGACATGGGATGTGGCTGGCTGGCAGCACGTGGAGCCCTGCTGTTCTAGGAGGCTGAGGCAGCTGGGTTGCAAGTTCTAAGTCCACCTGGGCAATTCCGAGATTTTGTTGCAAAATTCAAGAAGGGGAGGGCATTGGGGACCTGCTGAGTGTGGAGGTGTGCACCTGTCCTCCCAGTGCTTGGGAGGCTGAGGCAGGAGGATCTCAGGCTCAAGCGTGCCATGGGCAACTTAGCAGGATCACCGTTCAAAACATAATAAAAAGGGCTGGGGGAAGGGTGTGGGGGCTGGGGTGTAGCTCAGGGCAAAGGCCCTGGGGTCAGCCCCTGTTACCACCAGAAGAACTAGAAGTTTATGCACAAGAAGGTGCTGTATGCGCAGCTGGGTCCAGTGTGGCAGTACAGGGCTGCAGAGGGCAGGACCGTGGGGCACCGCCCTCCTGGGATTGCGGAGCTTGGCAGGGTCCCTCCTGGGGAGGCAGAGACCCTAGGGGACAGGGAGGACACGGCCAGGAGAGGCCTGCGCTGCACACAGGTAGGGCAGATAGAGGCCAGGGGTGCAGTGCTGCCGTACTCCACTGTGCGTATACGCATGTGTGCGTGTGTGGTGAGCACGTGGGGTGACCCCAGGCCTGTGTCACTGAGCTCCGGCCCCAGCCCCTTTCTTTAGGTTTTATTTGGGAGCAAGGTCTCACTGAGTCCCTAGTTTGCCCAGGCCAGAACTGGCAACCCTCCTGCCTCAGTCTCCCAAGTGCCATGATCACCACTGTGCGCCCGCCCAGCCTGGCCCAGCCTATAGTGTTCGAGATTCCACTCTTGCTCTCGAGCCCAGCCTTTCCAGCTTCGCCTCGGGTCCTCCCAGCCTCCGCCTGCACTTCCTGGAGAGCCCGGGTCTCCTTGTCTGAGCCTGGGTCCAGGGTACAGGTGGAACCAGCGCGCTCATCGGTGCTGCCTGGCCGGGGGTCCTGCAAGGGAGGGGAGCCCCTGGTCACCCTCCATGCCCTGCCTTCCTTCCTGCCCTGCCAGGGTCTGTGATGTCCCCTCCCGACGCCCTGCTGTCATGGTCAGCCTCTGGCTGGGGCCTCATATGTGCTGGGCACCCAGTGGCCAGGTCACAGTTCAGCCACCAGGAGGAGCGGAGCTGGACATGGTGTCCACCCCCACCCGTTCTGAGCTCGGGGCAGGGCCAGGGCCAGGGCCAGAAAGAGGTGGCAGACACCGGCTCTCGGCCCGAGGTCAGCGGCACCCACCCCTCCTCCCGGCATGGTGGAGGGAGGCCCTGGTTTCACCTCCTCTTCTTTTTGTTTGCTTTTGATCCTGGATGTTGAACCTGGGACCTCGAGCTGAGCTCTGGCCTCAGCTGCTTTCAGTTATTTGTTTGTTTGTTTGTTTGTACCAGGGATCGAACTCAAGACCTTGCTCGCCAGGCAGGCCCTTAGACCACTGAGCCAAACCCCCGGCCTCATTTTTTATTTTGAGACAGGGTCTTACTAGGTCACTGAGTTGCACGAGCTGGGTTGCAATTTGAGACCCCCCTGCCTCAGTCTCCCTGAGTGCTGGGCTCACAGGCTGTGCCCGCACACTTGATTCCTCTTCCTCCTCTAAGGGCTGCCAGGAATCCCATCACAGCACCCTACGCTCCGTGCCCCGGGAACCCCAACACCTCCCGGGCCCTACTCCAGGTCCCTGGCCATGGGGAGTCAAGAGCTCCAACCGCCTTCTGAAGGGGGCACTGCCCAGGTCACAGTGGCCCCTGGAAGTGTGTGACCCCCACCCCAAGGTTCCCTTTGCCCAGCAGCCGGCTGCACCGGAGCAAGAACAGCCCTGCCCTCCCTACTCAGGGGTGCTGAGGCCCCACCTCTGTCTCCTCAGATCCTGACCGGCGAGGACTGGAATGAGGTCATGTACGATGGGATCAAGTCCCAGGGTGGCGTGCAGGGCGGCATGGTGTTCTCCATCTACTTCATCGTGCTCACGCTCTTCGGGAATTGTATCCTTCTTGCTGGGCGTGGGGGGTGGATGCCAGCACCCTTCCCTCCCCCTCTCTTCCTCCTCCCCTCCCCCTTCCCTTCCCCTCCCCTTCCCCCTTCCCTCCCTCCCCCACCCCCTTCCCTCTCCTTTCTCTCCCCTCTTCTCTTCCTTTTCCCCTCCCCCTTCTTTTCCCCTCCCCCTCCCCTCCCCCCTCGGCTGCTGTCCCTGACTCAGCCTCAGACACCCTGCTGAACGTGTTCCTGGCCATCGCTGTGGACAACCTGGCCAATGCTCAGGAGCTCACCAAGGTGCGCCGGCCCACTGGGCACCATTATCGCCTTGAGGCAGAGCAGGATGGCAGGGCAGGGGCAGGAGTCAGCGGGGCAGATATGGGGACCCTGACCCAGCCAGCCGTGCCCCAGAGGGCGGAGGGGACCTGGCGGTGAGCTGTAGCTCAGAGCCTGTGTGTAGGGGTTGGACGGGGAGCCGGGCACCTGCGAGGCTGAGGCAGGAGGGTCCCAAGTTCAAACCCAACTTAGGCAAACTAGATACTCAGCGTGACCCTGGCAAAATAGAAAAGGACTGGGGCCATGGCTCTGCAGGCCCAGGGTTCAGTCCCTGAGAGAGAGAGACAGAGAGAGAGAGAGAGAGAGAGAGAGAGAGAGAGAGAGAGATTGAAAGAGGGGTGGGCAGCATCGGAGGGAAGGGAATTGGACAAAGGTTCCCTGGAGTGGCTCCATCCCAGGCTGGTGAGCACCGTCCCCTCACAGGGTGACACAGGAGCAGGGTCACAGGGACCCAGACAGTGCTGGGGCTGAGGGAAAGCAGCTGACACCAACCTGTGACCGTGGGGAGCCCAGAGCTGTGGCCAGGCAAGATGGGAGGGGCTGAGGACCCCCTCCACTGTCCCCATCCCCTGTGGGAGCCAGGCAGGACACCGCACACATAGGTTGGCGTCCAAGGAGAACAGAGAGCCTGGCCGTAGATAGAGCCTCCCCGAATGGCCCAGGCTGGCCTCAAACTCTTGGCGATCCTCCTGCCTCAGCCTCCCCAGTACTGCCACTGTGGACAAAGGCCGCTGTGCTGGCTCTTTCCTTCTCCTTTGCTCTGACTACTCTGTGTCACCAGTGAAGCCTGCACCGTGGTTGAGGACAGGAAGTCCAAAACCGTCACTGTTGGGGTGCTCTGTGTCTCACCTCCACACCCCAGTGTGGCCCAAGAGCCCAGCTTCCCTGCCCACGGGGCCAAGAGCACTGGGCCCTGCTCGCCCCTGTGAGTCAGGACTCCAGGTTCTTCTGTGCCTGGTGCTGTTCCTGGGACAGGGCAGGGCAAGAGTTGAGCTGTCCTGGAGAGCGCCGGGAACCTCTGCATCACTGTCACTGCAGCCCCACGTGGGGCGGGGACCCTGGGCCCTAGGAGTCTCTCACTGTGGCTTCCTTTTGCTGTGTGTTCACAGAGTTCCTAAAAAGCTGGGAAACTCAGGCAGGGCGGTGCACGCCTGCAGTCCCAGCACTCGGGAGGCTGAGGCAGGAGGATCATGAGTTTGAGCCCAGCTTGGGAAACTTAGTAACTTAGTGAGACTGTTGCAGAATTTTAAAAGTGATTTTTCTCTTTTATGAGACAGTCTTGCTATATAGTTTAAGCTAGCTCGAATGCATGCCAGTCCTGCCTCAGCCTCCTGAGTGCTGGGATGACAGGCATGCACCATCACACCCGGTTTCAAAATTTAAAAAAAATGTTTTTAAAGGTCTAGGGGCCAGGCATGGTAGTGCACGCCTGCAGTTCCAGCACTGTGGAGGCTGAGGCAGGAGGATTGTTGAGAGTTTGAGACACAGGTTGGAGCTGCAAAGTGAGCTCAGGGCCAGCCTGACCTGCAGAGCAAGACCCGGTCTCAAAAAGAGGGAAAAAAAAGCCACTCTGCAGCTCGGTGCAGAGCCCCGGCTTCAGTCTCCAGGTTTCCTGGCCACACCGAGGAGTCACGCTGGCCCCGGACAGGGAGCGGGTGAGGGCGTCAGCAGGGGCCTTCTCCTGCTGCCCTTTCCAGCCCAGCCCAGGTCAGCAGGAGCCCAGGCCTGGTCCCCTGAAGGCTCTTCCTGCCCTCCAGGATGAGCAGGAGGAGGAGGAGGCGGCCAACCAGAAGCTAGCCCTGCAGAAAGCCAAGGAGGTGGCAGAAGTGAGTCCCCTGTCGGCGGCCAACATGTCCATAGCTGTGTAAGTTTCCCAGGCCAGGCAGGTGGGGGAGGGGAGGGCGGCCCCCCCACGGCTGTTTCCTGAGCACTTGCTACAGGCCCAGCCTGCTTGGCCTGGGTTGCTCTGCGGTCTACTCCGCATAACCGCCAGAGTCGGGGAGGAGGGCACAGTGATGGGGATGAGGTCGGCAGCACAGGCCTGTGATCCCAGCTGCTCGAGGGCAGGAGGTCATGAGTTCAAGTCCACCCAGGTACTGCAGCGAGAGCCTGCCTGTGTAGAAGGAGCCGGGATGTAGCTCAGTGGTAGAGCAAAGGCAGCGTCAGTCCCTAGTGCTGCAGAAGGCAGACAGACAGACAGAGGGAGGATGGGGAAGGCAGGGAAGGGCCCCTGTGACTTCTCACTGTGGCCGGGAAACTTCCTGAGATTCTGTCTTGGGATTTTAAAAACCATTTTTTGAGACAGAGTCTCCAAAGCCAAGGTGAGCGGAGAGCAAGCAGGAGGTAGGACAGAGGCCACTGGCAGGCGAGGTGGGGACTGGTGCGGCTGTGGCTCTGGGGTGGGGGAACCACGGGGTTCTTGAGCCAAGCAGTTTTGGGACCTGATCCGGGTGCCCAGAGCCAGGAACAGGCAGTGGCGAGGCGGGTGCTGGGTCAGGAGGACCCTAGGCTTGAGCATAGCCCGAGAAAGACGCTGTCTCAAGACTGAACTGAGAAGAGCCAGGCAGGCAACTCCGTGCAGAGGCCCCGGTGGCACCCCAGTACCAGGCGGAAACAGAGAGGGGACCCATGGCAGTTTGCCTCACCACTGCCCTGAAGCCCAAGGCCCACGCAAGGGGGACCCTAGGCAGCCGGGGATCCGAGGCAGGGGGCTCCTGCGGGTGGGGGCGTCTGGGGCCTGCTGGAGGCCCCTGTCCCGCCTTCCTGGGCGGCTGCAGGCTGTGGTCCTCCCCGGCCGCTGTCAGCAGGGCTGTTCCCAGCCCGGGCGGGAGGTGCTGACCGACCACCAGGCCGGACGCAAGAGGCTGGACGGGAACTGGTGGTGCCGCCGGCCTCGCCCCAACGCTGCGCCTTGCAGGAAGGAGCAGCAGCGGAACCAGAAGCCGGCGCGCTCCGTGTGGGAGCAGCGAGCCAGCGAGATGCGCAGGCAGAACCTGCTGGCCAGCCGCGAGGCGCTGTACGGCTGCGAGCTGGACCTGGCGGCCGACGAGCGCTGGCCCGCGGCCTTCGCGCGGCCGCTGCGGCCGGACATGAAGACTCACCTAGACCGGCCACTGGTGGTGGACCCGCAGGAGAACCGGAACAACAACACCAACAAGGGCCGCACCGAGCCGCGCGCGCAGGAGCCAGGCCGCAGGGCGCCGCGCAGGGCCTGGCCGGGCGCGCAGGAGCCGGGCCGCGAGGGCGCCCCCGGCCGCGAGTGCGAGGAGCCCGGGGAGCCGGCGCGCAGGCGGGCGCGGCCAGGCGAGCGCAGCAGGGAGCGGGAGCGGGAACGCGACGCCGGGGACGGGGAGCCGCGCAGGCCCCGCGCGCACCGCAGGCCGGGGGACGACGAGGAGCGCAGGCGCCACCGTGAGCTGGACGGGCCCGAGGGCGCAGAACGCAGGCGGCGGCACCGGCACACGGGTGGCCCGGGTGCCTTCGAGGGCGATGCACCGCGCCGGGAGGACAAAGAGCGGAGGCACCGGCGCCGGAAGTGAGTGGGGGTGCCGGGGCGCGGGGGACCCTCCTGCCTCGGCCTCCATGGGAGGCGTAGGTCTGGCCAGGGATCCCAGTCAGGAGCGCTGGGGACCCGTGCACCCTTCTGTCCTGGCAGTGCTCGCACAGTGATTTTCCTGTGGCTCCTGCTTTTTAGCCCTTCCCACCCACACCCATCTGGACTCCACCCATTGTTTTGGGAGCAGTCAACGTTGGGGGTGCAACCAGGAGCCCCCTCCTGAAAAACCACGTTTAAATCCCTCTCCGGTTCCCACTCCACACCAGTACAGTTCCTTTACTGCTAATCACTTACCCAAAGCCCCTTCCCCAACCATATATGAATTGGGGGTGTTGCTTCAGAGCACGCGAATTCCGGGATGCGTTTTCCGTGCCCAGTAGAAGCTCTCTGGGAAGTAACCAGGGAATGGTGCCTGGGCCAGGGCCCAGAGCTGGGCTTACAGGAAGAGCTGTTGGAACAGCGAGCTGAGCTGCATGTGCTAAGGTCCGAGGGTCTACTCTATATGACTGTTTTCAGGGCATAGAGCGTAAGAGGAAACCACGAAGTGACTGTGGTACCAGGTCCCCAGTTCCCGGGTCCCTTGGGAGAATGAGAGGCCCAGGAGGGATTCAGGTGGACCGAAGTGTCCTTCGCACATGACTGTGACCACCGGCTTTGTTACCCTGTCTGCCTGCAATGGAAGGGGGCGGGGCAGGTGCAGAATGGCTGTCCTCCACTGTGTGCCAGGCAGCGGTTTTCACAGTGCTGAAGCAGGGCCTGGGCCAACTCAGACTCCAGCAGTTGGCCCACCTCAGCCCCTGACTGCACTGCCCCGACAGCTGGGACAGCCGTAGAGGCTGAGCGTCCCCGGGCACTGTGGTCAGAAGGACTTCGCAGCCGGCGTGGAACGCAGAGCCCCATGGCCTGTCCACCCCAGCCCGGGCCTCTGCAGATAGAAAGCCAGGCTCAGCAGGAGCAGGGATCCTCCTGGGAGCCGCCTGGCCCTCTGCCCCCCACTTCCGGCCCCCTTGATGGGTTCCCCCTAGCAGCACCAGGAAGCCCCTGCTGGGGTGCAGGGCCTACCCCAGAGCCAGGAGACCTCTGCTCCCCTGGGTTGATTAAAAGAAAAACTTCAGTGCTCGGTGGGACAGCCTTGCCACATCGCACTTCCCACTTGTTTGTTGAGATAGGGTCTTGCTGTGTTGCCCAAGCTGGCCCCAAACTCCCAGGCTCCAGCAATCCTCCCACCTCAGCCTCCCGAGGACATGCACAGCCCCGCTGACTCCAGGATTTTAAGAGGAAGAAAAAATCCAAGATGAGGCTTCCATCTGCTTTACAAAACAATAGTGAGATCATAAAGACAGGAGCCAGGCGCGGCAGCAGCATCCTCTGCTATCCCAGCGCCATCCCAGCACTCGGGAGGCTGAGGCTAGAGGATCGCCGTGAGCCGGGCCAGCCTGACTCATAGTGAGACGCTCAGTCATTCTGTGGGCGCTGGGGTGGAGGAAGTCCCAGGAGGCCCCATGGCACTTGTGCCCCCTCCTCCAGGTGCCCTCAGAGATGCTCTGCTTCTTGCCCCTGGCCACCTGGCAGGAAACACTGGGGTCACTTGGGGCACCGGACTCCTACCTGCCTGACTTCTGGGAGCCCCTGGCTGCAGGCTTGGGGTGGCCCCGGGCTCTGTGTGGCTGCTCTGTGTGTCCCTGTTCTGCAGATCTCTCCTGCTGTGCTGTCCTTTATGCGCAGCCCCCGCAGGAGGTGCCCCTGCCTGTCCTCCCAGCAGGCGCCTTGCCGTGTAGCCTCCCTGGGCTGCGCTGTTCTCACCTGTAGCCTGTGGGGGCTATTGCCCTCAGGGACGGCTCTGGGCCAGCCCATGCTCAAGTCCCTGTGGACAGTGCTGCTGTGACAGCCAGCATTGGGGAACAGTGCCAGGAAGCAAGGGGTTTGTGCTGGGCACAGGGCACTAGCCAGAGATCCCAGAGACTCGGGAGGCCAGGGCAGGGGGGTCTTGGGGCAGGCCCAGCCTGGACAGCATGGCAAGACCCTGCCTTCCCGGCGTCCAAGCTGTGCCCGTGGTCCCCCCGGGCTGCCGTGGCCTAACCCACTCCTGCCCTCCACAGAGAGAACCAGGGCCCGGGGCTGCCAGTGTCTGGCCCCAACCTGTCCACCACACGGCCCATCCAGCAGGACCTGTGCCGCCAGGACCCACCACTGGCTGAGGACATCGACAACATGAGGAACAGCAAGCTGGCCACTGGGGGCTCAGCGGGGCCCCCCAACAGCCTGGGCCCCCCAGGGCCGCCCCAGAGCCCAGCCAAGACGGGGCCTGGCCCGGATCTGGGCCCCATGCCCAACCCACCTGCCACGGCCGCCAACGCCCAGAACCCCGCCAGCCGTCGGATGCCCAACAACCCGGGGAACCCAGCCAACCCCGGGCCCCCCAAGACCCCTGAGAACAGCCTTATCGTCACCAACCCCAGCAGCACCCAGAGCAGCTCAGCCAAGACTGCCAGGAAGCCCGACCACACCACCGTGGACGTGGCCCCCGCCTGCCCACCACCCCTCGACCACACGGTTGTGCAAGGTGAGGACCCCACATGGGGACATTGAGGTCCCTGGGCAGAGGGGGTCCCAGGGCCTGTGCAGTAGGATACACACAGCACTCACCACACAGGGGGAGGAGGAGCCCCGAAAACACAGCAGGCTGAGGCAGGAGGATCCCAAGGTCAGGGCATTCTGGGCAAGTTTTTTGAGACTGACTTAGGAGGAAGCTGGGCGTGGTGCCTCTGGTCTCTCATCACAGTGCACTTGGAAGGCTGAGGCAGGAGGATTTAAAGTTCCAGTCCCACCTGCACAACTTAGGAGACCTTGTCTCAAAGTTAAAAAAAAAAAAAAGTGGCCGGTGGTCAGTGGCTGGGGAGCCCTCTGAAGCTACGGAAAGAGTAACATTAGTAATAGTAACGTCCCATGGGTAGCCCGGCACACTTGGGCATACAGGGGCCCAGGGAAGCACCTGGGGCCAGGCTGCCCAGGCTCAAATCCCTCCCTCCCTCTTCGGACTGTGGCCTCGGGTCAATTGTTTACTTCCCTGGGTCTCGATCTCCTCACCTGTCAAATGGGGATTGTAAAGTACCAACCTCAGTCAGGCACGGCCCAGAGTGGAGTGCTCTGTAATCCCAGTGCATGTGAGGCTGAAACAGGAGGATCTCAGGTTCAAGCCCAGCCTGAGCAAGACCATCCCAAAATAAAAATTGAAAGGGCTGGGGTGGAGCTCAATGTGGGGGCCCTGGGTCCCCCACCCCCACGCCCGTCACTGCACATAAATTAGAAACCCCAGGAGGGTACCTGAGGGTTCTGGGGCAGGAAGTCACGGTGGGAGGCCGCTGTCCCTTCTGCTCCCCGCAGTGAATAAAAACGCCAACCCAGACCCACTGCCAAAAAAGGAGGAGGAGAAGAAGGAGGAGGAGGAGGACGCTGGCGAAGACGGCCCCAAGCCCATGCCGCCCTACAGCTCCATGTTCATCCTCTCCACCACCAACCCGTGAGTGCCAGACACCTGCCCACAGCAGGTTCCACGCCCGCCATCCCAGCTACTCTGGAGGCTGAGGCAGGAGGGTCGCAAGTTGGAGCCCAGCCTGGACAAGGTAGCAAGACCCTGGCTCAAAGTGACTTTTTTTTTTTTCTGAGACAGTGTCTTGCTATGCAGTTCAGGCTGACCTTGAGCTCACTGTGTAGCCCAGTCTGGTCTCAAACTCGCAGCAATCCTCCTGCCTCAGCCTCCCAAGTGCTGGGATGACAGGCGTGCGCCACCATGCCTGGCCTCAGAGTAAAATTTTAAATTAAGCCGGGAGTGAGGCTCAGTGGTAGAGCACTTTCCCAGCTTGGATAAGCTCTAGGTTCAGCACCCACACCACAAAAAATAAAACTGATTGGGTCTTCAGTCACACAGTATGGAAATGTGTCCTCATATGTGGTTAGAAAAGACCTCTTCCTGCCACCAGCTAAGAGAATCATCAGTATCAAATCTGCACCATAATGTTATGAGAAGGCCTTTTATTTTATTTTTTTGTCTTTTTGAGGCAGAGTCTTGGTCTGCAGTCCAGACTGGCCTTGAACTCACTTTCTAGCCGAGGTTGGTCTCAAACTCATAGGGATCCTCCTCCCTCAGCCTCCCAGTGCCTGAGCTACATCGAGAGACCCTGTCTCAAAAAAACCCAAAAAGATAACCATGGCCTTTGTCTCAGCTTCTGATCGTTTGTTGCTGAAACAAAATGCCCAATGCCCAGAATGAAAGCAGGAGAGGTTTATTTAGCTCCCAGTGTGTGGAGGTTTCAGTCTGTAACCAGCTGGCTCCAAGGCAGGGCGCGTGGCATAGAGGCCACCGTTCTTGGTGAAGGAAACCAGCAGAGCAGCAGGAGCAAAGTGGGAGAGCCAGCCTCCCCTCCTCCTACCCTGGAAGCAGGCTTCCTGCCCTAGGGCAGGTGCAGGCTCACCGGTCTCTGTGCCCTCCTTCTCCCAGGCTGAGGGTGTCTGCAAGAGGGGCTCCTGGCCCTGCCGCATGGCTTCCTTAAGCTTCTGAACCTCTCAGGTCGACACAGTGCCTCCACCTTTGCAGCCTCCAAAGCTCTGACAAGTCCTGCAGCCCATGGTCTCAGTCCCTGTCCTCGGGAGACTCCCGAGAGCCAGGCACTCGTCACCTCCCTTGGTGGCCATGTTATTACTAAGGGCACAGAGAGGGTATGTCACACAGCCCAGGTCACACAGTGGTTTTAGGAAAGAGGAAGGGCAGACTTCCTGCACCCACGGGGTCAGGGGTCCGGACCTCAGGACGTGCTGTGCATGGCACAGGAGCACCAGGGGCCTAGGCATCAGGGCACCCCGGGGGACCCGTGGGCGGGTGGGACGGGAGGCCTGCCCCCTGGGTCCCCAGACGAAGACACACTGAGCGCCTGTATCCCGCAGCCTGCGCCGCCTGTGCCATTACATTCTGAACCTGCGCTACTTTGAGATGTGCATCCTGGTGGTCATCGCCATGAGCAGCATCGCGCTGGCCGCGGAGGACCCCGTGCAGCCCAATGCGCCCCGCAACAACGTGAGTCCCGGGCCACGCCCGCAGCCAGCGAGAGAAGCAGGAGGACCGCACCGGGCCTGGGTGCCCACCTGCCTTTCTGGTACCCCAGGGATGGGGCAGAGACCCTGCTTGGAGCAAGAAATCAAGGGCCAGCACCTGCCTGGCCAGCGCAAGGCCGTGCGTTTGAGCCCCGGCACCAAACCTAAGTAGTGACTAGGCATCAAAGTGGAGGTCCCAGGATGGGAGAGGGGAGGAGGGGGGATGGTGCTGTTTGGCTCCGACACAGCGGCTTGAAACCCTGGGGAGCACAGGGCTCGCCATCGTCCCCGTAGCCTGGGTACCTGGCACCCAGCCGTGAGCCTAGGACGTTGGGACAGGATGGCCTGGCCGAGCAGGGTGCAGCCCCCAGTGCCCCTCGGTCCACACAGAGCTGGGCGAAATAAAAGGCATCCAAACCCACAGGCCCACCTTAGGAGAGGGGTCTCTGTCCACAGACATCACTGTTGCCACCAGGGCGGAGGGGCTGCCAGGTCCCGGGAGCCTGCGACCCTCTGCCCTCTGTGCCCCCAGGTGCTGCGGTACTTTGACTACGTCTTCACGGGTGTCTTTACCTTCGAGATGGTTATCAAGGTACATGTGGGAAGAGCCCAGGAGGCTGAGGCAGGAGGGTGGCAGAGAGGAGTCCAGCCTGGGCAACTTAGCAAACACTAAAGAAGCACTGGGGTGCAGCTCGGCGTGAAGCCTCGGGGTCCTGTGCCCGTACAAACACTTACAGTTTCTGGTGGACGGGCTGAGTGTGGGTAGGTGCTGCCCTGGAGCCTGTGCTCAGGTCCACCCTGTTGGAGGGGCACAGCCAAAGGAGACCCCACCTCATGCCAAGGGTTCTGCTCGTGGCCCCGGGTTTGGGGTCCCAGCGCTACTGCTGTGCCCACAGATGATCGACCTGGGGCTCGTCCTGCACCAGGGTGCCTACTTCCGTGACCTCTGGAACATCCTGGACTTCATCGTGGTCAGCGGGGCCCTGGTGGCCTTTGCCTTCACGTAAGTCCCAGGGCCCTGGGTGCGGAGGAGGGGTTCCTGGGAGGACCCCATGCTGGGTGCATGAGTGCAGGGGGACAGGCAGCCATGGCCCCACCACGTCACGGCCATGCCTGGCGCTTTCGGGACATCTCATCCCTGCTCCACGCCCCTGCCCTGCTGTCCCTTTGGGAGCCCCTGGAAAGACACCCAGGACGCGAGTGTGCATGAAAACCCCTCCCGCCCCAGCTGGGCCGTCACCATGGCCCCCGTCACTGCCTGGTATACTCGCCCCCTCTCCAGCCAGTCCTGATCACTCTACCCCTCAGGGTCACCTGTCCTCACGTGGCTCTAGGGTGGCGCCTTGGTGGTAGGGGTGGCATGGAGATGGTACCAAAAGTGGAATAGCTGTTCCGTGGTGACACCCACGGCATCCTAGACACCCAGTATGGCCCCCAACTTCCTGGAAGGCCATCTCGGGTCTGTTTTTGTTGCCGTTGTTGTTTGCAGTAAGAATCTAGGACTTGGTGCTTGCACTGTGCCCCTGAGCTCTACCCTGGCCATGTCAAGATGGCATGGAGGGCTTAGCAGGCAGGCCACAGGGCGCCTGAGCCCCGGGAAGCCCTTTCAAGTGGCACCAAATCCCTGAGTCGCCATTTCAGGGTGGTGCCCTGAGCTGGGCATCCGCCCCGTGATGACACCCATGGGCTCCAGAAGTCATTTCCTAAGGGTCCTCTCAACATGGCGGCCGCGTTAGGCAGCCATGTCAAGATGGCATCCGGGAGTGCAGCTTCCAGTTCAAGATGGCGCCTCACTTCCCGCAGCCGTCTCCAGGTGGAGCTGCAGGGCTTCTCAGCTGCTCCACACTGGGGCCTCACTTCTGCGTGGCCATTTGCAGGGTCTGATTCTGGGCGTTTTGGAAGTGGTGCCCAGGACTGAGGAGCGGTCCCCGCCGTGGAGACCTTTGTCCCAGACCGAAGGTGACAGGCTCAGCAGTATGTCCTGGGGAGTCAGGCCGTGTTCAGGGTGCAAAGCTGGGGACGCCCCACGATGGGCAGCTGGCACTGCGACTCCACCCAGACTAATACCCCCCCACCCCCTACCTCCCCCACTGGCCCCTTTCTTCTCCACCCCAGCCTCCTCCTGGAGTCGTTCGTCAGCGTTTGAAGAACTTGTAAATAATGACAGCAAATCAGGGGCTTGGCATCTTTATCAGAATGACACTGTGTGCACGCCTGTCACCCCGCCCTCTGGAGGCTGAGGCAGGAGGATCTCAGGTTCAAGCCCCGCTTGGGCAAACCTCAGTGGGTCAACTGACACAGGGCATGAACAGGAATTTTATAGATCGCTGATAATTAACAAAAAGGGGCTCTGGGCTCGATGGCCAAGCCCATCTGTCCTCCTGAGAGGGTCTGGAGTTCGAGGCCAGCCTGGACTGCAAGGGAAAGGGGCCAAGGCCCAACTTAACTGAGGAGTTCAGTGATGCGTAAAATAAACAGCAGACACACATGGTATTTCTCCCAGCATCCTGGCACCGGGTGGTTGGTTTTGCTTCATTCCTGAGGCAGGGTCTCGATAGGTGGCCCTGTCTGGCCTAGAACTCACAGAGACCCTCCCGCCTCTGCGGCTGAGTGCTGGGATGGCGTGGTGTGCACACCACGCCTGGCCTGTTCATTTGGGAGGATCTCAGGATGCAGCTCCCGGGTCCCTGTCCCTGCTTAAGCAGGTCCTTCTGAGAGTGGAGAAAGTTTAAATTCTGGAAGCCAAAACCCAACCCTAGCTCAGGAGATGACCTGAGCCCCTGCTGCCTGACCCCTCTCCCTGCTCACCCTGACCCTGTGCCCTGATGGACAGTCAGCACCCGCCTCCCTGGGCCCTGAGGCCTGCCTAGGTCACCTGCAGTCCCCTGAGGGCCCCCACACCTGGCTCCATCCCAGCTACGGCAGGGACCCTAGATTTGGGCAGGGCATAGCCGCAGGGCAGGAGCCAGCTTGTGATCCCTGAGCTGAGTTCCCGGCAGGTTCTGGAGGCCCCACCAGCTTGTTTTTAGGGTTCTTGGCTTGGTTTCGGGTTTTGATGTTTACTTTTTGTTTTGCTTTGTTTTGCTGGGTGCTGGGGCTCAAACCCAAGGCCTTTGCACTGAACACCAGCCCCATTCCCAGCCCTGTTATGTTTTTGATCTTGGGACAGGGTCTCCCACGTTGCCCTAGCTGCTCTGGGACTTCAAACCCTCCTGCCTTAGCCTCCCAGACAGCACCACCACTCCCAAAGCCTGGCCCCATAGCCTCAAAGCAAACTCCCGCCTCATAGGCTGGGCGTGGCTGGGGTGAGGCCCCCAGGCTTCTGTCCCCAGCCCCACAAAAACAGCCATCAAGACTCCCGAGCAGAAAGGCCCCCTGTGTCACAAAATGTTCTGCCTGTGCAGCCAGCTGGTTCCCCTTTAGACCCCATGCCTGAGGCGGGGACCCGCCGTCATCTGTGTCCTGCAGCAACACCCTGTTTAGACGATTCCGGGGGGTTTACGGTGTGTGATGACCATGCCCCAGGCCGTGGTACTGCCCGACCGCTCCCTTCCAGCGCCAGCCTGCCTCCCCTTGCCTTCCGTCCGCCTTTCATCTGGCTCTTTAACGGATTTACATTTGGGTTTCTGGGCTGAGGGAAGCTGTGTGGTGAACATCCGTGCCTGCTCTGTCTCACCTCCCTTATGGCTGTGAGGTGCCTCCATTTCCTCCCTGTGCCTCCTTTGTGGCAGAGTAGTACTCCCCTGGGCGTAAACGGCACATTTTCTTCATAGGTAACACAACAACGAGCCCTTGACAGACTGCATTGAGTCATACAGGACGTCACACCTGGGCGTGCACACCTGGGATCCGGTGCTCTGGGAGGCTGAGGCAGCAGGATCGCAAGATCCAGCCCAGCCTGGGCGGCTTAGCGGCTTAGCGAGAGACCCTGTTTGAAAACAATGTTTGAATCTCCAATTCACAAGGACTTGGGGACCTGCTTTGGAGCAGGGTCATGAACTAGGATTTGAGGGACTCCAGCTGCTCCCCCATTGCTGCCCAGGTGCCTGGATCAAGCCCAACCTGCTGCCTGAGCTCCCGGCCCAGGACAGAGCAGCCTGGCAGCGGCCGTTTCCACCGCCAGCCCTCCCCACAGACAGAGATGGGTGCTGCCCACCAGCCCACGCCCAGGCCCGGCAGGCACCAGGTTTCTCTCTGGGTGTCCCTGGCCCTTGGCCTCACTGTGCCTCAGTTTCTCTAAGCTGCAGGGAAAGCAGATTTGGCCATAGAGCAGACAGTGGACACACACATGTACAGGTGCACACAGACACGCATGTACACACATACCAGATGGGCTGTGCTGGGCTACAGTGAGCCTGTCTCAGAAAACCACGGTGGGTGTGGGCAGAGGGGGGAGTAGTGGCCTTATGTGTGTCCTCTGCACCTACAGTTCACCCTCAGTCTGCAGGTGGGGAAACTGAGGCACAGGAACATGGGTCTGGTTAGCAGGTGCAGGGTGGCCGAGGCCAGTCCTCCCCACTCGCCTGGATTCTGTGTGTGTGTGTGTGTGTGTGTGTGTGTCCCTCCGTGTCCCCACTCTGTGTCCCACTCCATGTCCATGTCCTGACCCTCCATCCGCTCCATTCCACAGCCATCACCTGCTGTCACTGCTGTGCCCAGATCTGGGTCTCGCCTGACCCCGGGGCTGCACATCCTAGAAGCCTTAGGGGAGACTGGGGAGAGGTGGAAGCGGCAGGAGCAGGGCCTGGAACCTGGGTTTGAACCTGAGCCTGCCACTGCCACGCCCCGTGGCCTGGGGAAAGTCGCTCCCCCTCCAGGCCTCGGTTTCCCCTCTGGGAAATGGGCGTCATGGTGATATCAGCTCAAGTGCAGCAAGGCTCATGGAACTCGCAGGAGACACCCAGAGTCGCCGTCCAGCTGGCACCTGGGTGGTTGGGGCAGCCTGGACAGCACTGCAGGGCTAAGCCATAAAGAAACCCTCCAGGGCATGGTCAGTCCGTCTTAGCTCCCCGAGGCTGTGGCAGGATGATTGCAAGTTCAGAAGTCAGCGTGAGCTACCCCGGGAGCCTCCGATCTCAACTGTGTGAACACAGTTGGTGGGGAAATTGGGTAGGTGATGGGCCCTGGGACCCACACCCAGCACTGGGAACAGTAAAAACTGAGCCAGCTGGGCACAGGCACCTGTCACGCCAGCTCTCAGGAGGCTGAGGCAGGAGGATATCTGTGAGTTTGAGACCAGCCTGGACTGCAGAGTGAGCTCAGGGCCAGCCTGAAATGCAGAGCGAGGCCCTGTTTCAAAAAATAAAGCAATAGAGCTGGGGGCTTAGCTCAGCAGCATAAGCACCTGCCTTGCAAGCAGGCAGTCATGAGTTCAATCCCCAGTACTGATAACAATGAAAAAGACAAAAAAAATAAATAAATAAAAATAAAACAATAAAATGCAGTGAGTCAAGCCAAAGCCAAGCTTACAACCGGCCAGAGTGTGGCGCCACATGCCCATTTCCCAGATGGGATCAGAGAGGTAGGAGGAGGATTCAAACCCAGGTCCTCTCGCAGCCCGAAGCTCTGCCCTCCCAGGGACCCAACAGGCTCCGGCTTCCCAGCCGGACGGGGGGCGGTGGCAGGGGCCCTGTGCGCTGTCCCTGTGTCTGTGTTCTCTCCTCTGAGGCTGCTTCCGACCTGTCTCTCCCGGATGCGGCGTCCCCAGGAGCAGCACACGGTAAAGTCCTCGCTCTCGCGCTCGCACTGTGCGTCTTCGTGCCCCATGCGTTGGCGTCCACACTGGTCTCTCTGTGGCCCTGTGTCCTGCAGCTGTCCTGTTGCTTACAATGACTGGAGCCTGCCCCCCAACACCCCGAGACTGAGGGGACCCAGGGGCTTGTGGCCCTCATGGCCACTGCGACTCAGAAGCTCCAGCTAAAAACAGCTGGGCGGGGTGGGCGGCCAGCAGAGGCAGGAGGGTCTCCAGCCTACCGGGTGGGGAGCGGGGAGGCGGCCCAAGGAAGGGGCAGCGGCCGAGGCCTGGGGTGCTGGCTGCTCCTCAGGCTTCTGGACAGGTGGCACCCTGCTCTGCAGGTCCCTCTCATGGCCGGGGGGGGGGGGGCCCTCCTGGGTCTCCTCTTGAGGAGGGAGTGGGTCTCCCCGCAGACGGCTCCTGCAGCCATCCTTGGGGCCGGGAGAGTTTAGCCTTAGTCTCAGCCACTTAGGAGGCTGAGGCAGGAGGATCTGCGCTCGAGACCATCCTGGATCACTTGGCAAGTTAACAAGAGCCCACCTTGAAACAAAAGTGGGGGCCGGGGGTGTAGCTCAGTAGCATAAGCATCTGCCTGGCAAGGGAGAGGTCATGAGTTCCATCCCCGGTACCAAAAAAATAAAAGTGGGCCAGGACTGGAGTTCCACTATAAAGCCCTCGCGAGCAGGCAGGAGGTCCTGGGGTGCAGAAGGGGGTGCATGGGCGCCTGGAGGGTGCAGTAGAGACCCCAGCCATGCTGTTTCTGCTCTGAGGAAAACACCGGAGCTGGGCACGGTGGCATACGCCTGTCATCCCTGCACTTGGTAGGCTAAGGCAGGAGGGCCAGCCCTGGCTCCGCAGTGAGACCTTGTCCCACAAAACAGATGAACAAGGTCCTGGGGCTGCCGGGTCCTGTGGCACTCTCTGCCCCGCCACTGACACCCAGTCCTCCTGAGTCATGAACCCCAGGAAGGAACCTGGGAAAAAGGCAAATGGGTTTTTAAGGATATTTTCTGATGTTTTTGTTCATGGCTCTGCAGACACAAAGGGCAGAGGACTCGGGGACAGATGGGCCCCTGGGACACCGTCCTGGGTCCCTGCAGGGTCAGAGGTGGTGGACACCTCTTGGTGCGCCCTCAATGTCTCCCCAGCTCTGCACAGCACAGGGCCGCGAGTGAGGGTGGGGACGCGGGGGAGGGTGTGTGGGGCTCCGTGGGGACTCAGCCCAGGGCTCTGGAGGGACAGCAGCCTGCTCCGTCCACGAGGCCTTGGCCACTGAGGAAAAACAGGTGGAGAAGGAAAGTGAGGTGCAGGCACCAGGGGCACATGGGGAGTCGGGACACCCCTCAGGGCTCAGAGGGACTCCTGGAGGCAGAGGCACCCCCATCTGGTCCACGGCCATGTCTGAAGGGACCCCAGGTGCTGCCCGCCCCGCTGGTTCAGGCTTGGCGCCTCTGCCCTGTACAAAGACGGGGAACGCTGGCCAGAGCCCAGGAGCCCCCAAGGCCCAAGCTGAGAAGTTTCCTGGAAATCATGGCCAGGGACACGGGGTGGGCAGCAGGCGGGGCCACCCTGAGCCAGGCACAGTGCCCCATGCCTGTCATCCTACATCTCAGCACTCAGGAGCTGATGCAGGAGGGTCTTGGGGAGTGTGAAGCCAGCCTGGGCTGCACAGCCAGGCTGAGGCTCCCATGAAAGGGACGAACCCACCCTGAAGCCAGAACCCCCAAAGCCCCGGCAGCCAGGCGCTCCTGGAGGAAGGATGGGGTTCACCTGAGATGGGGGGCCGCGGGGCCCCCAGCCCCAGCCTGACAGTGCCCCCTCTCCCTTTCTCCCCACCCTGATTGCTCCACAGCGGTAACAGCAAAGGGAAAGATATCAACACCATCAAATCCCTCCGAGTCCTCCGGGTGCTGCGCCCCCTCAAGACTATCAAGCGGCTGCCAAAGCTCAAGGTGAGATTTGGGATGGAGGGGGGTCCAGGAATCCCCTGCACTGGTGAGCAGGTTGCTCCCTGCCCATGGGTGACAGGTCACGTACACTCGGTGCACACCTGAGATCCCAGCTGCTCAGGAGGCCGAGGCGGGAGGGTAACAGGTCCCTGGGCCAGCCCGGGCGGCACAGTGTGTTCAATATAGCCTTGTCTCAAAGAAGGTTTTCAAAGCCTCTTTTAAATCCCCCACATGAATCCAGAACCCACTGGGAACAGAAGGTAAAAATGAACTCTTCTCGGAAGAAAATGACAAGCTACTAGAAGCTGACCAAGGAGGGCCGCAGGACAGAGACGCCACAGACACCTGGTTTTGCTTGGCTGAGCGAAAGTGACAGAGAGGAGGGGAGTGGGAGACAAAATAGTTAACTAAAACATAGAAGACAGAGAAAGTTCCACGTCAGGCACTAACAGAGTAGCATGAAAGCAGGACTCGGGGCCGGGCTTTAGCCAGTGGCACAGGGTCTGCCGCGCAGGTGCGAGGTCCCGAGCTTGATTGCCAGTACTAAAAACCAATACAGAGACTTCTGCCTTGCTGCAAAGGAGCAGAGGGACCAAGGAATGATTCCGTTACCAGGTGGTCTGTGCTGGGCTCCTGTGTTGTCCAAAGTCTCTTTCTGAGCAAGCCAGGCATGGTGGCGCTGTCATCCCAGCACTCTGGGAGGCTAAGGCAGGAGGATCCCATGTTTGAACCTAGCCTGGGCAACTTAGCAACCTAACAAGAGCCTGACTCAAAATAAGAAAAAAGGCTTGAGGATGGAGTTCAGTGCAAAGGCCCTGGGTTCAGTCCCCAGTTCTAGAAAAGAAAGGCAGCGTAAGGGCCTCCCTGGCAAACAGGAGGTTGTGAGTTCAATCCCTAGTACCAAAAAGAAAAGAAAATGAAATTCTTGATCGCTGATGTCCCCCTCTGGGTGAGGGCGGAGGGTGCCATCTGGCAGGCTCCCCCAATGGGTCTGAGGGCCCCCAGCACACGTGGAAGGAGCAGCCTGAACCCCTCGGCCTCTGTACCCCTCACGTCCAGAGCGCTCCCCACCCCTCAGCTGGCAGACAGGGGACTCAGCAGGGGCAGCAGGAGGGGGCGCTTTGGGATTTTGCCCAGCGCTGCTCCTGTAGGGCTTGTAGGGCTCCCAGCGCACTGTGAGGGTGGGGAAGCCATTAACCCTGTTCAGCTCGGAACCAAGCGTGGGAGAGGCACCTACACAGGGCAGATACGGTGGTTTTCCCGAGTGTTTCCCATCCCAGGCTGGTTGAGGCCTTGGCTCAGGGTCCCTTGGGTGCCCAGCTTGGTGGCACAGGCTTCCAGGCCGCCTGTTCAGGAAGCTGAGGCAGGATGATCTCCAGTCCAAGCCCAGCATGGGCTCCGCCTCAAGCAGACCTGGCTCCGCCTCCCGCAGGCTGTGTTCGACTGCGTGGTGAACTCACTCAAGAATGTCTTTAACATCCTCATCGTCTACATGCTCTTCATGTTCATCTTCGCTGTGGTGGCCGTGCAGCTCTTCAAGGGCAAGTTCTTCCACTGTACCGACGAGTCCAAGGAGTTCGAGAAGGACTGCCGGTGGGTGCTCTCCGCCTGGTGGGCTGGGGATGAGGCCTGAGGGCAGGAGGGAACCGCTGGCGGCCACCTGGGCCTGCAGAAGGAAAGGGGGTTTGGATCCTGTGCCGCCACCAAGGCAGGGGATGCGCGCCCTTTTGTCTCCAGGGTGTCCTGGGTGCATCAATGCACATCCTGGGCCTCCTCCCAAACCCAGCCCCAGGGATGGTAATGCAGGCCCACGGGTCCTCCTCTGAAGCTTGTCACTTGCCGGGCACGGGTACCCGTTTACCAACCTTTCTCAATCCCTGGGCAGAAGGGTTTCAGCTCTCAGAATATCAGTCTGGGGTACAGCCGGGTAGTGACTGCTGGCCTGGCATGCATGGTGCCCGGCCAGTGACGCAGCCCTGCAAAGCATTTTAATGCTCATATTTTGAGATTTTAGGCCGTTTCTGCCCCTGTGCCCACCTAACGCATCATGCCCAGGGCCCTGAGTCAGGCCAGCGTCCCTGGCAGCCAAATGCCGTCAGTGCTGAGAGCAAAGTGCCAGCCTGGTTCCCACATGAATCCCATCTTTACCACATGCTCTTTCCGCCAGGGCCCAGCAGCCCACGTGTCTGTGCCATCCAGGTTTGCTGTGCATCTCAGAACTAGCTATAGGTGTTAGGTCAATGAACAGCACGGTTCACTCCAGTAAAACTTCATTTCTGCAAACTAAACACCTAGAAAAACAGCTGGGGTCAGATGATGTGCCCCGGCTACTGACGAGCTCCTGGACCCCTGGCATCTTCCTGCCTTGGCCCCACAGCAGCTCAGACTACAGGCATTTGGCACCACGCCTGGCCGGAAGCTGAAATCTGAGCTATACCGAGACCCCATCTCACAAAACGCAAACCAGAACCCCTGAAACTAGGATTTGGTAGGATTTTGTTGCTTGTCATGAAAGTGTATGTTACTTGCTTTGAGCTAATTCAAACACGGGCATGGTTCTCAGGAGATAGGGACCGCAGAGATGGTCGGTGGCCCGGCCATGGCCCATGGGCTGTAACTGGCCCTGGGTTAGCAGGGAGAGATCTGGCTTTCAGACCTCCCGTCACCCTGTATCTCCAGTCAGCCCTATGACTGGTTCTCAGGTCTGTGGGGGGCTGATTCCAGAGTCTGCTCAGTGGGTACTCCAGGCTTTGAAAATCACGATAACCATGCATGGTGGCCCACAGCTGTCGTCCCAGCACCTGGGAGACTGAGTCAGGAGGGTCTCCATGAGTTCAAGGTCAGCCTGGGTTACTTAGTGAGACCCTCTGTCCAAAACTCTAAAGTAGGTAAAGTGGCACACTGTTGGCATTCACCCTGCCCACTGCCTGCTGTTGCCTCTAAACATCTCTCAGTGACACACACCAGCCAAGGATACAGCTCAGGGGCACAAGCGCCTGCCCGCCAGCGTAAGGTCCCGAGTTCGATTCCTGGCACCAAAAAAAAAGAAAAGAAAAGAGATCTCACCCATGTGAAGGCCGTGAGCAGTGTTACTATAGATATTAGGCAAGAAGCAAGCCGGGTAGAGCTCTGCATCTGCCCGGCAGGGTCCTTTGGTACCATGCAATCTTCCTTCCGAGGACATGGTCAGTCCCTGGCTGGCTGTGTCCACAGGCAAAGCCCCAGGGGACAGGCCTGGCCATGCTGTCCCTGTCGCTAGTGTCGAGTGTGACTGTGCAGTCAGCAGGGGCTGCAGTCCTTAGCAATCAGGAGGACCCTAGCCAGGTGCAGCGGAGCACGCCCCTCATCCCAGCCGCTCGGGAAGCTGAGGCAGGGGGACCACAAGTCCAGGCCTGGAGCCCTGAGTCGGGCCGACGCCCATCCCCACCCTGCTGGCTGACAGCCTCCGTCCTGTGTGGCAGCGGCAAGTACCTCCTGTACGAGAAGAACGAGGTGAAGGCCCGGGACCGGGAGTGGAAGAAGTACGAGTTCCACTATGACAACGTGCTCTGGGCCCTGCTGACCCTGTTCACCGTGTCCACGGGGGAAGGCTGGCCACAGTGAGTCCCGCAGGGAGGCTGAGGCGGGAGGGGCTCCGGATGGGCGGGGAGGGGCCATCACTTCACCAGGTGGGGAGACCAGGGCCCAGGGCTGGACCTGTCTCTGTCCACCACCCTGAGCCAGGCAGAACAGCCCATGCCTGTCATCCCAGCTGCTCAGAGGCTGAGGCACAAGGGTCTCAAGATGGCAGTCGGTCTGGAGGGCTTAGTGGGACCCTGTCTTAAAAATTTAAAAGGCTGGGGGGTGTGGCTCAGCAGTGAGACATCTCTCGGTTCAAACCCTAGGACCTCCACCCCAAAAACTTTCATATTTAATTCAGCAAGGACTTCCTAAAATTCATTTTGATTGTTTAAATACCCAGAGAGTTTGCATGGCGAGAACCCTGTGCTCGGCCCAGGACGGCAGTCCCCTCTCCTCCTGTCCGGGGCACCCTCCTCGGGTAGTGGGGACAGCTGGGCTGCGGCCAAGGGGGCCCAGCGCATGCCTCCCTCCCCCCAGCAAACACGCACGCCTGCTTCCCACGCCGCCTCTGGGCCCTACAGCCCACCCTGCAGCTGCCCTACCCTGGGCACCCCGAGCACATTTTCAGGGTGCTCATCCAGAGGCTTCACTTACAGCTGTCAGAAAACAGTTCCGTTCAGACATGGCTCTTGAAGGCAACCTGCCCACGATCCCCATCACAGATCTGCAAACCCACCCCAGTGCCAGCAGAGGGGCACCAACAGAATACGTACCACCTGCCTGGGCAGTGCACAGCCTGTACAGCCAGCCGCACAAGGCTGCGGGGCAGCTGCGCTCATTCGCTGGCTCACAAGAGGCCCTGTCACTCCCGCCTTTGCCCCTGCTGAGCCCCACTCCAGGCTGTAAATCCCAAAGGGTCGCTGTGGGCAGCTCCCTGTCAATTGCTGAGCTTCAGTTTCCCTCTGATGGGGCTGCCCATTGCTTGTCCAAGGAGGCTGCTGGGAAGAGAAATGCTGGACGTTATTTTTGGCACAGAAGAGGGCAGGCTATTCAGCCCAACGCTGTTACCAACCAGCTCCCTGTCTCCCTCCTCCTCCTTTCTCCAAATTCCCCTCTGCCCTGCCCCCAACCTGCCCTTTGCCCCGCCCTCTGCCCATGTCCTGCCCCCTCTGCCCGCCTCGCCCCTTTGACCCCCCTCCTCCCCACAGGGTCCTTAAGCACTCCGTGGACGCCACCTTCGAGAACCAGGGCCCCAGCCCTGGCTACCGCATGGAGATGTCCATCTTCTACGTGGTCTACTTCGTGGTCTTCCCCTTTTTCTTTGTCAACATCTTCGTGGCCTTGATCATCATCACCTTCCAGGAGCAGGGGGACAAGATGATGGAAGAGTACAGCCTGGAGAAGAACGAGGTGCTACTTCTGGTGTCCTCCAGAGGCCACAGGCACCGGGAACTCACATACACACACACACACACACACACACACACACACACACACATACACAAACCCAGGAACCACTTCCAGGGCCCTGACACAGTCTGTGGGGGGCCCTCCCTAAGTCTGCAGAGGAAAATCATGAGCCCCCTGGCAGGTGTATTGGTCAGTGCAGCCCAGGGATGCCTAGTAACAAGCATCCCCACACAGGCACGGGGGCCAGTGCTCTCGCACCGCAGGCCAACTCTTCCCTGTGACACTGTTATTCTGTCCCAAGCCTGCCACAGCCGCCTTTCTGAGAGCCCTCAGAGCCCAGTCTGTGGCTCACACCTGCCAATGTCCTGCATCCTGTCAGATCGGGGCAGAAGACTCGCAGGGAAGGACTGGGATGCCTACCTCCACCTCTCCACCCCCCTAAAAGGGAAAGAGCAGGGCAGGAGGGCATTCAGCAGGAGAGGGAGGCCATGCTCAGCCCCTCAGCTGCCTGCCGTGCGTGCCCCCGCAACCCCCCCCCCCGGGGCTCCCTCTTTTGAGCTTGCAGAGCATGCGCACCATGCGCACCGAGGACTGGCCTGGAAGGGCAGAGCCATGGGCACCAGCGGTGCGAGGGGTGGGGCCGTGTCCTGGGGCGGAGCTATGTCGCGGGAAGGGTGTGGTCACGCCGCTGTCCCCTCCCCAGAGAGCCTGCATCGACTTTGCCATCAGTGCCAAGCCGCTGACCCGGCACATGCCGCAGAACAAGCAGAGCTTCCAGTACCGCATGTGGCAGTTCGTGGTGTCGCCGCCCTTCGAGTACACTATCATGGCCATGATCGCCCTCAATACCATCGTGCTGATGATGAAGGTGAGCTGGACCACGTCCCCCAGCGCCTCCCCGGCGGGCCCAGGAGGCGTGACATTGCAGTGTTGCCTTTGGCCCAGGGCTCCCCCAACCCCAGCGCGCTTGGGGCCACAGCGCTGAATCCACGAACCTCAGAGCAGAAAGATGCCCCACCAGAATGCGAGTGGTCTGCCTGCCACCCTAGCAGGGGAGGAGGCTGAGGCAGGAGGGTCCCAAGGTGAAGTCCAGCCTGTCTCAAAAAATAGAACAGGTTGTGGGGGAGCTCATTGCAGAGCCCCTGGGTTCAGTCCCTAGTGCTAACGGATGGGTTGGGGAGGAGAGAAGGAAAAAGGAAAAGGAAACGAAGAGAAGGGAAAATCTGGAGGAAAGGAGGGCGGAGGAGTGGGGAGGCCTCAGGGCCTCTCCAAGGCCAAAACTCAAACCCTGAGGTTTGGAGTCTTGCGTTCAAGTCCAACTCTGCCATGTAACTCACTGTTTCACCTCCCGCAAGAGCCTGGTGACGTCCTGGGGCCTCAATTTCTCTGTCAATAAAATGGGCAGATTAGATGAGAACTCTCAGGCCCTCAGCACTTTCTCAGCACTTAATACATGGAGCTGTTCATATATAATATATATATAATATACATATATATACACACATATATAAAGTTATCTTCCAATACTGGGGTTGAACCCCAGAGCCTTTGCACTAAGCTTTTTTTAAAAATTTTTTTAAATTTTGGGACAGGGTCCCCCTAAGTCACTAACTGGCTCTGCTCAGGCTCCAACTTGTACCTGTCCTGCCTCAGCCTCCCAGAGTGCTGGGATTGCAGACTGGTGCCACAGCGCCTAGCGCTGAGGTCAGGATGGCAGTGCTCATTTGCTCCTGATGGCTCCCTCCGTGTGCTCCCTCCGATGGAGCAGCTGCCCCGAGACACCCATAGGTGTGGAGCCCGGGGTGGTACAGCCCCCACACTCTCCCCCTTGACATGTATTAGAGCAAAGTGTGGGTGCAGCTTGGGTCCAAGAGGTCGGGCCCAAAAGGTGCAGAGAGGGTGCTCAGCGTGTGGGGCCCACGCTCTGTCACCAGCCATAAGTTGTAACAAGTAAGCAAGGCGGCCGGGGCTTGGCTCAGCAGCATAAGCGCCTGCCTGGCAAGCGCAAGGTTATGAGTTTGATCCCCAGTACAAAAAAAAAGTATGTAAGGCAAGAGTAACCAATATCAATTGTGAACAGGTTAGGACCGTCTCCTACGATGGTGTCACCTGAAACTTAGGAGGATAGCTGGCTGCAGTGGCACCTGTCCGTGGTCCCAAATGTGGGAGGCTGAGGCAGGAGGATCACTTAAGCTCAGAAGTTTGAGCCTAAGCTGAGCAGTACAGTGGAATCATCTCCAGGGGGAGAAAGCTTGGCTTGTTTCCTTTGGTTTTAGTTTTTGGTTTTGGAGGGATTTTTAGTTTACTAATTAATTTTTTTAGCTTACTAATTTTTTTTTAGTTTACTAGTTATTTCTGGGATTTTCCATTTAATATTTTTGGACCTCGGATAACTGAAGCCACAGATGAGGTGGGACTACTGCATACATAAGTGGCTTTCTTTTTACCTTTTCACTGTTACTGTTTTGAACCCTTTCACAGAAGCAAACAGCCAGGTGACTAGGCATGGGACCCCAGCTTGTTTGGAGGCTGAGGCAGGAGGGATACCGGGTGTAGGGTCGCATGCCTGTCATCCCAGCCTGCTGAGAGGCTGAGACAGGAGGGTCATTGAGGCCAGCTTGCACTACATAGCAAGACCCTGTCTCAAATGGCAGTTTTCTTCTCTCATTTTGACTATGAAAAGACACCCCAGACTCGGGAAGATCTGGGCTTACCCAAGGTGTCACCCCTGGCGCAGTTCTGCTCCTGGTATCCTCAGGGAAGGACACCAGCGGCTGGCTTCCTGGGCTGACCCTGCCACCCTCTCTTCCTCCCCCTACCTTTCCAGTTCTACGGGGCCTCAGTGGCTTATGAAAACGCCCTGAGGGTGTTCAACATTGTCTTCACCTCCCTGTTCTCGCTGGAGTGTGTGCTCAAGGTCCTGGCCTTCGGGATCCTGGTGAGTACAGGCTGGAGTGCGGCCGCGGGAAGCCAGGGCGCTGGACTTGGGCTGCTCTTGGGGCCACGGACCCTGCTTCAGCACCCCAGTGCTCCCAGGCGGTTCCTCCTCTTCTTCCGAAGGATCCTGGGGGAGAGTAGTGGTAGTTTATCTTGTTAGCGATAGGAAGCCTGAACCCCAAATCCCAGCACCAATGCACCCTTCGCAGGGCCCTGCGTGCTGGCCATGTGTGGATCCCGGCGAAGCCGTCTGTCCCGGTCAGATCCAGGCTCTGAGCCACTAGCTTAGTTTCACCCCCAGCGATCCAAGGGTCTTAACCTAAAACTTCTGCCCCCAAGAGGATGGGACCTGCGGCCGAAGGTGGGGCGATGTGAGCCCAGGAATGAGACGGGAAGAAAATTCCCATCTTCACCTTTCACCAGCCCCTCACCTAAGTGAAACATCTCCTTTCATCTCCAAGGCTGGTGTGCAGAATTGCTTTCCATGGCTGTTTCACTGCGTCATGGCATTTGGGCCTGGAGTGGGCAGAGCTTTAGGGTAGAGCAGAGTTGGACAGGAAGCAGCCAGGGCAATCCTGATTGGCTCCCTGGAGGCCACGCCCCCACAACCGGACTTCCTCCCGCTAGGACCCGCCTCTTAAAGGTCCCACCACTCCCTGTAGTGCCACGGACTGGGATTGAAGTCTTGAATGCGTGGACCTTTGGGAGACATTTATCCAGAGCGCAGCAGTAGATAACAAAACCTGCACTGTGTCATCAGTGTGGTGCATGTCCCGAGTATAAAACTCAGTGTGTGATGTGTTGCGGGAACCTTTGGTTCTCAGTTATGCTCACGACTGTTTCAAAATGCTGCTCGCCATGCAACCCACACCTAGAACTTTCGACTCAGTGTATTAATGAGGTGTACCAAGTGTTAAAGGAGCACTTTTTACCATTTTTTTTTTTCTTTTTGGAGAAGTGTATCCGTAAGAACAGTTGTTCTGATTCTGGCTATTTTTTTTCTCAAAACCATTTTATTTCAAAGAGGAAAAAAATTTCAAAACATGTCAATCAGGGGCAAAAGTGGTGGCTGTTTTATGGATTTACCAGCGTTACTCTGAGAAAGTCTTTCAAGATGACCAAGGGAGGTCAAAAAATACAAAAAAGGAAGGGAGGGATGGAGGGAGAAACAGAGGCAGAGGAAGGAGAGGAAAAGAGAGGGAAGAAAGAAAGGGCAGAGAAAAGAGGAAGAAGAAGAAAGGAATGGGCAAGGGGGAGAGAAAAGAAAAAAACTGGGCAAGGCGACGCACATCTGTAAACCCAGCGTTGTGGGAGGCTGAGGCAGGAGCGTCGTATGAGGCCGCCCTGTGCAACTTAGCGACCCCTGTCAGCAGTAAGAAAGGGCTGGCAGCGTAGCTCAGTGCATCCAGTCGCCATGAAGAGAAGGAAGAAGAAAAGAAGAAGCTTTTAATGAGGATTCCTGGGAGACGCCAGGGACCCCCAGGGCTGTCGGGCCTGGCACTTAGCACCACGGGTCAAAGGAGATGTCCCCATCAGGACAGGGACAGTGCTCGGCAGTGGAGAGGACACCCTCGGCCACCTGACGCTGGGTGTAGCCCCAAACATGGATGGGGAGGAACCAGCTTCCTGTGCACTGGTCCTGGGTTCTAATCCTGCCTCCGCCCCATTCTAGCTATGTGACCTGGACCAGCTGCTTGGCCTCCCTGCACAGGATGGGGAGACCCAGTCCCTGGCCCCCAGGACAGAGGGGAGCTGGGCGTGCTGTCGTTTCATTCTCCCACTGGGGAGGTGATTCTTCTGCTGGGGACTGAGGTTCCATCTCCCTGCTGCTTCTGCAGGAGTCTGCACAGATCACCCCCACTCCATTCTAGAGGAAGCCCCAGATAACTCCATATAGCATTCAGGGTCCAGAAGGAAACTTCAGCCCCGGGCGCAAGGTCTCTGTACAGACACCTAGATGGTTCCTAGCACCTAGTGCTGTTCCTCAAAAGCAGAGCCTGAGACAAGGATAAAGGATCTATCTGGGAAAAGACCCCAAGAAGGACAGGAGGGGAGCACGGAAGAAGAGCAGGAGCAGGGAAGCAGGACAGCTGCCCAGGGTCTGACAGGGCAGCAGCCGGGCCCTGAAGCCAAGACCCAGCCCTGACCGCCCTGTGAGGGTCCTGGGGACTATGTTCTCCATGTGACCCACTGAGGCCCGGGACAGGGCCACCCTGTGTTCTACCTTGATTCTTAGCTTCAGGTAGGATACTGCTAGGAGTGGACTCAGAGGTCAGAGCAGGGTCCCCTCCAAAGGAACAAAGTGTTACCACTGCTACACTGGGTTGAGGGGAGCGGGGAGCTTTCGGAGTACTGGGAACTGTGACTTTCACCAGAGAGCACCGGCTATGTCAGGATTATAACAGCAGAGATGCAGGGGTCCCAGCATTCAGCCAGCGCTGACCCAGGGTGTATCAGTCAGGAAAGACCAAGTTCAGCTGTAGTAACAAGCACACCTGCATCGCAGTGGCCTCCATGGGCAAAGGGTCTTCTCTTCTTTTGGGGGGCTTCTTACACTTTGTGGAGTGAGGAGGTTTTTGCTCCTCAGACCCCAGAGTGGTTCCTATTTGGTCCTGCTCTGAGGAATTGTGACAAGTGTCTTGCTGGCCAGGAACTGACCACACTACCTCTGCTCACGGCAGCCCCAAGGCCCCACCTGTCTGGAGTAAATGATACAGAGGAGCCAGGAGGGCCTGGTGCTATGTACCTGGAATCCCAGCACACTGGGAGGTTGAGGCAGGAAGATCAGCCTGACAAGGTGGCTACTTAGCAAGACTCTGTCCCAAAATAAAAAGGCTGGGGGCAGCTGGCTACGGTGGTGCACACCTGTATTCCTAGCATTAGGGAGGCTGAGGCAGGAGAATCACTGGGAGTTTGAGGCCAGCCTGAACTACACAGTGAGACCCTGTCTGAAAAAAAGCGGGTTTGGGGGCTGAGGGGTGGGAAGCAGCCACCCCAATAGCCACTCCTGTGTCTAAATGGCGAGTACAGTGCCCTGGGGGCCCTGAGCCAGGCCCAGGCTGTGCCCTGTGCTGGCAACCCTGTCCTGTGGGTCCCCGTTCCAGAACTATTTCCGAGATGCCTGGAACATCTTTGACTTCGTGACGGTGCTGGGCAGCATCACAGACATCCTGGTGACGGAGTTTGGGGTGAGTCTCCCACCGGCCTGGGGCTGGGTGGGTGTGGGATGGGACGGAGCCCCTGATGGGGGGGTGGAGGGCGCGGAGGGGCGGTGACGTCCCTGCCTCTGGCTGTGGGTCAGCAATGCAGGTTTGCACTGAGGCGCACAGAGGCAGGGGTCACCCCATTTCCTGGGCTCCAGAAGTCCTGTCCCAGACCCTGTGCTTGGGGAGATGAGAGGAGGCTGGGAGGTCCCCCAGGGCAGAAGGCCAGGGCCTGGGTGGGTACACAGGATCCTAATAGGAGCTGCTGAGTTGGGGCCCTTGGTTGCCTTAGGGTGCTGTGCCATGCACGTCACATGGACTGGCTTCCTGCAAGGGCCTCCCGGCAGTACCTGAGGGTTCCTTCAGGCCGGCATGTGCCCTAGGAGGCTGAGGCAGGAAGATTTCAGGCGTGAGCCCAGTCCAGGCAGCTTAGCCACTTAGGGAAACCCCATTTCAAAATTTAAAAAGTTTAAAAGGGCTGAAGGCATAGCTTAGTGCCAAGGCCCTGGGTTCAATCCCCAGGACCACACAGACAAAATAAGTTTCCTGGAAGGTGGGCAGGCTCGGAACCCCAAGACTCCCACTGGGAGGCAGCCAGGTCCTTCCCGGCCAGGTGGGAGCCCAGAGCCAGCACCGCACAGAGCAGGAGGGAGAGGCACCTGCCACCCCCATCTCCTGCCATCCTGCTGACCAAGCAACCCAGGGGAGGCCGGAGATCCTGCCTGAGGTTGGGGTCCAAGCCCAGGGCCCTTGTGCAGCAGCCTCCAGCGCCCCGGGTAGACCCCAGCAGAGTGGACCCTGGGAGGCTTGGGGAGGCGCCCTGAGGTCCAGGTGTCCAATACCTGCTGCCCTGGCCATATTCTGACCCTGGAGCCCCAAGCTGCCCTCTGCAGGCCGCCCAGCAGAGCGGCCCCGGCCCGGGGTCTGGGCTGCGTTTCCAGGGAGGCCGGGCCGCGGGCTGTAGTGGGGGGACCTGGCCACAGCAACCTCAGGCCAGTGCTCCCGTGCCCCAGGGTTGAGAGGAGTGCTCAGCCCTCAGCAGGCAGGGGAAGAAGGTGTTAGAAACCTCTGAGGGAGGAGAGATCCAGCCTGCACGGGGAAGGGAGGAGAGTGAGGAGCAGGCCCTGGCGCCTGCCTGATCCCGGATAGCTCTTCCCCCTTCTTGAAGCCCAGGGACCTCAGCTGGGTGCAGACACTCACTCCTGCAGGCGGTCACGAGCAAGACAGAGAGACACCACACCCCACCCCAGGACCAGTGCTGCAGGGAGGGAGACAGCAGCATTTTCTTATAAATAAGAGCCATCAAGCCAGGCACAGGGTGCACATCTGTGACCCCAGCACTCAGGAGGCTGAGGCAGGAGAATCACTGAGTTCAGGGCCAGTCTGCACTCCATAGTGAGGGCAGGCACAGCGTGAATGCATAGCAAGATCCTGTCTCAAAAAAAAAAAAAAAAAAAAGCCAGAGGAAAGAGACAGAGGCCATAGCTGAGCATGGAGTCCATAGTTACCATTCTCCATACTGCAAAATAAAACTCAAAATAAACCAAAGTGCAGTCTCTGTGACGTGCTTGGCACAGAACCTGCCAGGTGGCAGCAGTCCCAGGTGGTTGTTCTCGTGCTGCTGTGCGTGCCCGGGGCGGCTTTGCAGCTGCCCCGAATTAGCCCATCAGGGAGAGCCCGCAGGTGGGCTGGCGCCTGGCGGCCTGGGGCCCTCTCTGCCTCCCAGGTAAGGCCTGGCTCTGAGGCAGGAGCTCGCTGGGCAGCAGGGGCCCCAGGAGGGCACGGGAGGGCGGGCCGGTCTGTCCCGCGCAGTGGGTAATGACTGTGTTTCTTGTCTCTTTCCATGCCCGCTGTTTAAACATTGGTGCAACGCCGTCTGAAAACTCATCCAATCAAAATGCACTGTGAAACCCATTTGTTCATCCATGGCGTGGTCTATGTCCTCATGCACCAATGACTGTACCTCCCAACCCACCGCCACCGCCACCACCCCCGCTCCCCGCCCGGGAACCGAAACCCATGGGTTTTTTGGCACTGGTTACAAATCAACCTAAAAACGCTGACCGCCTCCCCCACCGCCCCTGCCCGCCCGCCTGCCCCCTCCATCTCCAACATCCGCATCTAGAATCCGGTTGGTCTTACTTCTTTCTGAAGTCTAAATGCCCTACATCCACTGTGGACGCCCCTGCATCTGTGGCATGACCCTCTTGGCTTTCCAGCTGCTGATTCCTGCGGCCGAGCCCTGCCTGCCCTTCCATCCATCCGTCCGTCTGTCCCTACGTCCCTCCCTGTCTATCTCTCCGTCCGCCTCTCCCCTTCTGTCCCCAAACCGCTGTCGCCGCTGGTGATGTTTATCGGGTTTGTAGGTCTGGGTTTTTGCAGCAGACAGGGTGCAGTCTTCCCGGTGGGCGGGTGTCCTGACCAGTACTGGAGGGCCAGGTGCCCCACAGGCACCGCTCGTGCTGGGGCCAGGCAGACCCGGCCTCCTCCCCGCCCCTCTGTCTCTGTCTCTCTGTCTCTTCCCTCCCTCGTGTCCTCTCTGACACACCTGTTGCCCCACACATCACACCCACATCCTTACACACGTCTCCTTTCCGGGCCCTACCACCCTGCCTGTCCCCTGCCTGCCACCAGCAGCTTCTGTCCAGGCCCCAAACTGGCCTCTCTGCAAAGGGCTCCTTCCAGAGGGCAGTACACACACACCTGGCGCCCCCAACAACTTGGGAGGCTGTCTTTGGTCCCATGGTAAAGTGGCAGGCAAAGGCAGCCATGTCACTGCCCCGCCCAGTCCACAAGGAGGCAGGCACGGGTGTGACAGCCACTGGGCTCCACTCAGGATTGTAGCTGTGCTGCAAGCTAAAGAGCGAGCGGCATTAACAAGATGGAGAGGGAGCAAAGGACCCTCCAGATGCCAGAGCACCGTGTGCAAAGGCCCTGGGGCAGGAGTATGCTGGAGCTCTGACCAGAGCCCAGCGAGCAGAGGAAGGCTGACTCTGAGAAGGCAGAAGCAGGTTTGATGTAGGGGTGGCCCCGGGAGGAGTATGGTCAGAGGAGGTCGCCACAGCTGCTCAGCACCGGAGAGCCAGCAAGAGGGCAAGGCCGTAGGGGCCAGAGCTGCCCTAGGACCTGGTGCGGGTGGGATAAGGCACCTGGGATCCCCGGTCTGGCTGACAGGCGGGACCGGCTAGGGCTGGGTGGATGAGGTGAGTGCAAGTGTCCTTGCCTCAGGCAGGCAGGTCGGGGTCAGGAGCGTGGGCCTGGGATCCAAAAGGACAGGGTTTGCACCCACTCGGGTGCCCTGAGGCACCGCCCTGGGGTGTCACTGAGCATAGGACCCCAAGGGGGAGACATAGGGAGCCTAACAGGTGTCACAGTGCAGACCCTGGAGGGAGGAGGACCCCCACTCCCCACCCCGCCTCTCCGTCTCCCTACCCCACCCTCGTGTGTCTCCCCACCCCCAGCATGCTCTCTGCACACCCCGCCAGACCCCTGCTGCTTCTGCGTAATGGCAGCCGCACCCCCAGGTTGCTCCAGGACCTCGCCTGTGCATGCCCACCGAGCCACATGTTATGGTCCACCCTGCAGAAGGGATGGCTGTACTCAGGGTGCGCGGGAGGGTGTTGAGACTCCTGGGCCGTTGGCCCACCCCCAGGCTGAGCCAGGTGCCAGGCAGGGCTGAAGCAGGTTTGGGGGTTTGTGCCAGGCACTTGGCACTTGACTGGGGCCAGAGCATCCAGGGTGCGGACCCTCTCAACACTCTGTCACCCTGATGTCTACCGACGTCGGCCAGAGGACACTAGCCTCAGGCTCCTGTCCTTGTCTCTCAGCTGCAGGCCAGAGCTAGCTCAGGGCCCAGCCCAGGGCAGGAAGCCTGCCGGGAGACCCCAGGGGAAAGGCAGCCCACAGAACCCATGGGGGCAGCTGTGGTCAAGAGGCCCCATGCGGTCACTGTGCCTTCAGGGGAAGAGGGCCAGCAGGGTTCAGTCTCCTCTCGCCAGAGTCCAGTCAAGGCCCCGCCTACCGGGGGCCCACCTTCAGCCTGCTGGACGCTGGATGCACACTTCCGGCTCCCAGCTCCGCCCTGCACTGGGCACTCAAGTGCCTTTGCAGGGGTCAAGCAGACACCAGCAGGATGCCCCCAGGAAAGCAGATGTCATTTCCAGGGGACCTTGGGGGACTGGACAGCGTGCCACCTGCTTCCAGGGGAAAGCCATCTGAGGCCTGGGTGCCAGGAGGCCAGATCCTGATTTTTGTCTAATGCGAACTTTTTTTTCTTTTCTTTTTTTTGGTCTTTGAGACAGGGTCTCCTTATGTAGCCTTGAGCTCACTTTGTAGCCCACACTGGTCTCAAGCCTCCTGCCTCAGCTTCCCCAGTGCTGGGTGACAGGTGCGCCACCACGCCCGGCTAGTTTTCATTTTTTAAAGACTGTTCAGGCCCAACTAATGAGCTTCATTGGCCACATCGGGGCGCCGCGAGTCACGCCCCACCTGGCACCTGCTGCCAGGGTGCCCCAGAGCCCCGGGGCTGTCTCCAGCTGGGTTCTGGCTCAGGAGGGAGGACACAGAGGCAGTGGCTAGAAAGCGGGGTTCAGAGCAGAGCCAGGGGCCGCTCAGGGTGGTCCTGGGTGCAGGGACGGCCCCACCTGTCCCCCAGCTGCGCCCCTCGGTGGGCCAGGGCTGATCCCCAGCTCGCCCGCCCGCCTGCCGCGGGGGCTGAGTGCTTCCTGCTTCCGCAGGCCTGGTCCCGTGATACTCCACCCAGTCCCAGAAGCTGAGAAGCCATCCCTGAGAGGGGGGAAAGGGTCCCAAATGCATCTTCTCCGACTCAGCGGGCAGCGAGGACTCACCCTGCAGCCGAACGCCCCAGCTCCCTCCCGTCCTCCCCACTCCCGCTCGCCAAGGGGGTAAGAAAAGATGGTCTCCGCCTCTCCCCTGGAGCGAGGTCAGGGCGGGCAGGAGCGGGTGGGCAGCTCGGCAGGGCAGGGCAGGCCGTGCCCGGTGAGTCCCGGGCAGATGCATTTCTGGCTCGGAGCGTAACATGCCCTCGGCACTGCACGCGCCCAAGGCCTGGTGCTGCTCCCACCCCGCCGCCCCGTCCGTGCCTGTGCCCCGTGATGGGTCCTGCAGTGTGGCCTGCTCGTGTCCTTGTCTCAGTGCATTTGGTTATTGGGACAAACAAAACCATCGTGATTTTTCCTGATTGGATGATTCGGATGTATTTTCTTTTCCTCGTTCTTTTGTTACTTCTCCCTCGGCCCCTGCCCCCGTTTCTTTCTCCTGTCCCTCTCTCTCCCCCGTCCTGCGTGGGTGGGGCTGGCAGGAAGGTTGTGCTTTTGAGGTGTCGCCTCTTCTCCGTCCCCCCGTCCCCCTCTCGCCCCTCTGCTCCCTTTTACCCAGTTTTCCCTCCACTCCATTTGCATTACTACTGCTTTCCCTCCTCTCCCTCCTTATTTGGGGTCTGGCTGGCTTTTTCCTGTTGGTTGGCTTCATGTAGGGCTCTGTGCGTGGTGACAGTCTGCGCCCCTCGGGTGGGCGCACAGTCACCCCTCTGCTCCCGTCTCCCCAGAACAACTTCATCAACCTGAGCTTCCTGCGCCTCTTCCGGGCTGCCCGGCTCATCAAGCTCCTGCGGCAGGGCTACACCATCCGCATCCTCCTCTGGACCTTCGTGCAGTCCTTCAAGGTGAGTGCCTTGCCTGAGGTCGTGCCCCCGGAGTGCCCGCCAGCCCCCAGGACCGGTCTGCGCTGGCCGGGCCGAAGGAGGGAGCCCGGCTGCCGCCTCACCGCCGTCCTCCGCCCGCCAGGCCCTGCCCTACGTCTGTCTGCTCATCGCCATGCTCTTCTTCATCTATGCCATCATCGGCATGCAGGTGAGGTCGCACCCCAGGACCACTAGGGAGGGCCGTCGGGATGCAGCCACGCTTCGGGGAGGCCCGGGTGTAGGGGCGTGGCTGTCTGGGCGTCATCCTCCGCCTCCCTAGGTGTTTGGCAACATTGGCATAGATGTAGAGGACGAAGACAGTGATGAGGATGAGTTCCAAATCACCGAGCACAACAACTTCCGGACCTTCTTCCAGGCCCTCATGCTGCTCTTCCGGTGAGGGGGCGTGGCTTCACAAGCCTGTCTGATGGGCGTGGCTTCATGAGTGTTCTTTGGGTATGGCTATTGGGCTATTCGGTAGCGTGGCTTCGTTGGCTTATTCTGGTGGGCGTGGCTTCCACCGTCCCGGTGGGATTTGTCCGTTTATACGTGGGCGTGGCTTTGTGGGTCTGTTCTGTGTGTGGCTTCATTGGCTTATTTCTCGGTGGGCGTGGTTTCATTTGCCCGTTCCTGTGGGTGTGGTTTTATTGGTCTGTTCTGGGGCGTGGTTTCACAGTGGGCATGTCCTTGTCCTCCCCTTCTGGTCAGAGCTCATCTAAATTTCTATCAGTGTTCCATGTCTACCCAGGGTCTGCACAGAGTCACCCACTGCTCTTTTTTTTTTTTTTTTTGGTCTTTTTCATTTTTATCGGTACCGGGGATCGAACTCACGACCTGCTTGCAAGGCAGGTACTTATGCCGCTGAGCTAAATCCCCAGCCCTCTATCAGTGTTCCAGAGCCCTTTGCTCCTCTGATAAGGTTTGGGATGGGATGGGGCGCAGGAAACCCGGCAGGGCAGGAGCCTTTTCCAGGTATTATCTCTGACTTGCTGACCGTGCTGTGAGGTGTAGTCATGCAGGTTGGCGGGCTCGGCCTTTGCTGGACCCTGGGTACATGTTAAGGCCTCTCCATTCATCCGCGGAGGCAATGGAACAGGCCCTGTGTGCGGGACCCTGCTGCAGGGAGAGGGACCCAGCAGGAATGCGGGGTAGGAAAGAGAAGACACATTGTGACCTCTGGAAGTTTACATTTCCATGAGAAGACAGAGAATCAGTAATTATAAAGGATAATATAGGGAGACTTAAAAACCCAAGGGGGATGAGGAAAGAAATTTAAGATCAGGAGAGAATGGAGGCAGCAAAGGACAAATACCTACAATCCCAACACTCAGGAGGCTGAGGCAGGAGGATCGCTGAGACCTCAAAGCCAGTCTGGGCTACATAGAGTCCTAAGGCTGCTTCAGCTACACACAGAGACCTTGTCTCAGGGAAAATCCAAGCACACACATGCACCAGCACTTGTGGGATGCACCCAGAATGACGGATAGAAGCAGCAACAAGACAGTGGGCACTGGGGGCTGGACAAGGAGGGCTGAGGGGCGTTTAATGGGTGCCGAATCTCTGGAGTGATGAAAAACTCCAGAGATGGACAGAGGGGATGGGTACACATTAACATGAAGGTGCTTCAGGCTTCTGAATCATGTATTTCAAAAGTATAAGAATGGGGGCGGGGCTGAAAAAATTATTAGAATGTGGCTGGAGATTTGGCTCAGGGCCCATCACCTACCTGGCAAGTGTGAGGTCCTGAGTTTAATTCCTGGTACAAAAAAAATTAAAACTGGGCGTGGTGGCGCATGCCTGTCATCCCAGCACTCAGGAGGCTGAGGCCAGCCTGAACTACAAATCAAGTTCAAGGCCAGCTTGAACTGCTGAGACCCTTTGAGACCCTTTCTCAAAAAAAAAAAAAAAAAGAGGAAGTTTCTTAGTGTCCTGGCCCATGGGGCTGGCGTCCTGGCTGAGCTGGGGACAGGGGGACCCTGTCTGTGGGTTTTCTTTGGGCAGCTGCTCTGTCCTGCGCCCCGAGGCTTCCTGTGCTTTGCTTTCCTGCTCTCGTTCCTGCCTCGATGCAGCCCCTGCCCCTCGAGGGGCCCTGACGCCGCCCTGTCCCCAGGAGCGCCACCGGGGAGGCCTGGCACAATATCATGCTGTCCTGCCTGAGCGGGAAGCCGTGCGACAAGAACTCGGGGATCCTGACCGCAGACTGTGGCAACGAATTCGCCTACTTCTACTTCGTCTCCTTCATCTTCCTCTGCTCCTTCCTGGTGAGGCTGGGCAGGAGTGGGGCGCCCTCCCGGCCCCACACGGTGCCCCCCCACCCTCCTGTCGCCCTGGGTCTCTGTGTCCCCTCTGGTCCCCTGCACTGTCCTGCATGCACTGAGCTGCAGCCCCTAACCCCACACCCTCCTCCCCTTCCTCCTCCGGGCCCCCAGATGCTGAACCTCTTCGTCGCTGTCATCATGGACAACTTCGAGTACCTCACCCGAGACTCCTCCATCTTGGGCCCCCACCACCTGGATGAGTACGTGCGTGTCTGGGCCGAGTACGACCCCGCCGCCTGGTAAGGCCTTGTCCCCTCTCCCTGGGGCGGGATACTGGTGGGACAGAGACAGGGACAGGTCCTCAGGTGTTGGGTGCCTGAATCTGGGGAGGACAGAGAGTCCCGAGCCTGTCCCCCTGCACCCCAGCCTCCAGGGCAGGAGGGCCCTACCTGTGTGGGCAGAAGAGATGCGGCAGAGGCCAACCTGGACTTGGCAGCTGCAGCTCAGGGATGTCCTGGGGGAGAGGGGACTGCATGACCCCCTCACCCAAAAAACTCAGAACCCATGCGCACAGCTAGAGAGCAAAACAGAAGACAGAGACCGGCATAGGGAGAAATCCAGCTCCTCGAACTCTCTGTTCTCTTAGGCCAAACCCAGCCCAACACATCTGCTCATTCATGTCGTTTATGCTGCCAGGTCCTCTTAGTTCACTGAAAAGGAAGTTTTGTGCTCCTGTTTCTTTTTCAAGGGACAGGCTTTGTCTGTGACCCTGAGTGGCACCCAGGTGCTGCTTATTAACTACTGTTATGCTCTGATTATTTGGTTATGAAACTTTTTTCATAGATTTCTTTCTTATATTTTCTTCATGAATATCTACATATACTACATTAAAATAAAAATAAAAATGTATAAATAAGAGCAGAGAGCAGAGGTAGGCATGCCGGCACTGCCTATAATCACAGCACTCAGGAGGCTGAGGCAGGAGGATCACCTCAACTTTGAGGCTAGCCTGGGCTACAGAGTGAGTTCAAGGGCAGTCTGAACTGCATAGTGACACTGTCTTTAAAAAGCCAAACAGGAATATAACTCAGCAGCATAAGCACCTGCCTGGCAGGCCCAGGGTCCTGAGTTCGATTCCTGGTGCACAAACACACACACACACACACACACACACACACACACAAAGGCCCTGGTCCAAAACATAAAAAACTCTGAACACAGGCTGGGGTTCAGCTCATGGGGGAGCTCCTGTCTAGCTGTGTAAGGCCCTGGAATCCGGTCTACAGCACCACAGGAAACCACTGACAGCAGGTGGTCAGGCTGGCAGATGGGGATGCTGCCCTTGTGGGCTGCCGGGCTGAGGCACTCACGCCCACAGAGGATTCTGGGTCAGGCTGGGCATGGGTCCCAGAGGCGTCCACCTTCCTTTGGGCCTGTGCAGAAGATGGGGCTCACCTCTGCTGCCCCTGCAGCCCTGGACAGTGACGCTGAGGCTGGCGAAGCCCCGGGGCGGGGGCCCAGCTTCTGCCTGATTCTCACCTCTTCCTCTTTTGATTTTAGGTCATAGTGGTTGGATGCTGTCCCCCCTCTTCCTCTACCCCTCAGCCCCCCAGGGCAGCCCAGTAGACTGTACTGGAAGCAGAGGCAGGCAGATCCCGGGAGATGCCCTCGGCACGCCCGGGTCCAGCCCTCCCCCCCCCCGGGGCCCCTGGTCCGGGCCTGACCGCGGGCCATTTTCTCCCTGCAGACCAGGAGACCCGGGCCTGGCCACCCGCCCGCACTAACCCCTGTCTTCTCCTTGCAGTGGCCGCATTCACTATAAGGATATGTACAGTTTATTACGCGTAATCTCGCCCCCTCTCGGCTTAGGCAAGAAATGTCCTCATAGGGTTGCTTGCAAGGTTTGACTTCCACTAAAACCTGCTAGCATCGGTGGAATGAGTGTGGCTTGGGGTCCCCCATATATATATTTCATATATATATATATATCTATATCTATACTCCTCACAACACAGAGCCAGCCCGCTCTTGCATCCAAGTAGAGAACTCTCGGGCAGCAGAGTGCCGCCACGGAGACCGGACCGAGCATGGAGCACTTCTCTCTGCCCCTCCAGCCGTCCCTGCTTGCTCTCAGCTGAAGCTGCCCATCCTGGGGTCTCAACAGCACCTCAGATCAGATGCACCCCTGGGGGACTGAAACTGCACTGCCCCCACCCTGTGGCCTCCACTCTCTCCTCTCCGCCCTGACTTCCCGAAGCCCCCAGCCCTCCTCCCCGCCCCGGTTCCCCTCCCCGCCTCGGCCCCTCAGAGACCAGCCTCAGCCGAGCCAGAGAAGCTGACCCCTCTAAACGTGGCCATGAGAGGCCGGGCCTGATGGCGCATGCCTGTCAGCCCACCGCTTGGGAGGCTGAGGCAGGAGGGTCCTGACTTGATGATGCCAGAGTGAGACCCTGTCTCAAAGCTCCCCCCAAAATCCCCTCTGCCGGAGATAGATCTGAGGGTCCAGGGTGAAGCTGACCTCTCTCCCTCTCTTCCTCTCTCTTTCTCCCTGCTGGTGAGCAGTGAAATAATAATTTTTTTTAATTCCCTTTTCTTCCATCTTTCCCCTCCTCTTTTCTCTTTGTTTGAAATATCCACTTTCTCATTTTCTGCACCGCCCTCTTTTCCGGCCCCTGTGGTTTTTTTCTCCCCCCTCCGCCCCACCCTCCCGTGTTTTGTTTTCGGTGCTGCCAGGGGCCGCATGCCATTCCCGGACATGTATCAGATGCTGAGACACATGTCCCCTCCCCTGGGGCTGGGGAAGAAGTGTCCGGCCAGAGTGGCCTACAAGGTAGTCTACCCCGCCCGCCCCGGCGGCCCGGGACCTTCCAGTGCTCATTGGAAACACCCAGCCGAGTCTTCCAGCCGTCTCCTCCACCTCTTCTTTTTTTTTTCCTCTTTCTCTTTTTCTGTTTTTCCCTCCTTTTTTCTTTTCTCCCGAGTGCCCGGGTCATGACCATCCCTGACAAAGCAGTACAGCCTGTCTGTCCTTTGATGAGTGTCTTCGTGTCCTGAGACTCCATTATGGCCACATTAGGGGGGGCGGGGGGCGGCGGGGAGGACCCAGAGCCCCAGCACCCCAGGGGCTCGAAGTGAGGTCACCCAGAGCCACCTCACACCCAAGCCAGAGGCCCTGGGCCATCTTGGGCGCTCCCAGCCCCCAGCCCACACTCACCTGATGCTGATCTCTGACCTAGGGCCTTGGGGCACCCGAAGCCTCCCACGGAGCCCCCAGAGCCTCCCATCCCCTGCAGCCCCACCCCCACCCCAGAAGCCTTCCCAAGCCCTGCAGGCACAGCTGGACCCCCGATGGTGGTGTAGACGCAGGCTGAGCACGCTGCCTGGGGGCCTGGGGGGCACCGTGGCATCTGGGGTCTGCATGCTGGCTGAGGGCCAGGGGCCGCCCAGCCCCCAGACTCCCTGAGTGCCTGGTGACATGTGCTCTGTTACTGCAGCTCATGCCCTGAAGTTCAGGGGTGACCTTGATGACACCCCTGCCCCTACCCAAACTGACCCTGTAGCCCCTTGCCACCCAGGCCCCTGCCCTGCCTCTGTAGGTCCTGGCTCCTCCGCCCTCGGCCAGCCCTGCCCCATCCCTCTTGTCCTTTGCCCTGGCCTCTGCTGGAAGGCGGTTGAGGAAAGGAGACCCCTCCCCTCCTGGTCTCTGCAGGTTTGGGGGTGATAGAAAAAGTTTTCCACAGAACGATTTACTGGAAACTCACCCATCAAGTGAGAAAAAGACACTTTTCTGCTCTCCAGGAAAAAGCTGTCCTATGAAATGCATAAATGCAGCTGGGCATGGTGGTGTGCACCTATAATCCTAGCATTCTGGGAGGCTGAGGCAGGAGGATCACAAATCTGATCCCAGACTGAGCAAAAGGTTTCCACAAATTCAAATTATTTTTGAAGGGCTGCAAATGTAGCTCAATACAAAGTCCTAAGGTTCAATTTCCACTATGGAAGAAAAAAGAAATTCATGATTTCTAAAGTAGGGAGCCGAGCCATGCTTTGGTAGTGCAAAGCCTATAAATCAACACAGGAGGCTGAGGCAGGAGGGTTGCCATGAGTTCAAGGCCAGCCTGCACTGCAGAGCAAGACCTTGTATCAAAAAATAAAAATAAAATAGTAATCCTTTGTGTAGTCCCCACATCCACAGCTGTGCACACCCCTTGTCCGTTTTTCTACCGACTGGCTCCCTCCCTGCCCCAACCTCAACCCCTTGAACGCTCCCAGTTTACTGTGCCCTCCCTCAGGGAGCCCCAACCTGCCCTGCACCCCCATCCCCAGTCACCAGCCCAGCGTCCCCTCCCTGGCCCCTAAGCGCAGGGCGCAGACCGCCTGCCTGGGGCACAGGCCCCACCCCCCACCCCCTGCTACCGCAGACAGCCAGGCCCGGACGCCCCGACACACGTCCCACCGGGCTATGACTGAGTCTCGAGATTCGTCGCATGCGCCCTGTCTGTGCCTTCCGTGTGCGCCTCGCTGCATGCCTGGCCGCCGCCTGCGTCTCCCGGAATGACCGCCAGAGCCATTGGCCCGGGGGGCGGGGGGCGCCGGCGGCTGAGGCCTGGACGCTGCCTGGCTGCTGCATGTGCGCTAGGCCCGGCTTTGCGCCTTCTCTTCGGGGCTGGCATGGACCAGGACTGGGGCCAGGCGGAAAAACTCTGAGGGCAGCACCAGCCGGGCCCGCGCTGGGGTCCAAGAGGTGGGATTTCAAGAGTGCAGGGGTGATTTGGGCAGGGGCTCAAGCCTGGGATTCCAGTGACTGGGTAGGCTGAGGCAGGAGGATCTCAACTCCAGGCCGGCCTGGAACAGGACATGGGACCCTGCCTCAGAGTGGGTTCTGGAGGCCGAATGGAGGTCGATAGAGGTGCCTGTTAGCCCCATTCCAGCATCACAGTAAACCCCAAAGCCCCAGGCACCCACCCCACTGGTCTCGTGGACAGGTGGCTGGCACAGGAGCTGCAGCTGCCGCAGCCTTCAGAGTTCTTCCCGGGGCTCCTGGGCAGGGTGGGCACGGCTCTCGGGGACCTGGGCTGGGGGCCTCAGCGTGACCCCCCTCCCCCGGGGCTTTCTGCAGAGGCTGCTGCGGATGGACCTACCTGTGGCAGATGACAACACTGTCCATTTCAATTCCACTCTCATGGCACTGATCCGCACGGCCCTGGACATCAAGATCGCCAAGGGTAAGGGCAGAGTATGCGGGATGGGGAAGCTGGGGGACCTGGGAATCCCATAAGGAGAGGGCCTCCCCATAGAGATCCTGAAGCAGAGGAGAGGATGTTACATGGGTGTGTGCAAAGTACCTGGGGCAGGAGTCAGTGAGGGCAGGGGGTAGAGGGGCCTCATAGGGTGCGCTCCTGAACAGGCTCCTGCTGGCCACTGTGAGGACAGACAAGAAAGATGCCAGTGCGGGGCCTTAGATTTGTCTGATTTCTGCCCACATCCTGAATCCCTGGATGCTTCTGAAAGTTATTAGTTTTGGAGATCCAGAGTCCAAACTGCATAGCACAGGCTATAGGACAGGAGTCTTCTAGCCAAGTGCGCATGTGTCACCGGCACTCTGGGAGGCTGAAGCAGGAGGGTTGCAGGCTCCGGTGCAGCCAGGCATGGTAGCACCCAGCTGGAACTCCAGCACTAGGGAGGCTGAGGTAAGAGGACTGCTGCCAAGTTCGAGGCCAGCCTGGTCTCCATAGTGAGACCCTGTCTCAAAAAACCAAAACAAAAAGCAAATTCCAGCCCACTCTGGGAAACTTAGCAGATTAGTGAAACTTTGTCTCAAGAAAGAAAGAAGAAAACCTAGCTCAGAACCCAGGACTGCAGAGATCGGAGCAAGTGATTCCTCAGCGCCACCCAGCCCTTCGCCCTGAGGGGAACCGAGGAGCAGTGTGCAGGGTTCCCCGGCAGGATCACTGCAACTAAGGCAGCTTTGGTAGCAGACAGCTCGGCCCCCAGGGCCTGAGAGTGGATCCATGCGTCCTGGCTGCAGGTTACACTGCGGGATGGACAGAGGCACCGGCCACCAAGGAAACAGAGACAGAGAGAGCAGCTGGCCAGCACTGAGCAGATGGCCCTGTGAGGGTGGGAAGCTGCCACCGTAGGCTGGGTGATGGAGCTGTCACAGAGTGAGACAGAGCGAGTGTGTGATAGTAGAGTTTCCAACTGGGCACGGTGGCAAAGGCCTGTCATCTCAGCCACTCAGGAGGCTGAGGCAGAAGGTTCACAGGTTCAAAGCTAGCCTGGGCCACTTGGTGCGCCCCTCCTGCCTCAGCCTCCCAAGTACTGGGATAACAGGCGTGCACCACCACACCTAGCTTGAGAACCTAAACTTTTTAGGGTACGGGGTGTGGCTCAGTAGTAGAGCTTTTGCCTAGCATGGGTCCACACTCGGTGCCATGAAACTAATAACCAAGTCGAAGGACAGTGGGAGGCCGGGAGGAGGACTCATGGCCTGGCCCTGGTGGATGTTGCTTGTGGCCCTGACCCGCTCAGCAGTGGGGCACACCCCACCGGGCAGGGGCCAGGCTGTGTCTGTCTCGGCAGATGAGGAAACAGGTGAGCAGTGCATCCCCTCCCCAGGGCGGAAGGGGACAGTCACATCCTGGGGCGTGGGGGGCCCATCCCTCTCGTCCTTGCTGGCATCTTTGACCTGCACTCCCGAGACCTCCGCACCCTGCCTGCTGTCTATGCCACCCTACGAGTCGCCTTCCTTACTAGGACGAAGTACCTGAGAAAAGCAGCTTACAGGGGGATAAAAAGGTTCACTCTGGCTCATGGTATCAGAGGATTCAGGACATGGTTGAGTGGTGCAGCAAGAGCCATTGAGGCAGAGGGGGCTGGGAGCGGAAGAAGGGGCTGGGGCGGTAAGGAAGGCGCCAAGGACCAGCGGTCTTCAAAGGCCCAAGGACCTCCACCTCCACCAGGCTCCTGGCAGAGGAGTCCATGGGTGAGGCCTGTGCCTACAGACCCAGCCCAGTCCCAGGCCACACCTCTGAGCCCTCGCCCAGGGACCAGCACCCCTCAGCCCACCGCAGCCAGCCCTAGAGCATTAACAACCAGACAAGTACCAGACTGAGAAGCTGTTTGTCTCTTACTATTGGTGATGAACCTAAGGCCTCCACACGAAGCTCCACTCCCAGCCCTTTTTTATTTTTTATTTTTATTTTGAGACAGGGTCTCACTGTACAGCCCAGGCTGGTCTTGAACTCCCAGCATTCCTCCTGCCCGAGCCTCCCGAGTGCTGGGATTCCAGGTGTGCGCCACCACGCCAGGCCTGTTTTGTTTTGATTCGAGGAGCTGAGCCAAGCCCTTTGCACTGACCACTATCCCCTGCCTTTTTTTTATTTTGAGGCAGGGTCCTGCACAGTCACTAAACTGCCCAGGCCACGGTCCAGTTACAACCCTCCTGCCTCAGCCTCTCAAAGACCCAGAATGACAAGCACACACCACCACACCTGGCTGTTTCCTGTTTTCTCTACAGTGCGGGGGATGGAACCCATGGCCTTGCACAGGCCAGGGCAGCACTTGTCACTGGGCACCCAGCACCACCGCCTCCACAGCTTCTTAAGGGCAGTGCCTCCACCTCAGACTTCCACAACAGAACTAGCCAGGCGCGGTGGCCATGCCTTCGCACTCAGGAGGCTGAGGCAGGAGGATCAAAGTTTGAACTCAGCCAGGGCAACTTTAGTGACTCAGCCAACAGGGCTGGGGCTGTAACTCAGCGCAAACGCCTGTGTTCAGCCCCCAGTTCCACATGCACAGGAAAAAACTGGGCCCAAAGTGGCGACCTACTGCCATCTAGTGGGAGGTCAGCATCCGACAGCACCCAGGACGCCCCACAGCAAGGCCAGCCGTATGTTATTTCAGGCTGGTCCTGAACTCACTGTGTGGTTCAGGCTTGCCTTAAACTCATGGCATCCTCCTGCCTCAACCCCCTAGGGTGCTGATGACAGGTGTGCACCTCCATACCCAGTCTGAGTCACTTTTAATGGGAATTTTTCTCTTTCCTCACTGCCAAGAAGTGGGTGCCTCTCTTAACCACAATAATGGAAGACATAGTTAATCCCACCACTTCCCAGGAGGAAGACAAAGCTGGTATAGGGTGGTGCTAATGGCCCAACCACAAAGGAAAGTGTACCCCACTGTGTGGACCTCTCAACCAGAATCCAACCAGCCCCATCCCATGTAACTTGGCTCCAAGAACCACAGAAACTCTGTGTCACCAGAGCCTTTGGCCACGTGAGGAAACTAAGGGAAGCCAGGTATGGTAGCAGACCTGTAATCCCAGCACTTGGGAGGCTGAGGCAAGAGGATCACAAGTTCAAGGCCAGCCTGGACTCAGAACAGCACAGTGAGACCCTGTCTCAAAAACAAAAGACTAAAGGAAAAAGAAAAAAAAACCTACGAGGTGGGCACAGGTACAATGGCACATACCTGTAAGCCTAGCTATTCAGGAGGCCGAGACAGGAGAATCACAAGTTCAAGGACAACCTGGACAATTTAGCCAGACCCTATGTCAAAACTTAAAGAAGGGCTGGGGGTGCAGTCACATCTCACTCCCAGCACCTCAGAGAACCTTAAGTCACCAGGACCCCACTCTCAGGCCTCCGCCCTGCTGACTTCGGTTAACCTCACTCACACCCCAAAGGCCCCACACTGGAACCCCAGGTCAAGCTTCTCCCTTTTGTCCCTCACAACTTGGGTTTGGAGGGGTCCAGGCGAATATAGGGCTGGTGTAACGTAAGAACCCCACGGGAGCCGCGGCCCCCACGCCTCTAGAGTGTCAGCCACTTTGATCATCCGACAACCAGGTGAGGCATGGGCCGCAGCTGCGAGCCTAATTTCAGAGGGAAACTGAGGCATGGAGACGAAGCCTAACCCTGCCGAGACCCATCTCGGGCCTGCTCCCGACCAGCCTGTGGCCAGCCAGGACGGTGGCGGTGTCCCCCAGGATCAGGGTCTATCTGTGCCCACGTTGCAGGCGGCGCCGACAAGCAGCAGATGGACGCCGAGCTGCGGAAGGAGATGATGGCTATCTGGCCCAACCTGTCTCAGAAGACGCTGGACCTGCTGGTCACCCCGCACAAGTGTAAGGGGCAAGCCGGTCGGGGTGGGGAGGAGAGGGGCTGCGGAGGCCGCGCGGTGAGCTCGCCCTGTGCCCCCAGCCACGGACCTGACGGTGGGCAAGATCTACGCGGCCATGATGATCATGGAATACTACCGGCAGAGCAAGGCCAAGAAGCTGCAGGCCATGCGCGAGGAGCAGGTGCGACCCGGGGCGCTGGGAGGCGGGTCGCGGAGTGCCGAGGCCAATCAGGACGAGCGAGCGGGAAACCCTTCAGGACGACGGAGCAGGGAGCCAATCAGAGCGATAGAGAAGGGAGCCAATAGGGATGAGCAAGCAGGAGGCCAATCAGAACGACTAAGAGACCAGGGAGTACGGCCAGGGAGCCAATCAGAAGGAGGGGTGTGGCCAAGCCCCCGCCCTGGTCTCTGCGTAGTGCGTGGATTGTTGAACCCATTCATGCTGGGACACTGAGGAGTTCCTGCTGGGGCGTTGTGGCGGGCCTTGGGGTGCAAAATGGAAGCAAATGGTCCGGCATCTCCTCTCTCTGGGTCGGAGGGCCTAGGGGGAAGGTGGAGCTCATGACAAAGGAAGGGGTTCGGCCTATGTACACCCCTGTGGCTGGAGCCCCTGAGTCTGGGGACAGTGAGGGAGGTGGAGGTGGTGGCAGAAAAGGGAAAAGATGAGAGAGAGGCGAAGGGGCAGAGCCTTGGGGGTTGCGCCCACAAGGGACCCAAGTGAAGCCAGAGCCCAAGAAGGTTCGGCGCCGAAAGGCCGCCCACCTGGCTGGGTGCTCATGGGCGCCCCTCGGTGGCTGTGGCGGAAACGGACGGCTGGGAGCGAGGGCGGTCGCTGGGGGACCAGCGCTGGGCCAGGTAGGGGCGCGTGGGTGCGCTGCGGTGAGAGGGTGCTCCGCTCCGGGTCATAACGAGGGTGTGCGTGCCACAAGGTGTCAGAAACTCCCCGAGGAGCAGACCTGGGCGCACACCTGTCCCAGCCACTCGGGAGGCTGAGGAAGGAGCATTGCCGAATTCCAGCCCAGCCCTGACAACTTCATGCAGGGCCCAGCACAAAAGAAAAAAAAAAAGTCTAGTGCCCGAGCTCCTGACACTGCCTCCATCTGTCCCCTGGCTGTTCTCTGCCTGCCCAGAACCGGACACCACTCATGTTCCAGCGCATGGAGCCCCCGTCCCCCACGCAGGAGGGGGGACCTGGCCAGAACGCCCTTCCCTCCACCCAGCTGGACCCTGGCGGAGGCCTGTGAGTGTTGCCCTGGTCCCCAGGAGACGCAGGGGTGGGGGCGCTGGGCCCAGGCTCCAGAGTGCCCAGTGCCCCTCCCACCATCCTGGCCTCTGTCCCCCACCCAGGATGGCTCACGAAGGCGGCATGAAGGAAAGCCCGTCCTGGGTGACCCAGCGGGCACAGGAGATGTTCCAGAAAACCGGCACCTGGAGCCCGGAGCATGGGCCCCCCTCTGACCTGCCGAACAGCCAGCCTAACCCCCAGGTGCTGCTGCCCTCTGCCCTGTGCGCCAGGCCAGGATGGCTGGACGGGTGGACGGGAGGCAGTGTCCACATCCCACCACCTAAGCCTGTGCCCACGGGGTGGCCCCTGGGTCCTCACTTGGCCCTGGCTCACCCCGTCCTGCTCTGCCTGCAGTCGGTGGAGATGCGGGAGATGGGCACCGAGGGCTTCTCGGACAGTGAGCACTACCTCCCCATGGAGGGCCAGGCCCGGGCTGCCTCCATGCCCCGGCTCCCCGCGGAGAACCAGGTGAGGGTTCTTACGGTGCCCCTGTGCCCTTCCCAGTACCCCACCTTCCCCCTGGGACAGGAAGCCTGAGACCTCCCTCCCTGTGGTGGTTGCTTCCACCCAGCTTCCCTGTCTTATCCGGGGGCTTTTGAAGGGGGCAGTTTGGAGCGAGGTGAGAAGGATCCGTCACGTCCAAGTGTGAGCCACAGTGGAGAATCCCAACTGCCGACAGGGCATAGTGGCCAGTGGCGCCCGCCTGTGCTCCTGGCATTCGGGAGGCTGAGGCAGGAGGGTTGTGGTTGAAGGCCAACCTCAGCTACATAAGGAGCTCATGGCCAGCCTAAACTACATGGCGGAATGCTGTCTCAGAAAAAAAGAAAAAAGGAACATGAAAAGGCAGGGATTGAGTTCATGCAAAGGCCCTGCATTCAGTGCTCCGTGACACTGCCACATACTTGCCCACCTGCACGCACGGGCCCCAGGACCTGCAGGTGGGGCGGGGGACGGGGGTCTGGGCTGTCCTGGTCCCCGTCTGGTCTCTGTGGGCTGCAGATGTGCAGAGCGTGTGCCTGGCATTGGAGTCTGTGCGTGGCCGCTTTTGTTAGCTGTGGGGCGGGAGGGCATGGCGGGGCCGTTGTGCGGCTGCCTGTGCGACCCTGCGTGTGCTGGCCGGACCTCCAGTGCTGTGACTCCGCGTGGGACACTGGTGCATGCCGCCGCCCGCCCGTGTGTCGGCCTGTGCTGCTGGGTCCCCGAGAGGGCGGAACAGGGCGCCCCCGCCTGGCCTGGGCCCAGCGCATGGCATGAGGAAGCCGGGGCTGTGGCCCGGCTGTTGTGTGTCCGTCTCGTGTGCCTCCGCCATCTGTGTGTCTCCTGTCTGTCTCCTCTGTACCTGGGGGGGACAGCCGGCCAGGTCCTGGGACGCCCTCACACTCTGGAGACGGTGGCCGATCTCTCTCTTCCCTGCCACTCCCACATCTCCTCCATGCCCCCCTCATCCTCCCTCCAGCCTTTTATATTTATTTTCTCCTTTCTGTCTTTCTGTGTGCACCGTCCCGTGGGGCTGTCACAGAGAAGGGGCCGGCCACGTGGGAGTAACCTCAGTGTATGTACCTCAACCACAGCCACCGCCACCTCCAGCCCACTGCGGGGAACCCCGGCCATCGGCCCCCTATCCCCAACCCTGCTCTCACTCCACAAACCTCCCTCCCCCATGTGTGTGTCCTGTGTGTGGGGCCACACCTGCCCCAGCCTCCTCTCGGCGAGCCAGGCGCCCTGGGCCCAGCCAGCTCTAACCCTGAGGCCTCAGGCCCTCACTCAGGACAGCCCTGGTGTCGGGTGTCCCTTCCACCCTTCTCCTGCCTGCCCTGAGCCAGGGCTAGACCCCAGGAGTGTGGGCTGAGGGGGCCCCGCCCCTAGGCCTCCAACAGCTCAGCTACCACCTGGGCAGGAACCAGAATCGGGGTCAGGAGGTGCCCATCCGGGCAGCTAGAACCCTGGGGGCCAGGGTGCGGCCCACAGCCTGGGCTTCAGGGTCTGGAGTAGGGGGCTCTGGGAAGCAGCCCCAGGTACGGGGCGGGGGGTGGGCAGAATGGGCCAAAAGGAGCAGCTCTGCTGGGGGCCAGGCTGTGCCCCAGGCCCTGTCCCCGGATGGCCACCCCACAGCACAGGCACCACCAGAACTGATGGGGATTTGGGCATCCGTTGACGTGTTGCTGACCCTGCCTGCGGTCTGTCCCCCCAGACCATCTCGGACACCAGTCCCATGAAGCGCTCGGCCTCTGTGCTGGGCCCCAAAGCGCGTCGCCTGGAGGACTACTCACTAGAGCGGGTCCCACCTGAGGACAACCAGAGGCACCACCAGCGCCGCAGGGACCGTGGACACCGGGCCTCTGAGCGCTCCCTAGGCCGCTATACCGATGTGGACACAGGTAGGCCCGGGCAGGGCCCTGGGAGAGGACAGAGGAGGAAGGAAATCGGGACTCAGGTGCAGTGGCACATGCCTGTCACCCTGGCACATGGGAGGCTGAGGCAGGAGGGTCAGCCTATGTCCAAGGCAGCCTGGGCTACATGGCGAGATTCTGTCTCTAAGAAAGAACAAAGAAGGGCTAGGGATTTAGCTCAGTGGCATAAGCGCCTGCCTGGCAAGTGCAAGGTCATGAGTTTGATCCCTGGTATAAAAAAAAAAAAAAAAAAAAAAGAAGGGAGGGATTGGCACGGGGTGTCCACCCCGGACTGGCCTGGGTCCCCTGACCCCTTGCTGGCCTCCCTCCCCATCCCCCAACATGGTCACCTACCCACCCCTCAGCTCCTCCTTTCGGCCCAGGCCTGGGGACCGACCTGAGCATGACCACCCAGTCCGGGGAGCTGCCGGCCAAAGAGCGGAACCAGGACCGGGGCCGACCCAAGGACCGGAAGCACCGGCCTCACCACCACCATCACCACCACCACCACCCCCCACCCCCCGACAAGGAGCGCTACGGCCCCGGCCCCGAGCGGGAGCGGCCGGACCACAGCCGGGCCCGCGCCCGCGACCAGCACTGGTCCCGCTCGCCCAGCGAGGGCCGCGAGCACGGGGCCCACAGGCAGGTGGGTGCGGTCTGGGCGGATCCGGGGCCTGGGGGACCCCAGCCTGCCTGGGTGGACCGAGCCCCCTCCCCACTCGCTTGTCCCCCTCTCTCCCCCCACCCCGTCCCCCATTGCTGTCCCGCACGCCCGCGAGGGATGTTTTGGGACTTCTGCTGTCTCAACCCCGACACTTACAAAACTCGTCTCTCCTCTCTCTCTCCGCTTTGTTGTGTTGTTTCTGCCCTCCCGGCCGTGCTGTGGCTCCCCTCGTTCCCGCCGTGTCCGGTCTGGTCCCGCCCGTCCCTCATGTCTCGTCCTCCCGTTGGTCTGCGTGTGTCTTTTGTTTTGATTCCCTTTGTTTCGATTTTCGTGTAGGGCAGTAGTTCTGTCAGTGGAAGCCCAGCCCCCTCAACGTCTGGCACCAGCACTCCGCGGCGGGGACGCCGCCAGCTCCCCCAGACCCCCTGCACCCCCCGGCCACACGTGTCCTACTCCCCCGTGATCCGTAAGGCCGGCGCCGCGGGGCCCCCGCCGCCCCCGCCGCAGCAGGCAGCGGCCCGGCCGGGCCGGCGGCTCCCGGGGCCCGTGGCCGAGCCCCCCGCCAGGGAGCGGCCACCGGCGGGCGGCCACGGCCGATCGCCAGGCCCGGCCCGCAGCGAGTCCCCCCGCGCCTGCCGCCATGGCCCGGCCCGGTGGCCGGCGCCCGGCCCGCAGCAGCCCGAGGCGCCCCGGGCGCGCGGCTACTACCGGGGCCCCGACTACGCTGAGGCCGCCGGCCCGGGCAGCGAGGAGGCCTTGGCCGGGCCCTACGACGCGCTGCCCCCCGCGCGGCACGCGGGCCCCAGCGGGCGCTCGCCCAGGACTCCCCGGGCCGCGGGCCCCGCCTGCCCCGGCCGGAGGCTCCCCAACGGCTACTACGCGGCCCGCGGCCCGGCCCGGCCCGGTGCCCGGAGGCCGCAGGAGCCCTACAGCGAGAGCGAGGACGATTGGTGCTAAGCCCGGCCCGCCGGCCCCCCCGCCCCCGCCCGCGCACCCCACCGGGACGGGCCGGCGCGCACAGAACCCCACAGACCCCGGCATGGGGTCCCCACCCGGCATGGGGTCCCCCCCTCCAGCCTGACCGCACCCGGGACCGCCCTGGGCCTGGGCTGAAGAACGGCGGCGGCCACGCAGCCGAGGATCCAGCCAGCTCGTTTGGATAACTTTGGGGAAAATGGAAAAAAAATACATATAAAACAATCTCATTTTTAAAGAAAATACGAGCAGAAAACAACAGCTTCTATTGATGAGTTTTATCATCTCAGTGGAGTCTGTCCTTCCCCCGAGCGGAGCAGCAGCTGGGGCGGCCCAGCGCCCAAGGCAGGGACCCAGCACCCCCAAACCAGGCACGCCCCACACGCCTCAGACCAGGAGCCACTGAGCGCTGGTGACACCGGACCCACTATTACTGCCTGCAGAAATCAGTTTAAAGGTGAAATCGTCATCATAAATAATTTTTAAAAAGGACAAAAAAATTCAACGATTGAGAAAAAGAAGCATTTTTTTCTGACATTTGCTTGAAATAACAAAAGAAGAGAAAAAAACGAAAAAAAAGACCACACCAATCCTTGGCTTCTCTTTTCCTTTATTTTTCCCTTTTTTTTTTCTTTTGTTTTCTTTTACTTTATTTTATTTTCCTACCTTGTTTGAAAACCGTGGGCTTGGGACTGTGAATTATTGCATGACATTAAAAAAGGAAAAAAATTAAAAAAAGGTTGAACCCAGTGGCCCCTGGATTGGACTGGTGTTAGGCCCAGGCCGCGTGCTCACCGGCTCTGCTGGGAAGAGGGGGTGGGCTGCGGCTTCCTGCTGTCCAATGCCAGCCATCTCAGCTGCTCAGGAGGCTGAGGCAGGGGGATCACAAACCAGAGGCCCAGCTGAGCAACTATGCGTGGCCCTGTCTCAATATGAATAAGGCAAAGGTGGAGCCTGGGGACACCGACCTCCAAGAAGAAAACCCAAGAACAGCTCAGGGTGCCTGTACCCGGGAAGGAACACTCCCAAGGACCGGTCGTCCTAGCATCTCCTGTCCAATGTGGTACTTGCCACAAGGGTTTCCTTAAACAACGTGGTGGGGGAAACAGCGTGGGCGAGAGTGGTCCATCCCTGAGGTCACGGAGCAGAGCTGCCCGCGAGGCCCCACGGTGCGGTCCCCTGCAGCCTGCAGCAGTGGGAGGCCTCACCTCCCGCCTGCTCCCTCAGTGCTCCCGTGAATGGAGCCTAAAGCTCAACCAAGCCAGGTGTGCTGGTGTCACCCAGTGCTCGGAGGCTGAGGCAGGAGGGTAGCCAGAGGTCAGCAGCCAGTCTGAGCTACACAGTGAGTACAAGGCCAGCCTGTACTACAGAGTGAGATCCTGTCCTAAAAGAATCAAATAATAACAATAATAAATCTTAAAAACCGTAGAACTGTACTATTTTTTTGCAATGCTAAGGATGAAATCCAGGACCTCATATATGCTAGGCAAGTGCCCTCCACAAAGCTAGGCTCCCCAGCCCTTTTGTGAGTTATTATTTTGGTTTTTTTGGGGGGGGGGTTGTTTGTTTTTTGTGATTTTTTGAGACAGTCTCACTATGCAGTTCAGGCTGGCTTTGAGCTCACTTTGTAGCCCAAGCTGGTCTCAAACTCCAGTGATCCTCCGAGTGCTGGGATAACAGGTGCACACCACACTTGGCTCAAAGTCTTATTTTGTTTTTTGTTTTTGGTGAATTACTATTTTGAAACATGGTCTTGCAAAATTCCCCAGGGTGGCCTCAAATCTGTGATCCTCCTGCCTCAGCCTCCCAAGTAGTGGGCGCAGAGGCATCCGCCACCATCCTAGGCCACAACACTGAGTCTTCAGTAGGAAGGGAGGAGGCTGAGGCAGGTGCAGGGAAGGGTCAGGGTTCACGGTGGCCTGGGAGGGGAGCTCTTCCTGGGCAGGGCTCTGAGCACCCCAGAAGCCTCATGCAAGGAGCTGCACACGGTCCAGGGAAAGAGGACAAGAGGACGGCGGGGGCTCCCTGATACCCCCACAGCTTGACCCTGCCACAGCCCAGGACACTGGCCCAGGCTCAGCTCTGCGCGGGAAATGACAACCTCTCTGGGCATTTGCTTTTCTGTCAGAGAAACCATAGGTGCACTGGAGACCCGAGGATAGACATGGTACTTAATTCCCAGCAGGCCTCCCTCCCTTCCTTCCTTTGAGACAGGCTCTCACTATGTGGTCCAAAGGCCTACAAACTTCCAGAGACACTCCTGCCTCAGCCTCTCAAATACTAGGATGACAGGTGGGAGCTACCCCACCTGGCAGTTTTTGGCCTTAAATTGCAACCACCTTCAGGACTGAGGGTGCAGGTATGTAGAAGGTTAACACGGGCAAAAAGACTGGGTTCAGCTCTGACCCCAAAGCGTCTGTTTTTGGTGTTTGCTGGTTCTGGTACTGGGGATTGAACCCGGAGGTGACCTAAGTCCATCCTAGGCCTTTTTCACTGTTTACTTTCTAGACAGGGTTTCAGGAGGTGGGACTTGAACTCATAACCCTCCTGCCTCAGCCTCCCTGTATGCTGGGGTTACAGGTATGTATTACCCCGCCTAGGTCCAAATTGATATTTAAAGTTTTAGTTTTGAGCCGTGAGTACCTCTGATCCCTGCACTGGAAGGTGGGGGTAAAGAAGCAGGAGCATCTGGGGTTCAAGGTCAGCTTGCATGACAACGAAACCACCTCAAAAGAAAAAAAAAAATTGGTCCTATGGCCCAGGTGGTCCCGGCTGGAAGGCACTGTACACACACGTGTGGAGCCGTGTACCGATAAATCTTTATTCATAAAAACAGGCAGGGGGAGCCCGGCGTGGTGCCGCACTCCTGTTATCCCAGCACTCGGGAGGCTGAGGCAGGAGGATCCTTGTGAGTTTGAGACCAGCCTGGGCTACAGAGTGAGCCCAAGGCCAGCCTGGACTGCACAGTGAGACCCTGTCTCAAAAAGACAAAACAACAACAATGACATAAAACCAGGCAGGGGGCAGACCCAGCCTCTTCCCGGGCATAGAGCTGTTTAAACTTGTCCAGCTCAGCACCCTCTTCCTCCTTACGCTGCTGGCATTCACCGTTTGGAAATTATAATCGAACCCAGCTTCTCCAGAGGCTGAGGTCAGCCAGGTGCCTGGTGCAGCCCCATCTCTCTGTCTGACTGTCTGACCTATCCATCTGTCTATCTATCTATCTATCTGTTTATCTATCTACCTCTCTCTCTCTCTCTCTCTCTATCCCTAACTCTGTCTCCCTCCCCCTCAGGGTGCTGAACCCAGCACCTCATGTGTGCTACAGAGACCCTCCATCCCTAGCCCCCTACTTCTTTTTGGTACTGGGGCCCAGCCCCCTTTTTAAAATTTTAATTTTTTAAGCAGGGTCTCAGGCTGGCCTCCAACTCACGGTGACCTTCCTGGCTCAGCCTCCTGAGTGCTGAGGTGACAGGTGTCGTGTGGTTCTTTCTGTCTTGGTTTTCTGAGCCAGGGTCTCCCTATGCAACTCAGGCTGGCCGTGGGCTCACTCTGTACCCAGGCTGGTCTCAAATGCATCTGGATCCTCCTGCCTCAGCCTCTTCAGCCTCCGGAACATTAGGATGGCGGCGGGCAGTTGTGTGGAAATTCCTGGTTCATGGTATTTTGCTACCGTGGCCTGAGGCTTCACTGCTCGCTGCCTCCGCAGCCCACGGTGTCTCCCAGGACAGCGGAAGGCCACAGAGAGAGGGCGTTGCCAGTGGCTCCCGTGACCTCCCCAGCTTCTCCCCCACCTTGGCTCCCCAGTGTCCGACCTGGCCTCTGCCAAAGGCCACTGTCCACTCATCGTGCTCCAGCTCTGGCACCTGAGCCACCCTGCCTGTCACCCCAGCACAGTGAAAGGTTGAGGCAGGAGGGTGGCCATTTGAAGCCCTAAAGAAAGGCATGATTTAGCGATTCGATGAGACCCTGTCTCAAATTAATCTTTCTGAAGTTGATTGGAAAAAAATTAAAAACTAAATAACAGAGATCTCTGCTCCCTGGGCTCAGTCCTCAGTACAACAATAACAGCAAAGCTGTTAGCTACACAGTTCTGTTAAACATGAAGGGGCTGGGGATTTAGCTCAGCGGCATAAGCGCCTGCCTTGAAAGCAGGCAGTCGTGGGTTCGACCCCCGGTACCGATAAAAAGGAAAAAGACAAAAAAAAAAAAAAAAAAAACGTGGACCGCCCAGCACCAAATCCTGGTCTCCTGCACGCGAGACCCTGCGCTGGGCAAGGCAAAACCAGGGCCGGCGATGCCACCTAGCGGCCAGGAGGGGAACAGCCGCCCCTCTGCCTTTGCTCTGGGAGAGGCCTGCAAACGGGCCCAGAGGTAGAGATCCTGGCAGCCCGGGGTCACCCCAAATATCAGCCCAGGAACTCGGGGATGTCATGGTTAGAGATCAGTGCCCCCCATCAACAGATACTTTAGTTTCTGTAGGATTGAGATTTGGGAGCCCTGAGCCACAACCCAGCTCCTTAAATGTTTATTGTGAAGCCTGTCAACCAGCACTAATGAGGCTGAGGCAGGAGGACTGTGTTTCATGCCAACCTGGGCTACACAGTAAGTCCGAGGCCAGCCTGAACCTTTTTTTTTTTTTTTTTTTTTTTTTGAGACAGGGTCTCATTTGGAGAGCAGGCTGGCCTTGGTCTCACTGTCTAGTTCCATTAGGTCTTGAACTCCTGAGGTTCCTGCTGGGGTTACAGGCATGCGTCACCACACCTGGTTGGTCTATTTCATTTAACATTATGGTCTCACAGTGCATCTGTTTTCCTACAAAACCCAGGTTTACCCTTATTTATGGCCACATAGTACTCCACCGTGTGAAGGCCATTTATCCATTTACCTGTGGACAGGTGTCTGGGCTGCTTCCAAGATTTAGCTGTTATCAGCTGTGTTGCTGTAAACACAGGCACAGACCACTCTGATACCATGGCTTTGACTCTTCTGGGATGACACCTAGAAGGGAAACAGCTGGGACAAACAGGAGTTTCTGGTTAATTTCTTGTGCAGTCTCCATTTGGGGGGGGTCTAATTTTTCTTTGAGTTATGTATCTAGATATGAATCTTCTGTCCAACACCTGGCTGGCGATTCCTCCCCTCTATTCTGGAGGTCATTTCTTCCCCTGCTCCATGTCTCCTTTGCTGTGCATAGGGTTTTTAATTTGATGGGATTCCTTTGATCGGTTCTCAGTACTATCCCCGGGGAGCGGGGCTCTGCTGAGAAAGTCTGGGCCTGTCTGTGTCAAGTGTAACCGAGTCTGTCTTCCAGCAGCTATTTTTCTTTCAACATTCGGCTCTCTGAGCTGCTCTGATTCTCCTGTGCGTGATAGGCGTGGATAGGTGTGGATTCCATTCTTTGCAAGATTAATTCATTCATCCGTCAGAGGGCTGGAGCAGAGCCCTTGCCTAGCACGCATGAGAGCCGGGGAATCCAGCGCCACAGAATTATAATAATACACTTACATTATTTGTAAAAACTTTATAGACCAGGCGTGGTGGTGCACACCTGCCATCACAGCACTTGGGAGGCTAAGGCAGGAGAATCATTGCAAGTTCGAGACCAGCCTGGGCTACACAGTGAGCTCAAGGCCAGCCTGGACTGCACAGCGAGACCCTGTTTCAAAAGACAAAACAAAAGAGAGAGAAAAGAAACAGAAAAGCGTCACAGCCTGTGAAGTCACCTCGATCCACGCCCACGAAGTCCGTGTGGCCGCTCTGCACCCGCACTTCAGTGGCGGCTGCCTTTAGGCTCAGCACCACGGGGGCCACCAGCTGGGAGGTCAGGGGGGCCTTGACCCACAGGGCCCCTCCCCTCCCCTCCTGGAATGCATGAGCTGCAGGTGTCTGGGCCCACAGCAGCTGTGTCTGGGGCCAGCCACGGAGTCCCGGGGTACCCCAGCCCCAGCCCTGCTCGCCCCTGGAGACTAGTTGCTGTCCGAGCCCCGCCTCCAGCCAGCGACGCCCCGCCCAGCACAGGCCCGACCCTGCCGCGCATGCGCAGCCTCGAGGGGTCTTGCCCCAGAGCCCCCTTCTGTCCCTGGAGGGCGACCCCTTCCCCTGCCACTTCCCACCGGTCCTTGCATCTCATCCCACAGGCAGTAGGGCTGGGGCACCCGGGACTTCCTTAAGTAGGCGGAGGAAGGAGGATCGCGCAGCAGGAGTTGTCTCAAAATGAAACATGCAGAGCCCCGGGGGGCAGCCCAGGGGTAGAGAACCTGCTTGGCATGTGCAAGGCCTGGAACACAGACAGACAGAGGACAGTCAAGGAACGGATAAAGAGATAGAGATCAGACAGGTAAACAGACAGGGGGGGATAGATGAATGACAGATGGACAGAGGACAGACAGCCAGACCGAGAGAGGAGACCACGTGACCAGAGCCCGTCAGCCAAGCGACTGGAATCAAACCGACTCAGGCCCGAGGGGAGGAACATTGGAAGCGGCGCTGCTTGGCGTGAGCAGGATGCAGAATTCACCACAGCGCCGTGATGCCACCGAGGCGAGGCCGCAGACCGAGACGGGTGCGATGCGTGCGCCTGCGACGCCGACGGGCTGGGAGGCTGAGGCAGGAGGCTCCCAGATTCAATCTAGGGACTTAGCAGGGCTGTATCTTAAAATTAAAAACTAAAACAGGGGCTAGAGATATAGGTTAGTGCAACAGCCTGGGTTCCATCCCAGGTGGAGAGAGAGAGAATTTCAGAAGGAGGAAGAGAATCGTGAGAGATCTGTCTGTTGACTGTGCCGGGTGAGTCATTACAACCACGTTCTACACTGTGTACTGGAAACCAGGAAGCGAGATTGTGAATGTTACCACCGTGAGCTTCTTGTCGCCACGGAGCATTTCAGCACTTTGGGAGCTGGAACTGTGGCATGGTGGTAGAGATCGCGCTTAACACAGATTCAGTCCCCCACCAGAAAAAGAGATCGAGTGTGGTGACACATGCCTGTGATCCCAGCACGCAGGAACCTGAGGTGGGAAAATCGCAGTCAGTCTGAGGCCAGCCTGGGCTACAGAGTGTCTAAAAAGGAAGAAGAGGAAAAGGAAGAAGAAGGAGGAGGTGGAAAAAGTATCATTCTCGGCCTGCCATGGTGTACAAATCTGTACTCCCAGGACTCTAGGAGGCTGAGGCAGGAGGATCGCTGCCAGACTGGGATACATAGTGAGAGCCTGTCATAAAAAAACCAGCAACCAAAAAAAAGAGGAGGAAGGGAGGGGAGGGGAGAGGGAAGGAGGGGAGGACAAGAGACCACCAGCCCCAGGGCGAGACCCCCCTTCAGCTCAGGGTCTCCCCGCGCACTGGCCTCGGCCCTGCTCTTTTGCCTCCCCGCGGGGAATTTCCTGTCCCCAGCACCGCAGGGCTTTGAAAGCTCGGAGCTGTTTCTGCAGCGGAGTCTACAGAGGTCGAGGGCGGAGGGCGGGAGGGCGCGCCGCGGAGACGCAGGACGCATGCGCAGGGCCCGCGAGCCCCGCCCCACCGCGCCCCTTCCGGTGCCGGAGGCAGAGCAGAGGGCTCCTCGGCAGGAACTGGGGGCGGAGGGAGGGTCTCGGGAGGTCAGTGGCCTGCCGCCCGGCTGCTCTGAGCCCTGCTCGGCGTCCTGCCGCCCTCGGGTCTGAAGGTGAAGCGGTCCGGTGCTCCCAGCACCAGCAGGGACGGGGGTGGGGTGGGAGGAGGCCGCAGCCCTCTGATCTGGCGACCGCCACGCCCTGGAGCAGCGCCCTGGCACTGAGAGGCGTCACCAACCCTGTTTTTATCTTTTGGTCTGAGGTAGGGTTTCGCTCGATGACCCAGGCTGGATTGGAACTGGTGGAGCCCCCTCCCTCAGCCTCCCGAAGTTCCGAGTTGGCCACGGGCGGGCAGTCGGTTTTATTAACCAACAACGGACTTTGTCCTCAGGAAAGTACTGGGCTCGGAGAGCACAAATTGCCCCCGTAGCGAAGTTTTTACCCTGCTGAAAGAAGAAAGATATAGTCACTGGACCGAGGAACCCAAACAGGAAGGGGGGGGAGAGGAGTAAAGAAAAGCGGCCTGGGAAGAGCCCGATCTTATGTAAGAACAAGAGCTGAGAACAGCCCTGACTCCCTCCCCTGCCCAGAACTGGGGGAGCAAAATAGTGGACCTAAGTGTACTAGGTGGGACCTGGACCTGACCTATTGCTTCATCACACCGTGCCTCAGTTTTCTTTACTGCGAAATGGGCTGGCTACACAGGCATACCTGTGTCATACCTGCACTCAGGAGGCTGAGGCAAGTGGATCACCATGAGTTCAAGGCCAGCCTGGGCTATGTGTGGAGACAGTCTCAAAACAAAAAAAAAAAGAGGAACTAAGACCTAAGCATGGACCATGCGAGGGTCTCCAAGGAGTTACACTCTCCAAGGAGTGTAATCATTATGTATAGCTGAATTGTACTAATAAGTTAACATAAAGACATTAAAAAATTAAAAGGACTTGCCCGGGAGGTACAGTTTTAAAAACTCTGCCCAGGGCACCTGCGTGGGGTGTGCTGTTCAGGGCCTCCTCCCTCCCCAGGCTGCCTCTGTCCCCGAGCTCCAAGGCTCTTAGCCCACCTGCTCCTGGGGAAGAAGCAGGAACAGCAAATCCTCCCAGCCCCTTACAGAAGGCCTAGACTGCCTAAGGCCCAGGCCTGAGGCGTGGCCTGGGCTGCAGCTGACCTGGAAAACACAGCTAGAACTACAGATCACAGGTTGGGCCCAGCCTACACAAGTTAGTGAGACCCTGTGTGGTTCTTCTTTTTTTTTTTTGGTGGGGGGACTCTGGTATTACCTGCCTCCGGTTCCTGTCTCTGGCTGCACCACCCACAGCCACAATGGGGAAACCAGCACGTCCCGTGACAATGCCAAGCAGGGAACCCCACAACCTCTGCAGTGACCTCTCTGCTTCGGAGTTCTGACCACGTCCACAAGCCCCAGCCCAGTGAGACAGCTGTCTGCCAGCCTAGGAACCTTCCTGTCCCAGCCCCACGGGGGCCAGGACTTGGGGTCCCCTCTGCAGCTGCACCCAAGGCCAGGGCTCACACAAAGCTTCTGTTGTCTGGCCCCTCGGAGCCACACCCTTCCTTCTCTGCCCAGCCCTCCTGTCCAGGAGCCCTTAGAGGGGCCCTGACTGCACAGCCTCCCAGGGGGAGGAAGCTGGTGGCTCTCCCTTCCCCGCAGGCCTGGGCTTTCCAGGGCCTCCCAGCTGTCCCCATATGGGAGCCAGAAAGCTTTGGTCCTGGGCTTTCCAGTCCCACTGGCTGTGCCTCCCCCATCCTTCAGGCCATCGGCCCAGGGTCAGGGTGTCATGCCAGCCTGCCCGGTGCGTCCTCGGCCCGCTGCCAGCTGCTCCTGATTGGGTGCCTGGCGCAGTGGCCTAGATTGGGCAGACGCGGGACAGAGGGGCGGCGGCTGGGGGGAGGAAGATGTGGGGTCAGCTGAGGGGGTGTCCGAGCCGGGCTGTCACTTCGCTGTGGGCTGCGGGACAGGAAACCCTGACTGCGCCCACCGTGCAGGGCCCATGTCATTGGCCCGAGGGCCCGGAGGCCCCAGTCACGAACTGGGGACCCCTTGCCCCGTCGGCTGGCCTAACAGAAATATGCGGGTGACCACGGGATCAACCTCAACAATTAAATGCGGGAGGCTGGGGATTTAGCTCAGCGGCATAAGCGCCTGCCTTGCAAGCAGGCAGTCATGAGTTAGATCCCCGGTACCGGTAAAAACGAAAAAGACAAACAAAACAAAACAAAACAAAACAAAAAACAATGAAATGCGAACAGAGCCGGTTCGCGTACACAAACGCGTGGGGTCCAGGTCCCCCGGGCACGGGCATTGGCCCGGGTCCCCGCACTCGAGTGCAGGTCGAGCAGCTCCCGAGCCTCGCACCCCCGCAGCACCGCTCTCAATCGCTGCAAACCCCCCCCCCATTCTGCTCGGCCGAAGGCCACGCCTCTAGAAAAGCCACGCCCCAAGACAAACACGCCCAATAAAGCCCCGCCCAGAGGGAACGCCCTCGAGGGAACACGCTCTTCGACCACACCCCCGGTAAAAGCCCCGCCCCGAGGCTGTCCCAGTGCTTGGAAGGGCGGGTCGGGGTGGGCGGGACTTGATTTACATACTCCCACCTAGGCATGATTAGCACCAATCACCCCGCCCCGCACCGGCCAGTTCCCCACCACTGCAGGCTAAACCCCGCCCCTCCCGGCTGCATCTAGGCCAGGGCTGGGCGCGGGCCGCGGGAACTGAACCGCGCCCAGGACCCGGAACTCGGTCAGCAGGTCTGCTAAACAGGTGGTGCCGGTCCAGCAGGGTGGGCAGAGGACCAGCTCCGAGATCTGGTCCTTACCTGCTGTCTTCCAGGGCAGGGCTGTCCGGGCCTGGGTTTCCTTCCTGTTAAAGTGGCCGCGCTGAGCTGGTCCCCGAGGAGCCTTGCACACGCATTCTTTGCACACGCACAGGAAGGCGTCCTCCCGAAGCCCCTGCCGGATCGCCTGCAGTGCTGCAGGCTGCAAGCTCGTCGTCAGCTAAAAACAGCTCTTGACCTGGCTGTTGGTCAAAAACACTGGCCTCTCTTAGAACTGAGTATGCACCTAAAAAAAAAAAAAAAAACAGAAAGAAAGGAAAAAAAAAAAAAAAAAAACACCGGCGTCTCGAGCCCAGGGCAGGTGCACCTGCGGCCTCTCTCCAGAGATCTCAGAGGCTGGAGGCAGGTCCCTGGGTCCAGCGGAGAGTGGGGGGCGGGAGGACTGAGAAAATGTGGGAATGGAGAGCAGGCCAGTGTGGCCACAGAGTGACAGATCAGGCCGCCCTTCTTACAGGATTTATTTTGGCCTGGAGAGCTGGACACCCATGCCTCAGGCACGCAGCCCAGCCCCATTCAGTTGTCTAAGAGACTGGGAATTAACCTCCGAGAGCCCATCCCTTGCAGTCGGCAAGCCCTCTCTAGTCTAAAGATAGACTGGAATTCAGGCACTTCTGAGGCTGAGGCAGGAGGAGCTCCACCAGTTTAAACCCAGCCTGGGCCACACACCAAGACCACATCTCAAAAAACAAGGGGCTGGGGGTTTAGCTCAGCGGCATAAGCACCTGCATTGAAAGCAGGCAGTCTTGCCCTGGTACCGATAAAAACGAAAAAGACAAAAAAAAAAAAAAAAAGAAAAAGAAAAATGAAAAGCTTTCTCTTGGAAATAATGTGTCTTTAAAAGTTGCTGATCTTTCTTGGAATAAAATGTTGCCTGGAGCCTCACCCTGGCTACTGTTTCAGCCAGATTTTATGGCTTTGTTTTGTTTTCATTGTAACTTTAACTGCCACCTTACAAGTATGGTGAGTGATTTACCAGTGCGTTAGAACAGGTATGGGACAACCGCCAACTCCGGAAAAGCTGGGGCAAGAGGACTGCGTGCTTGAGGACACCATGGGCAATGTGGGGAGACCCTGTGCTTAAAGTAGAAAAATAACCAGGGAGGCTGGGCGCAATGGGGCAGGTCGTAATCCCAGCACTCAGGAGGCTGAGTTCAAAACCAGCCTGATTTACAGTGAAACCCTATCAAATAAAATTTAAAAAGGGTTGGGATGTCTCTCAGGTGAAGCTCCCTGAGTTTGAACCCAGTACCTACATACAGATAAAATGTGCAGATACCTGATGGAACACTTTATAGGCTTCATCTGATTTAGTGCTGAGCATGGAACCCAGGGGCCTAGGGACCCCGAATGAGAGGCCAGAACACACCACTGGCTGCAGGCCCAGGGCTGGCCCTTGGGGAGAAACTAAAGCGGCTCAGGCAACCCATCACTCTGTTGCTGGTTCCCAGCTAACTGCTGAGCTGGGAGCAGATCTCTGGCCCCGGCCTATGCCCTCTGGGGAGCAGTAGTAACTCCTCCATCTTGGCCAGGACAGCTGTAGGCTGCTGGTGGTTTCTCCTTTGTGCTGACCTCAGGCAACTCCACCAGAATGCCCATCCATGCACACATCCACCCACACCCACACACCCCAGGACTGGGCCATCACACTGAACTACACCCCTACCCCATTTTATTTTATTTTTTTGAGACAGGGTCTCACTCTGCAGTTCAGGTTGGCCTTAGACTCACCATGTACCCTGGGCTTGCCTCAAACTAGTAGAGATCCGCCTGCCTCAGCCTCCTGAGTGCTGGGATTACAGGCTTGAGCCACGTTGCTCAGCTCTTTTTTTTCTTTTTGAAACTGTTTCACTAAAATGCCAAGTTGCCATTCTCAAATTTGTGATCTTCCTGCTTCAGCCTCCTATAGTGCTGGGATTCAGAACTCCTTTGGGAGGCTGCTGCCACAGGCCCTCAGGCAGGGAGTTCCCTTCCTAATCTGCTGGTCCCAGAGTAGGTGACATTTGCAGTTTTCACAGCTACTGTCATGTTGATTACATTCCAGATAGTCTGTCCCTGGGAATGGTGTGGACTCTCCAGACCTAGCTAAAGTTGTTGAGACAACTGGGCAAGGTGGCCTACACCACCAATCCTAGACTTGAAAGGCTGAGGTGGGAGGATCTCTATGTGTAGGTCAACCTGGGCTACAGTGACTGGACTACATACCAAGAACCTGTCTCAAAAATAATATGGCCTGTAATCCCAGCACTGCGGAGGCTGAGGCAGAATGATCATTACGAGATCCAGACCTGCCTGGGTTACAAAGTGAGCTCCAGGGCAACCTGAACTGCCTAGACTGTCTCAAAAGAATTTATATGTTTGTATCTTTAAGCCTGCCCTGATCCATCTGCAGCCCTGCAGGTTTTCACTTTTGCCCTTTCTGATGGCTGAGGGGTGAGCGAGGGGGCGCCCTGTCTCTGGGTGTGTATGAAGTTTTCAGTCTAGTCTCCCGCCCCCACCACCCGGAGTGGGGGTGGGACACCGGAAATCCCCATACAGTGACGGGGTGGGGGTCTGGCGGGTTCCCGCGGGCGGAAGGAAGGGCCCGATGGTTCCTCCCACAGCATGCACACCGGCCCCTCCCTGGCCGCCAGGGACTTCCCGAGGCCCTGGGGCGTGGGCGCCCCACACCCATGTCCCCTTGGGACCGCCATTGAACCCCCACACTTTCCCGGAAGGATTCAGAGGCGGTAGAGGCCCAAAGGCAGGCTCGAGGTCCTAGTGGACTGCCCGACCCTGAGCCTAGAGTCCGGGTTTCCCCGGGTCACGGCCCACGGTGGCGCTGCCAGCTGTCGAAGGCGGGGCCCGCAGACCCGCTCCCGCCTCGGCTGGACTCTTGCACCTGCGGCTCCTTTGTCCTCGCCGACATCCCTCCCCCAGCCCCAGGCAGAGCCTGCGGGGCGGGCTCTGAACCAGCAGGGGAGGAATGTTTTTCCCGCTCCTACAGCTCTGGGAACTGGGATGTACCAGCAGGTCGAACGGCACAAGGACACGGGTGTGTGTCCTGATGACCGCACCCAGGGCCTCTTCACTGAGCTCATCCCCAGTCCTTGAGCTTAGGTCTCCTCTCTCCCAGCGACCCAGGCTACATTCCAATTTGAGACCCTTCTGCCTCAGCTTCCAACAGTGCTCGGGAGATGGGAGTACTGTACTATCACGTCCAGCTCACTAGAGCGTTTCTGAATCTAAAGTATTACAGGACACCTAAGAGACCTGTTCCTAGGTAGGAAAATTGAAGCTGGGTCACCTCTTCGGGGACCCACACCTGCCCCCTCAAGGCAGAAATTGTGCTCTGAAACCCCAAGGCTCCCTTAAACCCAGGTGAGAAAAGGCCTGACCTTTCTCTGTAATATTGAGGATTTGCTACATCCTCATTTTTAAAATTAACTTTTGAATTCTGAAAAGGGTCTCTACATCATCCAGGGAGACTAGAACTCGGGATCCTCCTGCCTTGGCTTCCCCAAGTGCTGGGATACAGGCATTAGGTCCCAGCCAGGCAAACAGCCGGCTCTCTAGGCTCCAATTATAGCTTCTCATTCAGCCTGAGGAGTTTATCCCAAGGTTAGAAACGTGAGAGCGCTTTCCTCTTCCGACGCGGGTTAATTCTGGAAACCCCCCAACCTCCAGCGAAGGGCGTCGGGCTCCCGCCCATGCGCTAACCCGGCCAGACCGGTTCCTGAGGCCGGGAGCTGCTAGCGCCTGACCCCGGACCTCGCCCCACCCTCCGGGGAAGAGAACCAGACGGACCGAACTTTTCACCGCGATGGTCTTTATTGTCCCGGCAGTGACAGTCACAACGCGACGCCAGGTGCGCGGTGCCCACTGTGGGAAGGTAGACCGGCCTCCCAGGTGCAGCGGGGCTGCGAGTCCGTGTGTCCGAGGGAGGCTACGCTCTGTTCTAGGGCCACCGCGCCACCTCCTAACGCAAACACTTGAGGAAATTAAAGAAAATCCCGCATCTGAAACTCGCTGGGCTCGCAGGGCAGCAGAGCAGAGACTGGCCGAGTGACTCAGGTCGCACTCCTCCCATTTCCGGGGGCGTCCACGCCCCGGAGCCTCCTCCCGGCCCCACACCCACGCTGGGCGACAGGAAGCTCCCCGCCCCGGCCCCATGACGCAACGGTGACCGCTTGCACAAGTATGTCAGCGAGGGGCCGGGAGTGCCCTGGCCTCTTCGTGGCTGGGAGGGCGCCCAGCACTCGATTAAAAACAATTAAAAAAAAACCAAGTCCGACCCTGAGATTGCAGGACCGAGTCGACACGCTCCCTCGCAGGAGACGCCGGGGCCCGGGTCCAGTCCGCACACAGGCACCTCTGGGCGCCGCGGAGCTCGCGGGAAGCACCCGCGCCCCATCCTGGCCGCGCCAATCCCGGTTCTCTCCGCCTTACGCGCCCGGGCAGCCGCCTGGCTCCTCTTGGCCTCCCGCCGGCTCGGTTAACTCGGGGCGGGCGCGACGCCTCGGTTGCGCGCTCGGGCCGCCGGCTCAGCGCGCGCTCTGGCTCCGGCCGCGTCCCAGCGCTCAGAAGGCCACCACGGTGCGCACGAGCACGCGCAGTACCGGGTCCGCCGCGCGGCAGGCCGGCGTGGCGTCGCGCGCGGGGGGCGCCGTCGGGGCGGCGGCCGGCCCGCGGCTGAGCAGCCCAGAGAAGCTCCGCTGCAGGACGCGCGCCAGGTTGGGGAAGGCGCCCTCCGCCGGCGCGGACGCGGGCGGCAGGCGGCCGGGCGGCTCCGCCGACGCCTCCTGCTCTTCCAGGCGGGCCTTCTTGCTGGGGGCCAGGCCGGCGTCCACGCCGTCGCTTGGGTTGCTGCTACTGCGCCGCTTGCGGCCGACTCTTGCGGGACGCAGGGAGCAACGGGCAGGCAGCTCAGCGGCTCTGGGGGGTGCCGCCGCCTCCTCCGCCGCCTCCTGCGCGTCCATGGGCTCCGGCGGCTCCCCGTCGGGGGGCGGACACGCGGCGGGCACTTCCGCTTCTCGCGCCTGGTGCAGGCGCGGGTCCTGGGGGCAGGGTGCGGGCGGTGATGGCGCCTCGAGCTCCAGCGCCTCCACTTTGGCCGCAAGGTAGAGTTCCCGGGCGCTGCGCATGACCAGCGACAGCTGCAGGCTCCGGTGCAGACGTAGGCCGCCGCGCTGCATTCGCGAGTGGTACATTTTCCACACCGACAAGGTCATGATGCGCTGCGCCTCCTTCTGCACCTCCATGGCGCTCGACGGCGGGGGATACGGGGACTCTGAGCAACGGCTGAGCACGCAGAAGACGTACCAACACTCCCAGCGCCGGTGGCTTAGAAGCTCTGCCCGGCTCCGTCCACGAGCCCTTTTATAGCCGCGATGACATCAGCGGCGCCCCGCCCAATCAGAGGGCCGCAGCAGGGCTTTCAGCCGCTCCGTGGCCAGAGACTCCTTAAAGCGACAGGGCGGAATTTACCCAGCTAGGCTAGGGAATGGAAAGCCCGACAGAGCGGGGCGTCCCGGACTGGACAGAGCTCTCGGTCTGGTCTCCTTGCTCCACACTCGGCCGAGGCCCGGGTGAGGATCTGCGCCTGGGAGTACACTCGCGGCGGGAGGCGCCGCCGGATCGTGGGCAGCATTTCCTTTTGCACTAGGCAAGACCCAAGGTTCGAGTCCCGCAGCCCCGGTGGGCACTGCTATTGGCGTCCTCCAGCTACCTAACGTTTTCGGAATCGGGAACAACGCTGCTTGGTTCGGTGCTTTCTGCGGCCCAGGTATGCTAAATTTGGGGGTTGGCGGGGTGCTGGGACCACGCTGGCCTGTAACTCCTAGAGATTCGCCTCCCTGAGTCTTGAGGTTACTGGCGACGCCAGCACGTCGCCCAGGCTCGTGCAATTTCTTCATTCCATCGGTCTCTCGGATCCCTCACCTTCAACTCCGCAGAAGGTAGGATTATGTCTGTTTTCTGGTGGGAAAACGAAGCCGCTTGTCCAGGGTCTGTCAAATGAATGAATGAGCAGCCGTGGTGCAGGAGGCTGCATCTACCTACCTGCCGCCTGCCGGCTGCAGTGCTCCGCAGCCGCTCCCGCTCATGGGCTGTGGGAGTGAGGACCGGGCGGGGCTAAGCCGGGCTGGAGCAGCCGACGCGAGGGAGATCGGGCAGCAAACACGTGGCTCCCACCCGAGCGCCGAGCGCCGGGCGCCGGGCGCGGGGCGGCCTGCACGCCCCGGGGGGCGGGGCTGCGGTGGGAGTGGACACCGCGTCTAGCCGGGAAAGAGCTGGAAAAAAACAATCGTCCCCGCCCATCACCACGCGCTCGCAGAAAACTAAATCCCAGTTGCACACATGCACAAACACACAAAGCACAACTGCTCAACAGCTTCATTTCTTCATGGTGTGGCCCCTTTAAAGGGCGCCCCCTCCCCACGTTACGCTGCGCCACTGAAGCCCGCTGACTCCTAGAGCTAAATGTGGAAGCGGTGACGTCGACGGCGCTTGAGCGGCTTCCGGCTGCCCATGTAAGGACTGGGGTCCGGGGCTAGAGGGGCGGGCCTGCACTTTGGACACACCCCTCCCCTTGTCCCAGGCCGGGACTTCCGGGCTTGAGGTCAGCGGGATGGCGGGGGTTTTGCTTGCGGGGGAGGTGCGACGTCCTGCGGGGAAGCCCTAGCCAGCCTTCGGGTGACCCAGGCTTCGCGCGCGCCGTCCCCGGAGACCGCACATAAAGATGTTGTCATTCCGTTCCCATGGAGATCCTGGTTCATTTCCCCGCGGTAGCCCCTGCCCCCATTTTATACAGGGGATTGAATTAAGGACCTTCACATTGAACTGCTTTCTTTCTTTCTTTCTTTTTTTTTTTTTTTTTTACGACCAGAGTCAGTATGGATGAACTGCATTCTTGCCCTCCACCTTTTTTACCTTTTTGAGACAGGGTATCACTAAATTGCCTAGGTTGGGTCCCAGTTTGTGATTCTCCTTCCTCAGCGTCTCAGAGATGAGGGGTTCCATGCCCGTGTCCCTAATTGAGCACCCTGAGTTTTCATCCCTTGTGGCACGTGGGTACTCCTCCGTCTTCGCTAGAGCCGTCAAAGCCGTCACCACTGTGGCTCCACATCCCTTGGCGATCCATTGGGGGCGCCCTCCTCTCTGGCCTGCATACTGACAATGGGTAGTACCCTGGGGACTCCCTCCTCTCTGGCCTGCATACTGACAATGGGTAGCACCCTGGGGACTCCTTGCGGCGCCCCGCCCCTCGTCCTCCCAAGCAGTGGCCGCTCTAGTCCCTCGGACTCGCACCCAGCAATGCTGAGCCCCCGGATACGCAAGTCCACGACACCTTATCTGCTCGCACGTGCAAAGGGATCTCCCAACCGCCCTGGCGACCCCAAAGCGACCTATCTGCCCCTCTTTCAAGAAAGGAGGAGCGGCGCGGGGCGAGTCCGGCAGCACGGCGCAGAAGGCAGGATGCGGAGGGACGGGCTTTCCCCGCTGTGGACCCTGGGTTGGGCGGGCTTCCCGGACAGCAGCCAGAGCTGACTCGGGTGCTCTCGTGAAGCTTCAGTGAGTCCAAGCAGGGCACCGCGGTCATCCCGACACTCGGAGGCTGAGACAGGAGGATACGAAATGCAGACTCAGCCTGGGCAATTTAACGAGACCGCCTCAGAATACATGTAACTCAGTACGCAAGCCCTGCCTTCAATCTCAAATCCCACAAAATCAACTTAATTAAATAGGCTGTTATTTACGCTGCCTCAGAAGGGAAGCAGGTTGCGCAGACACAGCAGGAAGGGCTGGATCTGGAACTAGAGTTATGACCTACGACTCAAAAGCGGTACAGGTCTAGCACGAAGCTCCAGGTCCCGGAGTTCGCGGAGGGGCGTGTTGCATAGATCGGAAGCTACCTCTGCCCACAACAAAGATGGCTGAAGCGGGGCCGGAAACGTTCCTATTTCCGCCCTCTGGACGGGGGCCGGGTGGAGGTATGCCGGCGTGCTTGCCGCAGCAAAAACTGGGATCGCGCAGACGCCAGGCGGAAAGACGGATCGCTTCTTTCCGAGATCCCTGCGTGGCGGTCCGAGTGTGAGTGGTCGCGCCGCGGGAGGTGGGAGACGGTCACATGCACGGCGACTCGTGGGGACCCGGAGGGGACTGGATTCCTGGGTTGCGCGGGGCGGCAGGAGGACCGAGCGGGAGGGCATTCGGGTAAGGAAGGCCCTGGTGATCTGGGCATGGGGGACTGGATTTATGCGTTTTCGAGATAAGCGCTCTCTGTGTGGCTCAGGCTGGCCTGGAACTGGAAGGGGTTCTCCTGCTTCAGCCTCCTGAGTGCTGGCCTAACTGTGCAGCTCCCACACTCCCCGAATTTGAATATCTGCACACTAACGCCATCCTCACCAGCAAGACGTGAAGGACCACTCAGTCTTCCCAGCAGCTGCAGCTCTCGTGGGGATCAGTAACTCCAGGCTCCATGCCCACTCTCTCATCGCTCTGGACCACCGCCTCCATGGAGGGCCAGCCCGCCTGGCATCTGGTGTAAGGGGTTTAAGCTGACCACATGGGTTTTGGTATCTGTGGATATCTCCATTCCAAACTCTTGAGGTCTCAGGAGACATCTATCAGTGATTCTTTTCTCACATTCACTGGTTTGTTTGTTTATTTATTGAGACAAGGTCCCGCTATGCAGTCCAGGTTGGCCTTGAACTTGCAGTATCTTCCTGCCTCAGCCTCCCGAGTACTGGGATTGCAGGCATGTGCCACCATGCCCGGCTGTACTTGTTGAGGTGACTTCCTGAGGGACAGGGACATCCAACCTTCTTCGGCACTCTGAGGACAAGCATGTAGTTCTGGATTCACCCAGTCTGCCGGGTCCTCCGAGCACACACCAGGCTCCAAGGCTGTGCTCTGTCCCGATTATCCTTCCTCAGATGCAGAAAACACCCACCCCACCTGGGACACCAGCTGAAGCCCACACTCCTCAGCACCTTTCAGCTCCCGCCTTCTGCATGTGTGGCTTTGGGAACAGAAATGCAGACTCCACTCCGAGGCATATCTGCTGACAAGCTAGCGTGGAGTAGTTCAGTAATTAACTGTCAGGCTCCGCTGGACCCAGGCAGTCAAAAACAGAAAGAAAAAAGAAGAAAACAGAAACTGGGGTTGGTGACACTGATCCCAGAACTCTGGGAAGCTGAAGCAGAAAGATCTTGAAGTTGAACCCAGTGTAAGCAATGTATCGCTGCCAGGTGTCTCCAAACAGACATGTTGAAAAGGGTTGGAAAAGCCTGGCGAGGTGGCCGGCACTTGGGAGACTGAGGCAGGAGGACCATGAGTTTGAGGCCAGCCTGGGCTACATAGTGTGGGCTAGATGGGCTCTGTCTCAAGGTGGCGGTGGGGAAACCAAACACAGAAAAGGGCTCTGGGTCCAGTCCCCAAAAGAAGAATACAGTGACTGACTGCACCGGTGTACTCATTTTCCTGCACGTCTTGGGGTCCAGGACAGAGGGGAGCAAATCAGCCCCTCTTCTCCAGGAGTGACAGGGAAGAGTCCAAGTGCAGGCTGGCCCGACACTGTGGGGCAGGCACACCTTCCCCCCAGGGTGACTGGGCCCAGCCACGCTGATTGGATCAGAGGCCCAGTGAGTTCCCAGTACCACCTGGAACTCTCTGTGGGTCGTTTTTGAGTTACCAAGTAGCCCAGGCTGGCCTTGGTTTCTCGGTGCACCTCCTGCCTCAGTCTCCCCAGCACTGTGCTGGGATTACAGGGATACACTGTGCCCGCCTGTAGGACCTGTGACCCATAGATACCGGAAGGGTGTCACATGGCAACCTGCTGGATGCTAGCAGATCTGTGTGGGTGGCAGGGACCCTGGGCGAGGGGTGCCCACACACCCCTCTCCACTCCAGCTGATTCTGATCAGCAGCAGTCGGCACTGGCCTTGGGAGCGCCCAGACTCTGAACAGGTATGGCTGGAGAGGGCCCCTCTGTGGGCTGGGTGCCCTGGGGGAGGATGCCTGTGCCTATAAGAGGGAAGACACCTAGTCCCCAGTGGACAGGTCCTTCACGAGATGTCCCATGTGAGTGGGGACCCCTTGACCTTAAGACTGTCAGCTGGGAATGCTGGTGCACGCGTGTAATTGTAACACTCAGGAGGCTGAGGCAAAAGGACCTCTGCATTTTGAGACTCTCTCATATAGCTCTCTTCTTCCCTTCCCTCTGCCCCAGGCCCTCCCTGGTGCCCACAGAGCCAGGAATGCCACTTTGGAGCAGATCCCACCGCTTGGGGGCAGGGATGGGGTCTGCTGCACCTGGTCCCATAGCCCTCATCTGGAGCTGGGCGCTCCTGGGCTGTGGCCTGCACCTCCAGTCCTGTCCCAGAAATGTTAGCCTATGTCCTGCTCTGGGCACAGAGTGTTTAGCACCTGTGGCTTCTCCCATGTACCAAGGTGGAAATAAAACCCCAGCATTATCTACCCCCATTGGTTCTTTTGGCGTGTTTGTTGATTGCACACTTAGAGGACCTCGGTGGCAGTCTCCACACTGTGTCAGGCTGTAACGGTAACCCCCTCATTACCACTGTACAGAACTCCTGCCTCAGGTTTGGGCTCAGGGCTTGCAGCCCCCATTGGCCGCTGCTTCTGTGCCCAAGTGGGCAGCTCGACATGGACCTGTGCTCTGAAGGCGGTGGGTGTCACCACAGAGACCAGGCCACCCACCGTGTTAGTTCCTGCCTGGCCCCAGAGACAGGACCCAAGGGGCCGCCACTGTGCGCCGCCCAAGGTGTTTGCACACGGCCATGGCTTCTAGTGGCTCTGGATATGGGTACCACTGGGCAGTCCCAGGGAATGACTTGAGCCATCAGAGGAACAGGGGCACATGGTGAAGTGGTGCTGCACCCCAGGAACCCCAGCACTGGAGAAGGCTGAGGCAGGAGGGTCCCAGAGGTCAGCCTGAGCTCCACAGCAAGACCCCAGCTCAAAGAAGGGAAAAAAAGAGGTAAGCTTTGAGTTGCTGGGAACACCAAGTGCCGTAGTTGCTGAGCTAAACCCCTGGCCCGACAATATTTAGGAACGTTTTGAGCGAGCTCACTCTGCAGCCCAGGCTGGTCTCAGTCACCTTCCTGAGGGCTGGGGTGATAGGCGTGCCTCCCAGGCCCAGCAGACAGATTTTTGAACCAAAGCGCCCAGTGCATTCCTAGACCCACGGGTGCAGCCCCCAGGGTGCCAGCTGGAGTGCTTTTCTCCAGGACTGCACAAAGGACACTGCCAGCCAAGAGACTCGTCACCAGGCTGCTGTGTCGCATGGGTGACCCAGCAGCTCTTGGAACCCTTTCCGGGCAAGCTGCCTTCAGCCTCCTGAGACACACCAGGGGCCAGAGCAGTGCTGTGCCCGCCTCCCCTCCCCATGTTGTGTGCCCTCAGTCCTTTGCACAGTGCCCCTCCAGGACTGCCCACACGGGCACGGAGTAGAGTGAAATGTGGCTGTCCTGCCTGGCCTCTCCCACCCACCCGGCTGGCCCCAGTGAGCCCTGGAGGGAGGCAGAGGCGCAGGGCTGTTACAAAGGCGTCTGTTTATTCTCCGTCAGGTTCACATTTCCTACGCCGCCCCCTCCTTACAGTAGTTAATGTGCAATCTCACTTCGGGCCAAGGGGACTGGGGGTGCGGCCCGGGACGGGGAGGGCGTTGGCACTTCACGTGGATGGGGTGACCTATCCCCTGAGAAGGGTGGGGCGGCAGTGGAGTTGGGGAGAGCGCCCTGGAGTCTTCGGCTCCTCCGGGAGATGACAGTGATCCTGCCGGCCCAGGTGCCCTGGGTGGGTGAGCGTGCAGCTTGCGGCAGGGCTGGGTGCGGGGCGCGGCTCCCGGTAAGGCACAACCCTGTCTTTGGCTCTCCTAGCAAGGAGTCTCCTCCCCTGTGCCCCTTCCCCCAGGGAGCCAGGAACCACTCCTAGAGTCTCCAACCGCAGGTGTCCTGTAGGGAAGGGTGCAAGGGCGTGTGGCCCAGCTCCTGCATACCCGCTCCCCCTGGCCGGGGCTCCTTCGGCCAGCTGCTTGCCAAGTGACCAGGACATTGTGCTTTGGGATCGCGCTGTGGCGGGTGGGGTGGAGCAGGGTGGGGAGTGGACTAAGGTGCTTGCTTGTGCTTTAGCTGGGGTGTTGAGCCCCCTCCCACCCTGGGCCCCCCGGGGCTAAGGTATTGGTGTATGCCCAGGAAGTGGGCCGACACCCCCACCCCACAACAAGCAGACATCGGGAGGGAGACTAGCAGGGCCCAGGCCAGCTGCCATGTGCACCCCCGGCCCCCACTGGCCCCACCCCTGCCCTGCCTGGGGAGCAGACACTGGGCTGGGGCCAGGGTGGAGGAGCCTCGGAGTGGGGAGCCCAGGGCAGGGCTCACATACCACTCTCACTGGGTAAGAGTGCAGAGGGAGAGGCAACTGCTGCTAACAGCCTGGGACTGGGACACCCCAACACCTTGGGAGGCTGGCCGGACCCACTGGTGCTCCATGCACGCACTCTGCCTGCCCACCTGTCCTGCCTTCTTCGGCCTGGGGACCCAGGACAGTCCCATTGGTTTGAAAAATAAAAGGAAATCTCATCCTTCAGTATTTCATTCACTAAAAAAATTCTTAAAAAGTATGTACAGGAGAAAAGGGCTGGGGGCCCTGCCACGGGGCAGGAGTGCTGGGGAAGGGTGCCACCCTGGCCTGCTCCCCATTCTAGCCCTGGTCTCCCCACCTCTGCTACCTCCTGCTCCGGAAGCAAACCTACACATGCACACGCCAACACACACACTGGAGCCAGCCGGGCCCCACCTTGGCACCCAGGTCCCGTCGCTCCCCAGGAGCCCCTCACTTAGGACCAGCCTCACCCCACCCAGGGCACACGGGGCACCCTGGCCACCCCTGCCCCTCAGCCTCGCCTGCCTGCCCCAGGCTCAGGGACAGGTGAGGGACACAGGAAGGCGCTTTGGAGACATGGAAGCACTGGGAGATGGCAGAGAGGCCCTGCGTGCACCCAGGCACTGGCTCCTGGGGCCCCCCTGCCCAGCCGGGGAACCAGAGGACCAGCGGGTGGGGTGGGGCCCTGGGCAGCGCTGGCCGGGAGCATGCAGCGCCCCGCGGGGGGGGGGAGATGGGGAGACAGTAGCTTGTGACCAGGGAGTGCGAGGGAGGCAGCCCACAGCTGCGCCGTGCGTTACTGAGGGACCGGGACCTCCGCGGACGCGGAGGGCCCGGCCTCGCCATCATGGCTGGCCGTCTCAAAGCTCTGCTCCATGCCCATCATGTCCGGCTCCATTTTGCAGGTGTCCCCGATGAAGGAGGTATAGGAATCGCCCTCGGCCAGGGGCGGCTTGGCCTTGGGCATCCAGCTCTTGCGGACCACACGGCGGGCGTTGGTACACATGTCCGCCGCAATGGCATTCATCTCGCTCTCCTTGAAGTTGGGGGCGAAGTTCTGGCAGTAGTCTGCATGAGTGCGGGTGCAGTGCTCCGTCATGACACAGAACAGCCCCCGAGTCCCCAGAACTGTGCTGCCCACCCGCAGGGCCCCCAGCCACCACCACCCTGACCCCTGCAGCCACTCACACTTGACGGCATGGAGGACGCGGCTGTCCAGCGGTTTGCGGCGGGGGTCACTGGTGGAGGACCGGATGCCGGTGCCACAGCTGTTGGCCAGTGTGTTCCTGGGGGTAAGGGCACAGGGCAGCATCAGCAGGGCCATGGGCCCAGACCCCACCCCACCCCACCCCACCCGAATGGGCGGGTACCTCACCGGTCAAAGAAGGAGGCCAGGAGCCGGCGCAGCAGGACCTTGTGTCGTGTGCCCGCGCTGACGTGGCAGTTCATGAGTTGCGCCCTTGTGATGTACACGTTGGTGCCTGCAGGGCAGTGACAGCAGTGGTGCTGGGCTGTCCTGAGTTCCCGCTGCCCTGGGCCAGCCCCACCGGTACCCGCACCCTCACACCTGTCACGAGTTCCACCTTCTCTGAGGGGTCCCCCTCATCGTAGAGCTTGGGGTGGCAGCGGTTGCCGATCTGGTTGATGAGCTCTGCAGGGAGACAGGCCAGGTCCTGCCGGACGCGGATACGGCTGCGGGACTCGGGGGTCACCTGCTCGGGCAGGGACTCCATCTTCTCGGCTGTGGCGAGAGGGTATACTGCAAGAAGGGACCTCAGGGTGGGGACAGGCCCAGGGGAGGGACCGCACAGCACCTACCTGTTGGGCCCACGTTCATCATGCTGTACATGGTGTACATGTTACAGATCTGGCGGTACTGTTCGTCCGTGCCCTCCTCTCCCGCGTCCTCCTCCTCATCCTCCTCATTGTGGTAGGAGCCCGGGCTGTCACTGGTGTAGGCGCTCGAGGTGCCAGGGCTGGTCCGCTCCGACGTGCTGGGCATGATCCCCATGCCCCCTGCGGCCACCGCGGCCGCCACTGCCGGGGCCGGCTGGGGTGTCCGGCTGGTGGTCAGGTCGAGTGTGGAGAACTTGGCCATCTTGCGACTGCCGTTGCTGCCACTGCCAACCCCAGCCTCCTTCTGGCTGCCGTCCCACAGCCGCTTGGCCACAGGCGTGCACTGCACGGAGTCTGACTCCTGCTGCTCCGTCTTGACCCGTGATACCAGGGGCAGTGGCGTGCTGCAGACCGGCCAGCCCAACGTCTGCGCCGCAGGGCTCTGCGGCTCTGACAACGGGGCCTCCTCAGCATGCAGGCCTTGGGAGTCGCAGCTCGGGGAGCTCACCTTGAGGAAGAACTCGGTGCCTTTCTCCATGATCTCCTGGATCTGCAGGAAGCCGGCCGTGTAAATGAGCAGGAACTGGTCGCCCATGTTCATGCTCAGCCGCCCGGTGTAGCAGAAGGTGAGGATCTGCTGGAAGGACTGCGGCTGCACGGCCGCCGGCAGCTCCACCACCGCGCTGCGGCTGCTGTTAAACAGGTCCCGGAAGTAGGAGCTGCTGGCGGCCAGCACAGCACGGTGGGCCTTGAAGGCATGGCCCTTGACCACCACGGACACATCACAGTACAGGCCCTGCAACCGCTGCTCGTTTAGGCACTCGAGGATGCTGTTGCCGAAGTTGGGGATCTCCATCTGCAGCGTCTGTGCCATGGCAGCGGCTGGGGGAGGGAGAGGCAGTTGGTGGGTGCCAGCCCCACCCCGCCCCTTCCCCAGAGTGTGGACACCCATGGCTCGACCTGCTGTCCGTCCTGGCCACCCACCCGCAGGTCCTGGCACCACCTGCCTCTGGCTGAGGTCGCACCTCTGTGACCACAGGGACAATGAACCCACAGGCATTCAAATCCCTTGTGCCTGGAGCCACACACAACACCCGGCAGATCCCATGCCATCTCTGGCCAGCCCGGGACCAAATGGAATCCAGGGTCCATGCTATGTGCAGCCTCACCAAGAGCTGGGCTCCTGCTCCAGCTTCTCTGCGTCACCCTCCCAGAAGGCTGAGGACAGCCACCCCCAAGCCCCACTCAGAGGCTGACTCTCTCCCAAGATGGCTTGTTTTTTTTGTCTTTTTGAGACAGGGTCTTGCCATGCAGTCCAGGCTGGCCTTGAGCTCACTCCATAGCCCAGGCTGGCCTGGAACTCACAACGATCCTCCTGCCCCAACCTCCTGATGCTGGGATGACAGGCCTGCGCCATCACCCCAGGCTCCTGCATGTGTTTGACCCTCAGGAGGATCTGCTCCCAGTCTTTCCCATTTGCAGCTGCCTGACCCTGAAGAGGCAGAGCCAGGAGGTCCCGCACTGCTGAGTAAGTGACGCCCACAAAGTCACAAAACACTGGCAGTATCAACAGAGGGCCACAGTGCGCCAGTCGCAACTCCACAGCTGCTAGCATGAAGCCAGGGCGCGCATCTTGAGCCATAGCACCTCACACATGTGCGCCCCCGTGGAAACCTTCCTGGGCAGACACTGTGGTGCTTTACATCTGCAAGGTCGCCAGGAATCCGAGACCCGAGGTGGGACTTTCGGGGGAAGACCAGACTTTAAGCACTTGGGCCTGGTTGCAAGCCCCCAGTGACCGCAGAGGGCCGGTGCTTTCACAACTGCTCTGGTACACCCCCCGTCAGGTCAGTCCTGTCTGGGGGCCAGCAGGCCACACGCCCACAAGTCCCCTCGAGCCCCAAGTCCAAGTATGCTTCTCCTGCTTGGGGTCAAAGGCATCCGGCAGGAGTGTGGCCGGCTCAGCTGCTGCATACGGGGCCAATATGTCTCGTAGCTCAGGAGATGAGAACAAAAAGGCCAGCCCCGTCCCCTTCAGGGCCCAGCATGGGTATGGGAGCACGCAGCAGCCCACACCTTAAGTTCCGGGGCCCAGGGACCCATAGAGCCAGGGTCTCCTGGGAGCAAGCTGAGTCCCCACCTGCCTGTGTGGAGCATTCGCCCTCCTCCCAGGCAGAGCATAGTCAGCTCCTCCAGGGACACCCAGCTCTGCACAGGTCAGGAGTCCCAGGCAGAGCACAGCCCTCACCTGAGGGTCCCCCGCGTGCCTCAACGCTCTGCTAGGACTGTGTCTGTCCTAGCCTGGGTGGGTGGGCAGGGTGGACACTGAGGCAGCCATCTGTGCACTAGGTGACAGCCCCACCCTGACAGCTGCGTGCTGGCACCCTGACCACAAGAGGGCTAAACCAGGGCTCACCTGCACTTGGCCAAGGCGCCCCCATCGCTCCCCACCTTGCTCTGCTCTATCCTCCACATCTGGGAAGAGTAGAAATCCTGACCACCAGTGGGTGACGCCTGTCTCTGGGTGGTCTGCAGCCAGGGTGCCCCGTGCATGATGGCTCTCACGGCTGCAGATTCACGTGCCAGCAGGACTATTCCCGGGGACAGAACTGCCTGCTGGGCAGGAAAAGCAGGAAAATTCTCCAGCCGGCTGGGGTGGGCATGCATCACAACTTTCAGAGGCACAGAACACCATGTGGTGGCGTGTGCCAGCACCCCAGTTCTCTGGAAGCTGAGGCAGGAGGGTCACCACAAATCCAGGCCAGTCTGACTACTTAGGCCAGACCCTGTCTCTAAAAGAAACTAAGGGTCCCAGGACGTAGCTAGTGGTGGAGCATTTGTCTTGCATACCTGATACCTCAAGTTGTACCCCTCACATAGCAAAAAAAAAATCTTGCTGAGACAGGGTCTCTCTATACAGTCCAGGCTGGCCATGAGCCCACTCCGTAGCCCAGGCTGATCTTTAACCCACAAGGACTCTCCTGCCTTGGCTTCCCTAGTGCTGGGACAACCTGCACCATCATGCCCAGCTCCACACAGCAAAACATTAAACACAGATCTTTCTTTTCTCTGTGGGGCAGCAGGGATGCAACCCCCATGCTTGCAGAGGCCGGGAACGCCTGCCCCGTACAGATTCCTAAGCTGAAACCCTTGTCCAGTGCAGAGGACTGGGGCAGGGTGAGCCTGAGAGCTCCACACCCCTCACACCGGCCAGAGGGAGTACCGTGAGCCACGTGTTTCCGGGGGACTGGAGGCCCAGCCTGGCGGGTCAGAGCTCGCCTAACACAGAGGCGCTGGGTGCTGTGCTCAGCACCCTAGAGAGATGGGAAAAATAGTCGTGAGCCTGTATGATAGTGGCGCAGGCCTACAATCCCAGCACTCAGGAGGCTGGGCAGGAGGCGGCCTTCTCATCTAAGTGAGTCCTGCCTAGATAATCTGGCAGGCACTGTCTCAGCTCCACTACCCCTACAAAACAAGAGGCGTTGGGACCCAGCCCAGAGCTACAGCACCCTTGGATTTGACTCCCAGCACTGCCCCCCAGCCCTCTAAAAAGCCCCTCCTCTGCTTTCTGTCCAAAAATCAGGTGATGTGAGGCAGTCTGTGACTGCAGCTCAAGGGACTTTAGTTCCTAGCTGGCGCTGGCACCAAGGCACCATGCAGGGCAGTACAGAGCCCAGGGCCGGATCCTGCCACTGGAAGGGCCGTGCACGTTAGGGCTGCAGAGAGATGTAGCTCAGCCACATAGTGTCTGCCTGGCAAGTGCAAGATCCTGAGTTCGATACCTAGTGCCCAAAAAAACCAAAAAACAAAAGCCACACTTTGTGCACCTTAAGGTTAGACTTCTCTCTTGAGCCCCACAGAGGCCAGGACCAGCCAAGACAGCTGCCCCTGTGGGCAGGCCTACTGCAGGGCCCCAGGGCAGCCAGACAAGTGCCCTGCTGTGAGATCTCCGGGACTCACCCAGCACAGAGGGGAGGCCAGAGACTAGGACTCTTCAATCTCCAGAATTGGGGGCCTCCACTGCCACCTGGTGTCTTCCTGCTCCCTCTCAGCTGTCCCTTAGGGGTCACAGCAGCACAAGACCCTCCTGGGGAGGTCTCCCTATCCTCCCTGCATCCCACCTTCCACACAAATGCAGGGGCTCCCACAGGGCTGCATGCTGATCAGCCCCAAAGACAGGGCAGGAGGTCAAGCCACAAGTGCAAAGGCACAGAGGCAGGGCCATGCAGGAGGCAGAGGAGCAGAGCAAGGGTGGTTTGCTAAAGACTGGGTGCTGACTCGAGCTGGCCACATGCAGTCCCTGGGCAACCCTGGAGGGAGCCAGAACCTCCGGGCCGCCAAGGTCCCAAGGTACTTAGGTACCCGCATGGACAGCAGCTTTTCTGCACAAACCCGCCTGCCTCTCCACAAACTCCTGACCAGCTGACCTGCATACCTGGTGTGATGTCCACAGACTCACAGCCCAGCAGAGTGGTCTCCCAGACACATTCTCCTTGCAGATGTGTGGTAGCGCAGTGGGCTGCAGCCCTTAGAGCTTCCCTCCCAGAAGACTGCCAAACAAGGGCCCCTTGGCCCTCTCCTGGAGGGCAGGAAGGACAGCTCTGGCCTCTGCTTTCTCTCAAGACCTCACAGGTTTTGTGAGATAAAGGGTTCAGAAGTTCCCAAGGGTCACCCTGCAGCTTCCCCCAAGGGCAGCCCTCACCACACACACGGTGTAGAGGTGCCTGGACCCTACTCTGTGGCGGGGCTGCTGTACCATCCTGAGCTGCAGTGCTCCCCGGGTTCTTGGCTCACTGGATGACAACACCCCCACACGACCCGCGACAACCACAGTGTCTCCAGACTCTACAAGTGTCTCTGGAGGGGGCAGGATTGCCCTGGAGAACGCTGCAGGACACACATGATGGTGCACACCTGTAATCATAGCCCTGAGAGGCTGAGGCAGGGAGACTGTCATAAAGGTCATCCTGGTTTATGAAGTGAGTTCAAGACCAACTGCACCAGGCATGGTGGCACATGCCTGTAATCCCAGCTCTCGGGAGGCTGACACAGGAGGATCACGAGCTGCAGGCCAGCCTGAGCTACACGGGGAGTTGAAGGCCAAACTGACTAAGACAGTGAGGCCCTGTCTCATGACAAAAATGAAGATGGTCCAATCACATCGGAAAACCAAGAGGTCAAGAGCCCTGCAGAGGGTCTGTCTTATGGTGTAGCAAGGGGGCCCTGGCCACAGGGCTTTCCATAGCCCTGCCTGCTCAACCTGACCAACAACCCTGTGCAAAAGCAATGGGGTCCGGGGTCTTCCAGGACACTGAGCTGTCTGACAGCTTGGTCCTTCCCACAGGCCCAGATCAAGGCCCAAGTGGCTGCCTCCACTTGCATGGCGAAAGGGGAGTTTGGGTACTCTGCACAGCAAAGGGCGAGGACCCTGAAGAGGTGCAGGGAGATAGCGCAGCCCCATGTTTGGAAGCCACTGCCCTGACCACGGCTTGGGGGTCCAAGGGGCCTAGCTACAGACTCCAAACTCTGGGCTCAGAGGTCACCTGGTAACCCCCAGACTTTCTGAAGCCACTTGGGAGAAGGCGGATCTGTCTGGAGAGACTGACCAAATCCCAGACCTCTTTGAAGCTTGGCCTAAGTGCCTGCCAAGCTCCCCGATGTTCAGCAGGGACCGGATTGTAAAGGACCCTGGACATGGGCCAGGGCCAGAATGTCACGGGGGCGGGGGCTCGGCCCTTGAGGGGACAGTGCTTGAGAAGCCTCTGGGCTCCAGGTCACCCCTCGCTGCTTCCCTCCAGGAGACAGAAGGTTTCAGGCGCTTAGTGGGAGCCTGGCACCAACTCAACAAAAGCTCTGGGCGGCTCTGCCCAGGTTCCCCTCCCCCGCTCGGCTCTTATTATTCCAGGCCTTCCCGGAAGCCTTCCCTGACCACCCAACCGAGATCTCTCCACCCACTGGCCCCTGGGGTCCCCCCTCTTGTTATGCTGCTGAGTCCTTGCTGACACTGGGCCACCTGCACCTCTCAGGACTGGTTCCTTGTCTGAGGTGGGTCACCTAGAGAGCCAACAGCGCCCCCCCCCCCCCAGTTCCCAGTGGGCTGGGAAGCAGTAGGGGTGCAGCTGTTCCCAAGGGCATGTGGGGACACCCTCGCCCCATGGCACATGCACCTGGAGCTGTTACTCCCAAGACAGCTCCAGGCAGAGGCCCTGCCTGACACCTCCCCCGTACTGGGCCCAGTGCTCACCCATCTCTGACCACTTAAGCAAGGAATATTGATCACTGTCCCAGCCAGGCAGGAACTGAGGTGTTAACATCTACCAGACACAGCCAGAGGCAAGAGGTGAAGGAAACAGGTGCAAAGGCCCTGAGGTAACACTCAGAGCTGGCTGGTCCTACAGGGACGGGCTTGGTGAAAGGCTCCAGACCCCAAAGCTGTGTCACCCACAGCAGCAAAGGGCAGATGTACACACAGAACTGTTTCTGAGGTGAGGGGCAGGCAGTAGGGCTCAAGCTGGCAGTGTTAAGGGTCCCAGGAACCAAAGGGGACTGGGAATCTGGGAAAATTAGACAGGTAAGCCATTCCTAGACCCAGAAGAACCAGAACCCTGCAATTTGAGGCTCCTGAAGGGACCCAAGGTCCCAAAGCCAAAATCCCTGCACACCCTGCCAACTGGCCCCAGTTAGTCCACCGGGAGTAACAACAGCTGGGGTGGCTGGGCAAGGAACCCGCGTGGGGAACAGAGTCTAGGCACACAGAGCAAAGCACCGCTCTGTGGCCAGCAACATCCCTCCCTGTTGCCAGGAGCCCTGACCTCTGGGCTCCCAGAAGAAGCGGGACAAATGTGTGAACCGTCTGAAAGTAAGCTTTGCCCCTCGGGGGTTCCGTCTGCAAAGAGACTGAGCTGCCCCTGGGGACACTGGAAGGCTCTGGTGGCGTGAACAGCAGGGAGCTCCTCCTCACACCTGTGGGAGGCCCATCAACCCCCGATGGGCTACTCTAACCATGAGACACAGCAGGGCCACACCCCCTCAGCTTCGCCCTCTGCACCACACTGAGGCCCCAAAAGGACCCGGTGACCCGGAACCAACGGTGAGCTCAGCCCAGGACCCGGCCCGAGGAGCCTGAGGAGACCAGGAGTCCCCTCGGCCTCCCCAGGAGGAAGCGCCTGCTTCCATCCCTGTAACCTCCGCGCTGTGACCTGCCTTCACCCCACCAGCTTCGCCAAGACACAATCTCCAAACTTCAGTCATTCGCAGCTCCAGTCCCTCACTGCTGGAGAGGAACTGGACGGAACCCAGCATCAGGGACAACCCTAGGATACAACAGGGGGTGGAAGTTCCCTACGACCCTTTCAGAAGAATACAGGACCCCGCCGCACCTCGGAATGCGGCACCCCGGCCCCCTCTCCGCAGGACACCGGGCGGGGGCGGGGCGGGCGAGGACCACCCACGTGGTAAACAAGCGGCCCGCGAGAGGCGCCGGCTCTAGACCTGGTCGGCCGCAGCCCACACCGACGTCCGCCCGCTGACCTGTGCCTCCGAACGGCTGGCAGCGCCTTCGGGGACGAGGAGTGGGAAGAACAGAGAAAACCCCCGGTCCGGTCTGCCACCGCCCTCCGGTCACACTCGTTTTTCCAAACCTGCTCCCGCAGGCCGGCCGGCCGGCCGGCCAGCCTCGACTGAAGGAGCTCGGCCCTCCCCGCAGCGCCCGGGGCTCCTCCCGCCGCCGCTTCCCTTACCTGACGACCCCCGGGACCCCAGGGCCTCCCCGATCTGTGACCTCGTGTGACCCGCCCCCCGCCCGCGGGCATTCGCATCCCCGGGACCGCGGATCGGCCCCCGCCCCACTTCCGGGGCCGCTCCCCGGCCGCCCCCGGGGTAACCCGAGCCGCCCCGCCCCCGCCGCCGGACGCTACCTGCGCGCGGCCCCGCCCCCGCTCCCTTCCCCCACCGCGCTGGCGTCGCCCCTCCCCCTTCGCCCCCCACCGCGCGGCTCCCCACTTTCCCAACTTCCCGGCTGCCCCGCCACGGCCCCCGCCCCGCCGGAAGTGGGGCCGGACCCAGATCCGCGGCCCAGCCCGGAGCCCTAGGCGGTAGGGCCTGGTTGTTCTCCAGAGCTGCCCGGCATTGGTCGGCGGGCTGCAGGTGACTCGGCCCCGGCCCTCCTGCCTCGGCTCCTCACAGCCGCCGGCCGCTCCGGCGGGGCGAGGAGGCCGGAACCGGGCCTGCGCCAGGCCGCCTCACCTGCGCCGTTGCCACGCTCCGGGGGCTCCCGGCGGGCTCCGCAGCGGCAGCTGGGGCTGGGCCTGCGCCCGGGGCGCGCCCCCCTGCGCCGGGTCCTCGGCCTCCGCCTCCGCGGCCTCCGCCTCAGCAACAGCACCAGCCGCGGCGGCCATTCATTGTGGGCCAGGCCGCTGCAGCCGAGCGCCGAGCAAGCGCACGCCGCGCCGCAGCCGTGCCGGAAAGAGACGGCCGAGGCCCCGCCTAAGCACCGCCCCCTGGGCCCTGCCCCCAGGCCCGGCCAGCGGAGCTCCGAGCGCGTCCCTGCTTACCGCCTCCGGCTCCTCCCTCCTGCGCCCCCTCGGGGGCCTGGCCAGTACAGTACCTTGGTTTTGCAGACTAACTGGCTCGAATTCCTGTCCCTCCATCTTCTAGTCCCGCGACCTTGGGCCAAGTCGCTGTGCTTTCCAGAACTTTAATTTCCTGTGGAATAAAAACAGTAATGATGCTATATGTATCGCATCAGGCAGTTTTTTAGCTCTTTGTGGGAAGTAGCTAGTTGCACAGAGATAGGAAACTTGCTCGAGATCACACAGCAAAGAAATGAAGGGTACCCAGATATAAACCCAGGCTTAAAAAATGACAATAAAAACGAGGACTTTTAGGATATTACGCGATGCCAGTTTTACCTAGCATTTTACCTGCAGCAACTCATTCAATTTTCACAACCCGTAATACGTTAAAAAGTCCCGCCCATTTTCCAAAAGGAGAAACTTAAGGAGTGTTAAGAGCAAATACTACGGATCGCCCGAACGCACGCGGCTGGGGGCTACCTTGTCCTGCCTTCGCGCACTGGTTAGGAGCTAGTGAGCGGCTTCTGTGCTGGAACCGCTGCTCTGCACACCCCCTAGACATTCTGTCGTTTAATCCTTGTTCACCCTTGGAGGCTACGACTCTGATTTAACAGGTAGGGAAAGCGAGGGCCCGAAAGTGTAAAAAGCTTGCCCAGACCACGTAGTGGGGACACGATTCAAGCCCAGAATCTGACTCCAATATGTTTTATTCTTGCAGGAGATTTTGAAATGATGTGTATACAGCACCCAGCAGCGTTCCTCCGCTTACTGCCCCTTTTCTGAGCCACACGATCCTCTGCCATGAAATAGAACTAAAGACGTGTATCCTTCGAAGAGAGCTACCGTCTTTTAAGGCCACATGCACAGGTACGCAGCGCGCCCCTTTTGATTATTGTCGCCCACCGTCAACCGCGTCATTGATTGGCTAAATCCTATCACGTGATCATCTACCAACATGGCGGCATTTAGGTCCTATCCGAGAAACGTGCACCGATAGTGGTTCAGTTCTCAGTGAGAAAAAGGTGAGCGGAGCCTGGATGGTCCCCGGAGAAATGTGGACAGGTGGCGGATCCCGCCCCGGGGCTTCCGGCTTCGCAGGGTGCCGTACTACAGAAAACACAGAGTACCGGTTTCCTGAGCCCGCCGGGTTGCCTTAGTCCCTGCTTTACGGATGTGTGGGCCACGCCGCTCTGGCAGGGAGTGGTCTGAGCCTCATTCTCCATCCTCTTTGGCCCTTTGTACAGCTTGGCGGACAGAGGCGTCCGCGGATGTTCCACGCCAGGACCGTTCTGTGGCTACGCCTCACTCTCCGCTCTGCTCGAAGCGTCGCAAGAGCCAGGTTTACAGAGGAGCAGCACAAAGTGCCGCGGAACCCGGGAGCGATGGAGAACGGCGGGGGGCCCCGCGGGGAAGAGCGCCCACCTCCGGCCCAGGAGACGCTTGTCACCGAGGGCGCCGCCAAGATCGTCTTCCCCAGCGCCAACGAAGTCTTCTACAATCCAGTTCAGGAGTTCAACCGGGACCTGACGTAAGGAAGGGTCAGGGGTCAGCCTGGCACAGAGGAGCGGGTCCGTTTTATAATGACGCTGGATTTGGAAAGAATTGTGTGCATTCAAGAGCCGGCAGCTTGGAAGACGGAGGGGCTCATCTTGGGTTGGGGGTATTAAGAGGGCTTTGTCGGGAGGGAAAGGAGGAACCGGGCAGGAAGGGTACTTACTGAGTGGGGTCCTCGACTTGCAAGCCTGTCTCCTTTTCACTTGGGAACATCACGATGAACTTTGACCTCGTGGGGCTAGCTCTTGGAGTTCTTTCTAAACAGGCGTTGCTTTTGCAAGTTACACCTCACAGCTATTCCTGTTCATTGTGTGAGGTGATGGGTAGAATTAAAAGGAGTTACAAAGGTCGTCAAATGTTCTGAATCCTGTCAGTCTGAAGGTAGTTTTTTGCATTTAACATCTTAAAGGGTAGGAGGGGCAGCTCTTTAGAATTTCCAATGCGGGGCCCAGGGAGGGTCAGGGTGGGGCCACAACCTCCAGCAAGGGCAACTGGAAGTAGTACCCTCCTGGAGGAAAACTCCAAGAGGGCAGACCTGTCTCGAGGGCTGCAGGCTTACCGCCGTCTTCTGCCAGGTGTGCGGTGATCACCGAGTTTGCTAGAATCCAGCTGGGCGCCAAAGGAATCCAGAGTGAGTGGAGAGCGGGGTTTCTGGGGAAGGGAAAATCAACCAAACTCTTTGCACTTCCCCGCCCCCACAGGTTGCAGCTACATGGCAGACCCACAGCCTATTCTTCATTTAACTGTAGCCCTGGGGTTCTGGGAAAGAGTTTTTTTCCTGCAATTTTCAGTGTTTTGAAGATGAAGGGGAGGGACATTGATATCCCCTGACTTGTGTCTCTGATGGCTGCAGTCAAGGTGCCAGGGGAGGAGGATATACAGAAGGTGGTTGTGGATTTGTCGGAGCAAGAGAAGGAAAAGGTTGAATCAAAAGATGGTGAAAATCTGGTCCCTGGAGACCAACCTCAAACAGCTACTGTCAGGACGATCTGCAAGGTGAGGCCCTGGTGGAGGAGGTGATGCTGGAACCCAGCAAGCTAAAAGGGACAGAGGGCTCCTGGAATAGGAGAGGGAAAGCATGGGGGGTGGGGGCCCGGGGGCCCAAAAGGGGATAGGCCCCGTGGATCTAAGCTGAATCCTTGCTTACTCCCACAGGAAGGCCTTCGGGTGCTTGAGGGCCTGGCAGCTTCCGGCCTCCGATCCATTCGCTTCGCTCTGGAGGTACCTGGGCTGCAATCTGTGGTTGCCAATGACGCCTCTGCCCGAGCCGTGGAACTCATGCGCCACAATGTGCAACTCAATGACGTGGCCCACCTGGTCCAGCCCAGCCAGGCCGATGCCCGGTAGGTTCCGGGCAGCCCCGCTGCCCCCGCCCCAGTGATAGAAGCTGCAGGCGCATAAGGCTGCCAGGGCAAATTCTGGCTGTCTCAAAATACAACTTGGGGAGACTGGGCTTTGGGACCCTAACTGCCCTGTACATCAGAGAGCAATAGTTTTATAGGAGTCACAGTGACTCCTTTTTGCCTTTTTGAGACAGGCTCTCACTATGGAGCTCAAGCTGCCTTCTGTTCACGTTGTAGCCCAGGCTGCTGGTCTGGAATTTGCAGTGATCCTCCTGCCTCAGCCTCCTAAGTGCTGTGATGATAGGCCTGGGCCGGGAGCAGTTGTGGTTTATTTCACTTATGAGTGTGGCCTCGAGTTGCATGGGTTTACCTTTAAAAGTCTCCAGTGGGAGGGTGCCTGTGCTGGCTGAGACATAAGGTCCCCAGGTGATAGGGTCTCACTGGGCCACAGGTAAGCCTGGACAGGTGCCTGGTTGTACTCTGCTCCTGGGGCTTCTGTGTGGGACTTTTCTTTTGTCTTAAAATTATTTGTAGTACGAGGGATAGAACCTAGAGCCTTTGCACTGTGGTACACGCCAAGCCCTTTTGTTGTTGTTCTTTAATTTTTTTATTTTGAGACAAGATTTTGTGAAGTCACTAAGTTGTCAAGGCAACTTGAACTGGTGATTCCCAGGCCTGACTGTCCCAGAGCGCGGGGTGTCAGGTGTGGACCTCTGTGTGCCAGCTTTTTTTTTTTTTTTTAAGGAAGAAAAAACTAAAATTTCAAAACAAGGTAATAGGATAACAAAGGTTATTAAGTATTTTTTTTATTTTAAATTTTATTTAAGGAGAAAAAAGAAAAAAAAAAGGGTACAAGTTATACCGAATTTCAGAAAAAATAAACAGTAGGAAATCACTAGCTAATTGCATATTGTCATCTTAGAAATAGTTGTTGAAGTTACAAAATTAAAGCATATAGAGGGTACTTTCAAACAGTGAGTCTGCAAACAGTTTTGTTCAATGATCCAACAAAACTCAGTAATATGGTTATCTATCTTATACACTTAAATATATATGCAGTTATATCTTTTAGAGGTTATTGAGTATTGTATCTTCATTTTCTACACAGTATTAGCACAAACCTTTCTTTTCAGTGAACTAAGAGAAATCAGTGTAACTGTCCTGTCTTGTGTGTGTGTATATATATATATTTTTCCCTCTATTGTTTTCTCCTTTCCTCCATCCCAGGTTCTCTTTCCTTTTGATCAGTTTCTTCCCATTTTATAATGCCTGTTGTACACTTTGGGCTTATATACTCTTTCAGATTTTCACACTAGGGAGACAGTACAGTGTTTACAAATGTGGCTCTGATTTGTTTGACTAAAGAGTATGGTTTCAAGTTGCGCCATTTACCTATAAAAGTTTCCAGTTTATCCTTCTTTATGGCTGAGTAGTACTCCATTGTACAAAAATACCACAACATATCCATTCCTTAGTTGATGGACACTTAGGTTGTTTCCAGGATCTGGCTATTACAAATTGTGCTGTATAAACATGGGTGCACATACATATATCACTGTGGTATGATGTTTTTGGTTTTGTTTTTGTGTTTTATCTTTATATAGTTTATTTACAAGAGTATTTTCCTATTATATTACATTGTACCTACACATAATGCAGTTAATGTAAATACTAGGGGCAAAGGGGGAGGAAGTATCTGTCCAGCAGCTGCTAGAAGCAATAGGCACGGTCATCTATGAGGAGACAACTGCAGTTGTATGGTGTCTGATGAGATGAAAGGACAGGGACGCGGCCTCTCTTGGTGTGATATTTTTCATTCTTCTGGGAAGATTCCCAGAAGGAGAATGGCTGGGCCGAGTGGGACCTTCAAACCTAGTTTTTGAGGAATTTGATTTCCACAGTGGTTGCCCCAGTCTGCACCCCCATCAGCAGTGGAGAAAGGGTCCTGTTCCCCACAGTTCCCCGGCATTTGTCATTGCTTGATTTCTTGATAATGGCCTTTCTCTGGGGCTGAGGTGGGATCTCTGTTCTTTTCATTTGTATCTTTCCAGTGACCAGTGATGTTGAACGTTTTTTTCACACATTTATTTGCTGTTTGCATTTCTTCATGTGAGAAGTATGTGTTCATCTCAGATGCCCTTTATTGAACTCGCAACTGCATGCTTGCCAGGCAGGCACTTACGCTGCTGAGATAAACCCCCAGCCCTTAGATGCCCATTTTTTGATTGGGTCTTTAAATCTGGGCGGTCAGGGGACCAGGGATACAGCTCAGCGACACAAGCACCTGCCTGGTAAGCACAAGGTCCTGAGTTCAATTCGTGGTACTGGCAAAAAAGTAATAAATCTGGGAGGACTGATCTTTTTGAGTTCTTTGTATGTTCTCAATAGTAATCCTGCCTGGCAAGTGTGAGGTCATGAGTTCAATTCCTGGTACCAAAAAAAAAAAAAAAATTGAATAGTAATCCTTTGTCTGAGGCACAGCTAGGAAGCATTTTCTCCCACACTGTGGGTTGTCTCTTTATTCTGTTGGTGGTTTCTCTTGCTATGCAAAAAGCTTTTCAATAAGGGGAGATCCCATTTGTTGATTCTTTGCAATAGTTCCTGTGCAACCGGGGTCTAGTTTATAAATTCTTTGCCTACACCAATGGCCTCAAGAGTTTTACCTACTCTATCTTCCAGCAGAGTAATGTTTCTGTTTTAGTATCAAGATCTTTGAACCGTCCTGATTTTAGCTTAGTACATGGTGAAAGACGTGGGTCCAGTTGCCATCTTCGGCATGTATAGGGCCAGTTTTTCCAGCACCGTTTATTAAAGAGGCTGTCTTTCTTCCTTGAATGTGATTGGCACCTTTGTCAAAGAGAAGGAGGCTAAGTGTGTCTGCAGTTGTTTCTGCTTCTTCTAATCTGTTCCATTGATCTTAGGGTCTGTTGTTTTGGTTTTTTTGGTTTGTTTTGTTTTGGGTACCAGAAATTGAACTCAAGACCTTACGCTTGCCAGGCAGGCACTTTTGCCACTGAGCTAAATCCCCGGCCCTTATCACAGTAGCTTTGTAGTATAATTCAAGTCAGGGATTGTGATGCCCCTGCCTTGTCTCTGCTGCCCAGGATTGCCTGTGCTACTCTAGGTCTCTCTGGTTCCAGAGAATTTTAGGATTGTTCTCTAATGCTGTGAGATATTGCTGTTGGAATTTTGATTGGGATTGCACTGAATCTGTATAACTTTTGGAAGTATGGCCATTTCCACTCTGTTGGTTCTTCCAATCAAGAGCTCAGGATGTCTCTGTAATATCCTGTTAATCTCCTTTTTCAGAGCACTGTAGCTGTTAATGTAGAGGTCTTTTCATCCTTCATGAGATTGATTCCTATTTCTTTCTTTTTTTTTTTTGGATGCTATTGTAAAAGACGTAGTCTCCCTGATTTCTCTCTCACCAGCTTAATTTTTTATTACAAAAGCTCCCGTGGCTCCTGGGGTGGAGCTGAAATCCTCACACACACCAGGCGAGCACTGTGCTGCTGCACTGCGTCCCCAGGCCCAGACACAGCTTGGCACGTTCTTTGCATTCCTCCCGGGGAAGTCGTGTCCATCCTGCCTGTGGGTCAGCACCAGCCTCCGTGTGTGGCGCGGGTCCGTGATGATCTTTGTGAGAGTTGGCAGACTACAGCCTGCAGGGCTCCCAGCCCACTCTTTTGTGTTTTTTTGTTTTCTTGAGCTCACTTTGTAGCCCAGCCTGGCCTCAAACTTGCAGCGGTCCTCCTGCCTCAGCCTCCTAAGTACTGGGATGACAGGCCTACATCACCATGCCTGGCTTTTTTTTTTCTTTTCTTTTTCAGTTTTATTTTTTGGAGATGAGTATCACTAGGTAGCTCAGGCTGGCCTTGAACTCACTATGTGTAGTCCTGTAGTCCAGGCTGGTTTCAAACTTATACAGCCCATCTCTTTATGCGTACAAAAGACCAGCTGTATGTCCTGTGTTACTGTGAGCTGTTATCATTGTTGGGGTTCTCGATAGGTAGGCTAAGGTTTGGTTTTGTTACTGTTGGTGCTGGGATTGAACCTCATGCATGCTGGGTAGAGCACTCTACTGCCCAGCTCCACTGCCAGCCCTTTCCTCTTCCTCTTTTTTCTTTAAGACAGTTTCTTTTCCCTGGCTGGCCACACACTTGGCACTTTCTGTGCTTTAACCTTCTGATTAGCACATGTGCCTCCCTGGGGTCACTAAGGTCTGTCTAGCGGGGAAAATCACACAGTTAACGAATAGACAAGCAGACATCGTGGCGCACGCCTGTAATCCCAGCTCTTGGGAGGCTGAAGCAGGAGGATCCCTGCTAGTTCAAGGCCAATTTAGGCTCCGTGGTGAGACTCAAGAAAATCAAACAGAAATTTAAAAATCCCACAAAAACAAATGGCTGAGTCAGGACCTAAACCTGGAAAACCAGCCCAAGTTCGAGGCCGCCACACCATCTCCCCCAGGATTCTGATGTACCAGCACCAGAAGGCGGCTGAGCGCTTTGACATCATAGACCTGGACCCCTACGGCAGCCCTGCGCCTTTCCTGGACGCAGCGGTGCAGGCTGTGAGTGAAGGAGGTGAGGCCTGCGGGCTGGGGGCTGGTGGGCAGAGTCTGTGTGGGATGGGGGCCTCACCACCCGCCCCTGCCCAGGACTGCTCTGTGTCACCTGCACCGACATGGCTGTGCTGGGAGGGAACAGCGGTGAGACCTGCTACAGCAAGTATGGGGCCATGGCCCTCAAGAGCCGCGCCTGCCATGAGATGGTGAGGGTTCCTTCTCCTACCAGGCCCCAGGGAGGCCGAACCCGAACCCTAACCCCTAACCCTAACCCTAAGCCTAACCCTACCGCCAGGCCTCAGCCACCCTAGTTATCGGGAGAGGAGCAGAGCAGGTGGGATGGGTGGTTCTATTGTTTTCTAGTTGCAACACTTTTTTTTTTGAGATAGTCTCCCTATGTAGCTCAGGCTGGCCTCAAACTTGCAGCAGCCCTCCTGCCTCAGCCTCCCAAGTACTGGAATTACAAGCATTTGGTACCATGGCTGGCCCAACTTTTCAAACAATTTAAAACACCTTTTTATTTTTACTGCCATGCTGGGAATTGCACCTCAGGATGCTTCACTACTGAACTACATCCCTGGCCCCTGTTTTATTTTTTAAAACAGGGTCTCAGTAATGTGCCCAGCTGCCCTCAAACTTCTGGTTCTCCTACCTCTCGCCCTCTCGAGTAGCTGGGACTGTAGGCACACACTGCTGTTCATACCTTTAAAAAAAATTTTGCCAAGCAAACTTTACCTCTGAGTTACACTCTTAAACCTTTTTATTTTGCCAGAAAGTCTTGCCAAATTGCCCATGTTGGCCACAAACTCTTGGGCTCAAGCAATCATTCTGTCTCAGCTTCTTGAGCAGCTGGAGATGGGGGCAAGCTGCTGCACGTGAAATTTTTTTCTTTTGAGACAGGGTCTCATGATAGAGTTCAGATTGGTCTTGAACTCACAGTGGGCCTCCTGCTTCAGCCTTCCCAGGGCTAGGATTACAGGCATGGATCACCATCCATGACATGGAAAAAAAAATGTTTTTGAAGGTGACTTTTGCAGGTCTTGGTTCAAATCCTAGCTTTACGGGTGGCTCTAGGTAGGTGACTTCCTCTCTGGGGGCTTTGGTTTTGCCTCCAAACAGCAGGTCCAAAAATGGGCTCTGTCTGTGAGGTCACTATAGAGACTGGAGGCGGGGTCAGCTATGGGACTTCTCTCCCTTTTCCTAAAGTTCGCTGTGACCGGTGGTCTGACAAGTGCCACCTCCTTTGCCGCCCCTGCCCCTGGTGAGAAGGCCCCGACAGATCTGCTGTACCCACTGTCCCTGCTTCTGACCTTCAGATCCCCTGGGCTCGGATTTGGGGTCCTGGGTCCCCTGCATACAGTAAAGGGCGATGCCAGAGGAGTGGGTTCAGTTCCCAGGTCTGTGTGTTCCCCAGTCATTTATGCTTCCAACAAGGCCACAGAGGCAGATCCTGGCATGGCTTAGCTCTGGACACACTGCCAGGATGCCTGAGATTGGGCTCTGAACCGAGGACCTTTACACTGAGCTGCACCCCCAGCTCTTTTTAATTTTTTACTTACTTAATTTTATTTTAGTCTTTTATGAGGCAGGGTCTCACTATGCAGTTCAGGCTGGCCTTGAACTTGCAACCGCCTTCTGCCTCAGCCTCCTGAGTGCTGGCGCTGCAGGCCTGCGCCACCATGCCCGGCCTTCTCGTTTTGAGACAGGATCTTGTTGGCCTTCTCGTTTTGAGACAGGATCTTGTTAAGTCTCTTAAGTGTGCAGGCTGGCGTCAAACTTCTGATCCCCCTGCCTCAGCCTCCCTGAGTGTGGGAATTACAGGTATGCGCCACCACTGCCCGACTCCTAGGTTTTAGTAGGCAGAATTGAAGTGTACACGTAAAGAAAATACAGCATGCGGGCTACAAACAGATGGGGGTGGGAGTGGGGGGAGGGGGAGGTGGCACCGATGGGGGTACTCTGCCCAGGCCCTGCGGATCGTCCTGCACAGCCTGGACCTCCATGCCAATTGCTACCAGCGCTACGTGGTGCCACTGCTCAGTATCAGCGCCGACTTCTACGTGCGTGTTTTTGTTCGGGTCTTCACCGGCCAGGCCCGTGTGAAGGCCTCCGCCAGGTCAGCCTAGGAGTGGACTGGGCCCTGCCCTGGGGGGCTGGACAGAGGAAAGGGGCTGGCGGCACCGCCGGAGCTCACAGCTGCCCCTCTGCCCGCAGCAAGCAGGCGCTGGTGTTCCAGTGCGTGGGCTGCGGTTCCTTCCACCTGCAGCGCCTTGGCCGAGCAGCGGCAGCCTCCGGTGGGCGGTAAGCAGAGACTGCTGGGAGGAAGATGGGAAAGGCCCCCTGTGTCGTCACCCCCCCACCCTGTAATCACCCTGGCCCCCGCAGGGTCAAGTTCTCCGCAGCCTGCGGCCCCCCAGTGGCTCCCGAGTGTGGGCACTGTGGGCAGCGACACCAGGTAGGGCGTGGCAGCGTCGGGCGGCGGAGTCCCAGGGCCCAAGGGGCGCCTGCTCACCCCTCGCCTGTGTGACCACAGCTCGGCGGCCCCATATGGGCCGAGCCCATCCATGACCTCGACTTCGTGGGACGCGTGCTGGCAGCCATAAGCGCCAGCCCTCGCCGCTTCCACACCGCCGACCGGATCCGGGGCGTTCTGAGCGTGGTCACTGAGGTAGGGGCCGCGCCGGGCCGAAGCCGAGCCTGGGAGGGGCGCCCTCGTCCCATCCCTTCCGGTCAGGCCTGCCACACCCTGCGTCTCTGCTCAGGAGCTCCCGGATGTGCCCCTGTACTACACCCTGGACCAGCTGAGCAGCACCCTGCACTGCAACACACCCAGTCTCCTGCAGCTGCGGTGAGCCAGCTGGGGAGTGGACTCCCAGCCAAGGATGGTGGGCCCACAGCTGACTCCTCTTGGCCTTGGGCTGGCTGGGTGGAGCTAGAGCAGGATTTCTGACTCATGATTGGCCTTGGATTGGTAGGCGTGGATGGGGCCCGCCTCTGATTGGACACACACACACCTGACCCAATTGGCCTTGAACTAGTGGGTGGAGTCTGGGATGGGACCTGCATCTGACTTGTGATTGGCCTTAGGCTAGTGGGGACGTCACCCCACCTGGTTCCTGATTGGGTCTGGTGGGTGGGGTCTGAGCCCGTGGTGGACGGGCCCACTGATGGCTCTTGATTGGTCCTGGGCTGATAGGTGGGGTTGGGGCAGGACTCATACCTGACATATTGGCCTTGGGCTAATGGGTGGGGCCAGGGGCGAGGCCTGCATTACTGCTGATTGGCCCTAGGTCTTGGGTAGAGGCCAGTGGCGTGTCCCCCTTCCCCTGCTGAGCGCTGGTTTTGAGATGATGGTTAGTCTTAGTCTTCACTTTGAGAGGGTCCCTGTCCTGTCCATTTGTCTCACACAAGTCAGCTGGGCTTAGGGGTCCTCGCCGCCTTCTTACACTCTCTTCTGGTCCCTAGATCTGCTCTTCTGCACGCTGGTTTCCGGGTCTCGCTCTCCCACGCCTGCAGGAACGCGGTGAAGACCGATGCACCTGCCGAGGCGCTCTGGGACATCATGCGCTGCTGGGTGAGTGCAGGCCTGGCCTGCTGGGGAGGCAGGGAGGGCGTGCAGGGTCTGAGCCTGAGCAAGGCCCTTCCTCCCCCAGGAGAAACAGTGCCCCGTGAAGCGGGAGCGGCTGTCAGAGAGCAGCCCCGCCTTCCGCATCCTCGCTGTGGAGCCCAGGTAAGACCACCATCCTGCATCCGGCCTTTGCTCACAGATTTCACCCTGTTGCTTGCTTCTCTCCTCGGCTTTACCAGAGGAAAGGTTCATTTTCTTTACTACTTAATTTCTTCATGGAGAACAATGTAGATTTGAAACTAGAAATAAAGGGTTTCTAGAGAGTAAAAGAAGCCCTTAATGGCAGCATGAGTCTGTAGTCCCAGCATTTGGAAACAGAAGCAGGAGGGTTTGTTTCAAGGCCAGCCTGGGCAACTTAGTGAATTAGAGAGACCCTGTCTCAATATATAAAAATAAAAGGGGCTGGGGATGTAGCTCCATAGGTCAGCCTCCCTGAACCCCAGTACCACAGGAAAATTTTTAAAAATAAACCTCAACATACCTGGGGGTGGGTGGTGCACGCCCATAATCCCAGCTCTTAGGAGCTGAGACAGGAGGACCAGTACAAATTCAGTGCCAGCCTGGGCTCCCTACACAGTGAGACAGTGTCTCAAGAAAAACAGAGCTAGGACCCCATGGCGGTGGGTGGCAGGCCTTCCTGGCGGCCATCCCTGAGCCCACATCCCCTTTTCCAGGCTGCAGGCCAACTTTACCCTGCGGGAAGATGCCAACCCCAGCTCCCGCCAGCGAGGGCTGAAGCGCTTCCAGGTCAACCCAGAGGCCAACTGGGGTCCCCGGCCCCGTGCCCGGCCAGGGTGAGTGAGGCGCCGTGGCGCGGGGTGCAGCTGGCCCAGGGCTGGCTGTGGTCAAAGTGTCGGGTTTGTGCGCAGGGGCAAGGGCGCAGGCCAGGCTGAGGAGAAAAGCAGGCTGCGGCAGCAGCAGAAGCGGAAGGTGCTGGCCGAGGACCCAGCCCAGCAGGCCGCTCGCCTGAAGGCCTTCCCTTGCAAAAGGTTCAAGGAGGTGAGGCACTGCCTTGGTTCCCATGGGCGGGCAGGTCTTGGGACAGCCCCACCCGGCAAGTGCTCAGCGCTGCCGGGCCATGGAGGCCTCATGCCCACCGTCTCCCTCTGCAGGGCACCTGTGAGCGGGGAGACCAGTGCTGCTACTCTCATGGCGAGCCTGTGCCAGCAGCCTCTACCCCCACAGACTGTGCAGAGACCTTGGACCAGAGCTCGGAGGGCATGGGGCCACCCACCAGTGAGCCATGTGTAGGCTGAGCCAATAAACAGATGTGAGACAGTCTCTTGCTATGTATCCCGATCTGCCTGGAATGCCTAGGGATCCTCCTGCCTCAGCCTTCTGAGTGGCCGGAATTATAGACATGCGTGCACTACACTCCCAACAGTGACCGTCATTTGCAGCAGGGCCATGGGCTGCCTGGCTGCAGGACCCCTCCTGCCTGTTTCTCCTCTCCTGAGAACTCAGGTCTCTGCTCATCTGGGCTTTTCAGACCCAGTCTGTCCTCAAAGACCAAAGTGCTGGCCATCTGCAAGGTCTCGCTGCAGTTTTTGGAGTGGCCACTGGGCGGCAGCCTGGTGCCCCTGCACCCGGGGCTCCTCCCCCGCCGCTTCCCCCCAACCCATGCTCTGTCAGCGGCTGCCTGGTTTCTTTGGCCCAGCTCTCCCAGGGCTCAATGGCGGAAGCCGGACCGGAACTAGGCGCCCTGTGCATCCTCTCCGGACCAGGTGCTTCCTGCCCTGCTGCCAAGCGCCGTGCACACCGCCAGGGACCCAGCGGCCTGCCTTCTGAACCCCAGCAAGGGGAAGCTGCTCCCCTCCCCTGAGCCCGGGGCCTGGCTCAGACTGCCAGGAGCCCGCCTTTACCGCCCGTCCTGGGGTCAGACCTCCGGGTGGACGCAGTAGGCCAAGCCCCTGGGTTTCACTCTCCGGTGCTGGCTGGTGCTAGGGTGGGGAGCCAGGTACACAGTGCAAGGGGCAGCGGCCCTACTGTGCCTGGGTAGGGGTCAGCCCGACATGGGAGCCCTCACCTCGGACTTGCAGAGGTATTATGAGCCCGCCTCGCACTGCTGGTGCTTGAAGGGGCCGTGTCCTGGGGGACACAGGGTCACTACCAAGTGGGGGCTTGTAGGTGGGTGTGGCACCGCCAGGCTGTAATCTTGGCCCTTTGGAGGCTGAGGCAGCAGATCTCCTGAGATCAACCTGGGCTACATGCTGAAAGCCAAAATCAATAAAAAGTTGGGGGCCCATAGTTCCAGGATCCTGGGGACTTTTGGAGCGGCCACTGGAAGGCCCCTAGGAAATGAACCCTACCGCCCCAACACACCTTCCTGGGCCTGACCTTGTGTGGCGGCGGGTGCCCCACACTGGGGCTGGGGTGGAAGGGAAGCAGGGAGGGGCGGTGTGAAAAGAGGAACCTGGCAGGGTGCTGAGAGGAGGAGAGGGCCCGGGGTCACGCGGCCCCGCAGCCGGAAAGGCACCCTCCCCTGCCACGGCACAAGGATACCAAGAGACGACCGCCTGCAGGCCTGCAGAGACCGGGCCTCCCTACCTCGGTTTCCCCTCCGCACACGGCGGTGCCTCCCGCAGGTGGGGGGGGAGCGAGCCGGTTGGAGGGGCGGGGCGCGCCGAGGTCCCCGCCCGCCGTCTTCCTCCGGGGTCAGCGCGGCTCCTTATCGCGCCTGCCAGGCGGCCAGGCGCTTATCTGCGCGGCCCAGCATCCTCCGGCCGTCGGGCCGGCCGGGCGAGGGAGGAAACCGGGCCGCCGGGGGCGGGAAGGGGCGGGCAGCCGGAGCCGTGCACTTGCACGGGACCACGCCGCGGCCTGGGAGCACAGGTCTGAAGCATATCGACCGCAGCCCGAGGGGCAGAGCCGGGCGCGCACCAGCCAGCCAGCCCGCGCTGGGGTAAGAGGGCCTGGCCGGGCCGCCTGCGCTTCCGCGTACGTCCGGTCGTTCGTTCATTCATTCATTCATAACCCGGAACCGCTAGGGGAGGCCCAGGCATCTCCCGCAACTGCAGAGGACAGGCCCGAGGGGGCCGCAGCCCCACAGCTTGTGAGTCGCCCAAGCCTGGAACCCAGCAAGGGGTGGTTGGGAGGGTGCAGGGCCAGCCAGGACCCAGCAATGCTGGGGGCCTCGGGCCAGCCTTTGGATCCCGCGTCCAGCGTGGGGTCACGGCTAGTAAGGGGACACCCAAGAGTGGGGGGAGGGGCCCGGGGCCAGACGCGGAGGTGACCGGAAGTGCCCGGGTTGTAGGGCGTAGCAAGGCCCCAGCCTGGGGAGAGAGGGCGGCAGTGCTGGAGGGAGTCCAAGGCCACATGGCAGCTGGGAGTCAGTGAGGGCCAAAGGGCCAGGTGCGGTGGCGCAAGCCTGTTGTCCCAGCCTTGGGAGGCTGAGGCAGAAGTATCGCCATGTGTGCAAGGCCAGTCTGGGCTATATATTGAGTTCAAGGTCAATCTGAATGACATAGCAAGATCCTGTCCGGAAAGAGAAAGAAAAGAAAAGAAAGAAAGAAAAGGGAGGAGGAGAAAACAGGGGTTTGGGGTCAGAAACAGATCAGAAGGTTGGCAGGGGTTAGGGTGACCCGGGATCAGAGGGCATCGCCATGCCTCAGAGCTACCTGGCAGACCCCTGCTCTGATGGGGGACCCTTCTATATGGTGGCCTCCAGCTGAGCCTGGACTTTCCCCTCCCTTCTCCCCGTTCGGAGTGGGGAGATGACACCGGCCTCCTCCCACCTGGCTGCCTTCTCCCTGCAGGTGAGTGCCCCGCCCGACTTCGGGCCCATGTGCCCGCCCCAGGCCCAGGCAGAGCTGGGCCCCACCATGACGGAGAAGGCCGAGGTCGAGTGCGCCCGCAGCCCGGTGCCCACCCCGCCCCCTAAACCTGCCTCACCAGGGCCCCTGTCCCCCGAAGAGCTGGACCACAGGGGCGTCTTCCCTGCCAGGCTGCCTCCGGGGGTGCCAGTGATCAGCCTGGGTCACACCAGGCCCCTGGGGGTGGCGATGCCGACCACGGAGCGGGGCGTCCTCCGACCACCTTTGCTGCACCTCTCGACCCTGGCAGCTGCCCCGCCGGCCCTGGCTCTGCATTACCACCCGCACCCCTTTCTCAACAGGTCAGTGGGGGCTGGGCGGGGCTGCAAGAGACAGGGGGGTGGTGAGAGGGCCGGACCACAGGCCTGTGTGACGTGTGACCCCTTCCAGTGTCTACATCGGGCCAGCAGGGCCCTTCAGCATCTTCCCCGGCAGCCGGCTGAAGCGGAGACCCAGCCACTGTGAGCTGGACCTGGCCGAGGGTGAGCAGCCTGCTTGGGTATGCGTGTGTGTACATGCGTGCCCGTGTGTGTGGGCCACGTGCCGCTGCAATAGAGGTGTCTGCCTGTGTACACACACATGCATCCAGGGGACATCCACACAGGTCACACTCAAATGCAGGACCACATCCCCACAGCCAGGGTCACTCCAACATTACCAGTGACCCCCTAAGTCAGTGCAAAACCCAGCAGCAGGCTTGGCCTGGCCTGGCCTGGCCGTGGGAGCCCCAAACAAGACATAGGTCCGGGACCAGAGTCGCCGGGGACACAGCCACACAACCACACAAAAGTCAGACACACAACCACAGCCGTGCACATAGCAGCCACAGCCACAGGCTGCCACCACAGGCGGGCGTAACCATCAGACCACAAATCCCAGCCACATCACAGGCTGGGAGAGTGGCACAGGGCCTTTGCACAGAAGAGCGGCCCTGGGCTCGAAGCGCAGGCTTCTCAACCCCGGGCCTTGGGGTGGGTGGCCACGCCTGGGTACTCTGGGCGCAGAAAGTCCACGCCCCGGCCTGGGGGCAGGTCCCACCAGGGTGGCCACAGGGAGCAGGGACAGGCGAGGAGCCCCAAGCCCGGCCCCAAGTCCGTCCCTCCCGTGCGCAGGGCACCAGCCCCAGAAGGTGGCTCGACGCGTGTTCACCAACAGCCGCGAGCGCTGGCGGCAGCAGAACGTGAACGGTGCCTTCGCAGAGCTCAGGAAGCTGCTGCCCACTCACCCGCCCGACCGGAAGCTGAGCAAGAACGAGGTGCTCCGCCTGGCGATGAAGTACATCGGCTTCCTGGTGCGGCTGCTGCGCGACCAGGCGGCCGCCCTGGCCTTGGGCCCCGCCCCGCCCGGGCAGCGGAGGCGGGCGGGGCAGCGAGGCCTCGCCTCCGGCCGTGGCGCGCGGGAGGCCCCCGCAGACTCGGACGGCAGCCCAGGCGGGGCGGCCCGGCACATCAAAGTGGAGCAGGTGGCCCCGAGTCCGGAGGTGCGGTGACCCGGGGCCTCCGAGCGGGCCAGGACACTCAGCGCCGGGTCGCGCGCGTCGGAGCGGACCGGCGTACAGCCGCTAGGCAAGACGCCCCCGGAAGGGCAGCAGTTCTGGGGGTCTGGAAGGGCAACCATCGCCCAGGGTCCTTACTAGCTGTGTCTTAAATCCCGCTGGAGGGAGCTTGGCCCGGGCTCCGCCCTGGGGCGAGGTCCCAGACGCGCGCGTCCTGGACTCAAGTGGCTCCTTGGAGGCGGGGAACAGGACCCGGCGCGCCCCGCCCACTCCACGCGGCCCCGCGCGACCGATGGCGTCTGCGAAGGCCCACGCACGGTTGCTTTTTTTTTTCTTTATTTCTTTATTTCACATACACATTAGCCATTCAATGGAGAAGCCAGAGAGTCAGGCGGAGATGGTGTAACAGAAGCGCAGTGACGGCGGGCGGGCGGGCGGGGCGGGGACAGACGGGCTGGCTACTTGCATTCCGCTAGGACACTGAAAACCCAGAAAACAAAACAGACAGCGAACTACCCTTGTTTCTTATGCATCTCAGTGCGGAGACGGGGCGGGACGGGGGCCAGGCGGGGCGCGGGGGCGGCGGCGCTAAGGGGGAGCACACCAATCCATTAGTACTATATATAGAGATACGTATATACTGCGTTTCTTAGCCTACGAAGAAACTTGTTTGACGGGACGGGCGGCCTTGCGGTCCGCGATGCTGGTGCTGGTCGGGCGCACGGATCTCCCAGGAGGGGCAGAAGCGGGGCTGGCCCAAGCTGGCTTGCGAGGGAACGGGGGATGGAGAGAGGGCGCCCCGAGAGTTGGGGGAGCAGAGGCGGGGCCGGGGAGCCCCAGGGGCTCTCGATGGGGGGACAGAGTTCTCGTGACTTTATTGCTCCTGTATTTTCTCTCGTGGGTGTAGGGACGGGGCGGGGGCAGGGGTCCGACCGGCGCGGGTGGAGAAGCGGTGGGGCGTCGGGGCCCAGGGCGCGGCGTCCGCTCGCCAGCACGGGGGTGAGAACAAGGCACTAGGTCGGCCGCCGGCGCGGGCGGGGTGTAAGGCAGTCGCAGGGGCGGGCGGGGGGGACGGGGCGGCGGCCGTGTGCGTGCGTGCGTGCGGGCTCGGGCCTGGGCGCGCGGCGTGGAGGGACGGGGGGGCCAAGGGACCGGGCCGGGGCGCGGAGGACGTTGCCCCCTCGCGGAGCGCGCTCCTGGCGATGCTGGTGAGGGTCAAGTTGGCGTCTGGCTCAAAGAGGGGCGCTCGGGGGTCGCGGGGCGGGGCGGAGGTGTTTGTTCGTCGGCAAGGACCTGTGCGGGGGACCAGGGACCCCGCGCGCCCCGAGTCAGGGCGGGAGCGGGGTGGGAGGGGCGCCCGGGAGACCCGCGGCCGAGCGCGGCTGCGCACCCCGCAGCCCAGGCCGCACCGCCCCGCTACGTTCAGCTCAGCGAGATGCGCGGTTCCCAGCAGGTGCAGGATACGGAACTGACCCTAAACTGACGGTAGTTTGTGGGTGTCGTGGAGAACGTACTTTAGAATGTCAGAAGCACCAGGGTTTTGTGTCATGATCCTAAAAGTAATTTGTTATCGTCTTTTTTTCCTTTTTGATCTTGTGGGTTTTCCGTTTGTTTTTATGTCGAGGTGAGGTGTGTGCGTGTGTGCGCATGTGTGTCAACCCAAAACGTGAGGTTTCTTTCAGCCCTCCCACCGTAATCGAGAACGAACAACAAAACAAAAACCCCAAATCATCCTCGTCAACGCAGGAAAACGTCTTAAAAATAAAACTGAAAACGAACCAAAAAAAAAAAAAAAAAAAGGAAAAACATCTTTCCTTAGCCTCGCGCAGGGCGGGGCAGGCCCGGTTCTTTTAGCGTCCCCAGAGCCGCGAGGACATGACAACAAAAATAGAACTTTTTCTTAATCTCTTAACATACAAAGATAGGAAAACTCTGATGCATTGCACTTGATTCAAGGAAAACAAAAACAAAAAAGTTCACTTCCTCCATATACATTTTTGTGGGTTTTTTCCTCTCCACTCCCCACCTCCCGGTGCCCGCGCCCGCCTCGCCCCGCCGCCCCCTCCGGGCCCAGCTGGCCTGCAGCTTCCGCCCTCCCGAGCGCCGTCGAGCGCGAGGGGCGCACGCGGCCACGCTCCCCGACCCTGTTCAGCCAACCGAACTGGAAAATCATTGCACTTCGGCCGCGCGTCGCGCCCGGCCGCCCGGCCCCCACCCCGAGCCCCGCGATCCGATCCTGCGTCCTCCGCGGCGCCTCAGGGCGCCCGGCCCGGCCGCGGGCCCTCTTCCTGCCCCGACGGATGGACGGACGGACGGCGCCTCCCTCTCCTGCCTGCCGCGGCCAAGGCTGCAAACTGGAGTCTCAATAAATAAAGCCCAGGACCCACCCTGCGTGGACTGACTTTCCGCGGCTCCTGCCCTGCACTTTGCGTGTTCAGACTGTGATGGGGGCCGTGGGGGAGGCACAAGGGCTGAGCGGGCCAAGGGGGCGGGCAGGAGGAGTAAGGCACAGAGAGGCCAGTTGGAGGGCGAGGCTCCCCGCAGGGCCGCGCCCCTTCCCCAGGCTCCTGCAGGACCTCTGGGCAGGACCCGGCCCGGGTGGGGGCGCCGGGGAGCCGCTTCCCATGGGGTGTGACCAACTGTTCTCAAGTCGCTCAGGAGGAGGAGTCCCCACCTGCGACCGCGAGGACTCGAAGGACGCCCGCCCCCCATGGAGAGGAAAAAACACACGAAGAGCAGAGGGGGCGGCGGGGCGGGGCGGGGCCGGAGGGCTGCAGACGCTCTCGCCCGGGGACGAATCTCTGGGCGGTGGCGGCCCGCAGGACGCCTACCTATGGGCGAGCAGTGGCGGCTGCCTCGTCCTCCTCGCTGGGCTCCGAGTCCCCTCTCTGCTCCACTCTGCACCGGGCCCCCGCTTGTGGGGCGCCTGCATGCTGGGTTGGGGTGTGGGGCAGCCAGGGGCCACCTCCCTCGGCTCCTGGCCTGCGTGGGGAGAGGGGAGAAGGGCCTGGCCCGGAGCTGCCCCTACAGCCAGAGGGGGTGGCAGGGCCACCCTCCACTCGGGGTTCACCCGAGCCCACACCAGGGCGGCTAGGAGAAGCCAGGGCCAAGACCAGGAGGAGGGGCAGGAGGGGTCCTAGGGTCTGCACCCAGCATCTCCCAGGCTGGTCCTCCGGGCTCCCCGCGGAGCTGGGCCTGAGGGAGGGTGGGGTCCCCCGGGGCAGGTGCTGGCTGTGGCCGAGGGGCGGGGAGGGAGGCAGTCCGGCCGCGTCCGTTCCTTCCGCTGTCCTCTGCTTGGCAGAGCCTGCTGTGCTTGGTTCTTTCTGCTCGGCTGCCGGGGTACAGCCCCACCGAGACCCCTTCCAGGGGTCTCTGAGAACTGGGCTGCTTCGGGGCCTCGGGGGTCCCCGGGCGGAGGAGGAGGAAGAGGGAAGGGCTGAGTGGCTGCTGACGACGTCTAATTTTTGCTTTTTTTCGGTGGGGCTGGGCTGGGCTGGGCTAGGCTGGGCTGGGCTGGGCTGGGCTGGGGGATTTTTTCCATGTCTCAAAATTTTTCTCCCCCCTCGAGGAACCTCTTCTTTTCATTTTGTAGTTTCTTTGTCGATCTTATCAGAGGAACCAGGACTGAAAGGAACAGAAAAAGAAAATCAAACCGGTGACCGTGAGAGGAGGGAGGGAGCCCCTCACTCCCGTGGCCCCCAGGACCCTCGCCCTGGCAGCCCAGCTCTTCCCACCCTCCCGGGAATCCCCCAGCCCTTGGCCTGGCACTGGCATCCAGCTGGCCTTCCCGTGGGCACTGTGCCCGGTGGGTGGGACCCCCGTGGCTGGCGCTGGCACAGACCTAGGATCTGGCCGCGTTTGCAATTGTCCAGGGTTTTGTGCGGGTCCTGGAGGGTGGGGGGATGCCAGTCTGGGGCTTTTGTACCCAGAAGGGTTTGGGGAGTGGGGTCGGGGTGGCCCCGCTTCTTGCTGAGTTTTTTTTCTCTTTGGATTAAAAGCAGAAATTCCCGTCTGGGCGCCCCAGCCAAGGTCCCGTAGGCTGAAAGGCTGGGGGTGGGGGACCTGCAGGCTTTGGTCCTGGGCAGTGCCAGGCCTGGGGAGGGGCTGCTGCCCACAGTGGGCCACCCACTCCCTCGGTAGCACCCTGATGTGACCTCATCCCCCGTTCTACCAGCAGGGGGCACCACCTCCCCACACATGGGCTTGTCTGGCGGCTGGTTCTAAGCCTGCCCAGGGTGGGCCCAGGGGGACGAGTGCTGGGCAATGCCCTCATTCAAAGACAGCCTCACCTGCCTCCCCACCAAGGGCCAGGCCAGGGTAGGCACAGCCTCAGGACAGGGGACTTCTGAGGTCACCTGAGAGCCCTAGCAGGCCCTGTGTCAACTTAGCTGGGGGCCAGGCACCTGCCCCCTGTGCAACCCAAAGCCAGGCATGCAGAGACCCGGTGACAGGTGGGGGATTCAGGGTCCATGGCTGTCAGAGGCCTGGGCCCAGGGCGGGCCGGCTTCTCAGAAGAAGCCAGAAACCCCACACAGCTCCATGTGGAAGCACCCACTCTCTGCAGGCTGGGACCTGTGTGCTGCCCGCTGTGACTCGGGGGCTAAGGGCTAGGCTTAGAAGGGGGCTGAGATAGCTGGGCGAGGTGGCCACTGCCCTCAGAGAGACGTCAGTGGGGGAATCAGTCGGGCCCAGGAATTCAGGCCTGGTCTGGCAACCTAGCAAGAGCCTGTGTCCAAAAAACCACTTTCTTGACGAGAGAAATTCTATCTGCGCCACCCAGGCAGCGGGTCCTGAGTCTGGCTTGTGTGACTGAGGTCTGAGTTTTCCTTTAATTAATTTAAATGGACATGGCCAAGTGTGGCCAGTGGCCACTACGGCAGCCAGCACTGAAGAGCCAGTGGAGACTCAGGACCCTTGCACTGCAGTGGGGACAGGGGCTGCCCGGTGCCTGCCCCATCCTCAGCCCTCGAGAGGACCCAATGCCAGGCAGACACCCTGGGGCCTGGGGAGCCCTGGAGTGGGAGGAGGAGGGCATCAGGCACTAGCTGCTTGCTTACTCTGGGAGCCCCTCATTGGGGTGGCCGTTGGGGACCTCTGTACCCCAGAGCAGGAGAGGGAGCTGTGGGTGGGAGCCTGCCCCTTGTCCTTCCTATAGGGTCACGGAGGCCCTACCCACCCTGCTTGTTGGTGGATGCTGCCAAGGCCCCAAGCTGGCCACTCTTGGGTCTCCTAACCTCCACAGCAGGGGGAACTACCACTGTGTCTCAGATGGAAGGTACCTCCTAGGAAGACGACCGCTCTGGTACCAAACCTGAGCCGGGGACAAAGGCAGCCCCAAGGGGTTCCCCATGCCTCCCCATCCCAGGAGCAGCATCCACTGCCAGGCACGCAGAGGCCTTTTCTGCTCGCCCCTCTCTGCTTCCTGAGCCAGGTCCAAAATTGATTAAAACTAAGTAAAAAGCACTGCCCAGGGAATGACAAAACTGCTAAAATTCTCCTTTCTTCCCTCTTTCCATTGTTCTCTCTCCATCTGGTGCTCCAGGGATCAGCTAAAGTCACCGGTTACTGTGGAAACCACCCCGACTGTACCCCCACGCCCGCCCCTGGCCCGGCCCAAGGACTCCTGCGCCTGGGTGGCAGGTTTGGCTCAGGCTCCCGCTGCTCACAGCGCTGGGCCGGACCGGGACTGCTGCTCCTGCCGCCCAGAGTCTGAGGCGGGGATGAGGGGGAGAGGAGCTTCCCCAAAGTTGCCTCCAACTCTGCTTTGACCCCAAAACCTCCAAGCAGACTGAGCAGAGAAAGTGAGCAGGCTGCAGGCTCACTGCAGAGCAGGGGGGCGCAGAGCCCAGCCCCTGTGCCAGCCCGCGGGGGGCGGGGCGGGGCGGCCGCCTGCTGCCCCTTCCCTGGCACTCCCTCCCGCCCTCTGCCAGCAGGGCTCTCTCAGCCTCCCTGGCACAGAGCAGAGGGGGCCGGCTCCAGCCCCTGCCGCAGTCATTGTTTGGCTCCTCAACACCCCAAGTCCAGGTTCATCTGGGTGTTACATCATGTCTGGTTGCCCCGGGAAACCAGACGGGTCAGACGTGACTCTGGGGAAAGGGGGTGGGAAGCTGGAGGGGGGCAAAGTTCCCGTCCCCTCCCCTGCTTGCCGCTAGGGAGCTCTGAAGTTTGAAGTTTGACAAAGTTTTCGGCTTTTTTTTTTTTTTTTTTTTTTTTGAGGGAAGGGAAGGAAAGGAAGAGAGGAAAAAAAAAAAAAAAAAAACCCTCAAACCACACACACGAAACTTCCACCCAGCAACTTTCCCTGCCTCGCTGGGGCCTCTGGGAAGAGATGATTTCCCAGGCTCGCGCCAAGGAGCTGCCGGAAGAGGGGTGTTTTTGTCAAATGCACAGGAGAAAGAGATCTGCGTGATCCTTCCCGGAACCCGTGATGGCCTGGCCGCTGCCCTGGACCAAGCAGTGTCCTCTGGGCACCCCCAGGGAGGCCCCAGAGTGGGGACAGGCAGGCACACGTGCCAGGTGCATGCCGGGAGGCCAGAGCCTACAGGAGGGCAGAGGGCAGTGGGGACCAGAAGCACCCGGCCTGGCCTGCCCCTAGCGGGCCGCTCAGGTCATGGGCGGGGCCTAGGGTGGCCGCCAGCCCTGCCCTGCCCTGGGGGCTGGTCTCTGGGCAAGGCGCCCACCAGGCTGCCTCTGTCCCTCCTCTGGGCCTTGTCCAGCCCACCAAAGCCGGGGAGGGCAGGAGAAGAGCAGCCCACTGGCTTCCATCTTGGCTTCCACCAGCCTGCCCAGAGGGCCTCCAGCCTGGGTTCCTTGGCCGCCTTCCCCGGGGCCAGGGCTGTCGGAGCTAATTATCCAATTAGCTGATTAGCAAGGAGCCTGGGGGCTGCCTGGGGAGGCAGCTCAGCTGGGCAGGCCCACGCTGCCTGCCGCCTGTGGCCAGCTTACTGGCCGCTCCCCGCTTAGCTCAGGACCCTGGCTACCTCCTGGCCACCTTTCGATGCCTGGCCCTGCCCGCCCCGTGCCCGGACATCCCTACCTGAGACTGCTGCGGGATGTTCAGAAAGTTGCTGTCCCGGGATCCGATGCTGACAAACCGGTTGGCAGAGGGGGCGCCTGTCGTTGAGAATGCTGTGGGGAGCAGGGAGAGAGGAGAGACCCTCATCAGGCCTTCAGGCCCTCCTGGCCACTGCCCTTCGGGATGGGAAAGCTGAGACAGGGAGAGTCGGGCAGGCAGCACTGCCAGCTGCCAGGGTGCAGCCGGACGTCAGGTGGGTGCCAAGGTGCTCAGGATCAGGAGTCCCTCCCGGCACCTGTCAGGGATCCTCAGCCACAGACCAGGGCAAGTACGGGGGCCCTGGATGCTAGCTGAGAGCCCTTAGATCCAGCCCTGTCCCCGGCAGACGTGCTGGACAACACCAGGGGAACTGAGGCCCATGTGCCCTCCATGGGGTCGTTGGGGGCAGAGGGGCCCAGTCAGGCCACCTATCCAGCCCTGCAGCTGGGGGAGGCATGCTGCACCATGGACCCCAGGGAATCCCAGGGCCAGCCGGGTGGCTCCGGGGATCAAAGCAGGGCTCACAGAGGGCCAGGCCAGCACAGGGACCAGGAGCTCGCTGTGGGTGGGGCCTGGGGCAGCAGGGCTGAGTGTGTGCCACACTCTTCTGACCCCCAGCCAGGCTGGCATAAGAGTTGGGCCTCGGTGACCGAGGAGGAGGTTGACGCCTGACAGGGCCACCTAGCTCGGTGGCCTGGGGACCCTGCCCTGTGGCCCAAGAGGCGACTGGACCATACAGCCCGGAGCCGTGCTCCGGGAGGGAAGAGAACCTGGAGGGTCTGCGTCACGGGCCGCCCACCCCGCTGCAGCAGCTCATCAGATGCGGCCCACCCTGCCCATTGCGCCCGCCGCCGATCGATGACCATGACCATGACCACGTCTGATGGGGATGCAGATGAGGAGGATGGCATGAGGAGGGCGGGGAGGAAAACTCAAACCATGAGGAGAAGAGGCGGGAACACACGCCCGCCCGCCGCCCACCCACAGTGCCCAGCCTGGCCTGGCCCGGCCACCCGCCCATGACAGTGCCGCCTGGCGGCCTCCACTCTCCTGTCCTGTCCTTCACGCCGGGTCTAGCTGGGCTCTTCTGCCAGTGTCCTTTCCTTCCCTTTGACAGAACACGTCATCAGTGTTAAAAGAAGGGAGAAAGAGAGAGATGGGGGAGTGGACGGGGCCCTGGTCCCCGGATCGGATCGGCCACCTGGGAGAGGAATAGAGGAGAAGGAGGCTGGGGCGGGCACAGCAGGGTGGAAAAGAGGAACGGAGAAACCAAAACCCATGCGAGCTGGACCGCCTGTCGCTTGTGGCCAAGGGCCGGAATGGAGGTGAGGGGCAGGCAAAAAAGGGGGATGGTGGTAGCGTCGCCTTGTGGTCACATTGAACTTGGGGTGTGTGTGTGGGGAACAACAAAACAACAAAAAAATTGAAAAACAAAACCAAAAAGGAAAAAGAAAAAAAAACGGAAAAAAAAAACAGCAATCAGGCATGAAGATGGCATGGCTGTGCCTCCCGCCCCCCGCCCACGCCAGCACCCCTGGCCTGGCACCCCACTCTGCTCTCCCTCCCGCCCCCCAGGGGGGCCTGGGCCAGGGCCCCGGCTGGGAGCAGCGGGCAGGGGCTTGTGGGGTGCCAGCTGGTGCGACGGAGGCCCGGGGCCAGCCCTGCCGCCGCCCGTCCGTGCGGCCCAGCGTGGTGGAGGAGGTGTGCGTGGCCGGGGTGCTGGGCGCTGCGGGTTTGGTGTCAACGTCCACTTACAAGGTGACGGAGTAGTCAAGGCGGCGCCGTCTGGGGCCGAGCTGGTGGATTTGGAATCAGGCATAGGAAGGGGCACAGGTCGGGCCACTGGAGGCGGCGGTGGGAGCAAAAAGGACCCCGGGACTTTGCCCTGGCTGCTACCGTTGGGCTGCGAACAACATAAAGAGTGACGCGTGAAGGCACAGACACACAGACGTGCCCCGGCACGCCGCCGGGGCTCTGCGGGCGAGGTGCGGACGGACGGACGGACGGACGGAAGGACGGACAGGGTCGCTCAGGGGTGGGAGGCATGGCCACCAGGCAGTCTGGGGTCCTGCTCTGTCTGTCTCTGTCCCGAGCGGTGCTGGGGTCTTCTCTGGGGGTGATGGGAAGGGGGGGGGTGTCCGGCGGGTGATCAAGTAGTCTCAAGGGAACAGTGTTGGGGTAAAAACAGACGCCACCTCACCATGTGTGCACCTGGAGCCAGGACAGGTGGGCCACAGCCCAGACATCCCCCACGCCTGCTCGGCTGCCCCATGGCCTGCCTGGGGCCAGGCATCGTGGCCTCAGTGCCCATGGACAGCAGGGCACCAGTCTTTCCACCAAAGAGCAGGACAACGTGCTGCCCTGGGCTCCAGTTCCTCCGGAGTTCTGCAAGCCCACTGACTTCCCCAACGGCGCCCTCCCAAACAGGGCCCTGGGTCGTGGCACCCACGTCTTCCCTGTGCGCCTCCTCGATGGCTCCAGTTTGCAGGTCCCCTCCAAGCCAGACCCGCTCTGTCCTCAAGGGTGGCCTGCATGGCAGCCACACCCCTGTCTGTGAGGTGAGCTCTCACAGGCCACTGCATCCCTGGCCTCCGGACCAAGGGTCAGTGGCCCAAAGGTGGAGCCTGCCGCCCCAGGACGCCCTGGTCCACTCATCTGTCTAGTCACCAACCACACTGGCCGCTGGAATTCACAGCCATGCCCGCCCACCTGGGAAGTGAGGGGCCCTCCTGCATCCCATCCTCCTCATTAAGTGCCAGTTGGGGTTCATGGCTGCCCCAGCTTTTCCCAGCTTCAGACAGTCTGCAGTCTCTGTCGGGAGCGGCCAGGCCTTCTGGCCCCACCCAGCACCCTAGTGGGGTCTCCCACAACCCGCCCACGCCATACCTGTCCTCAGCGCTTTCTGGCTCACACCCCCAAGCCCTCTCAGGGCCCCTGTCCCGCTCTCTCTGCAGCCGCAGTGACCCCCTGGCACAGGTGCCCTCAGGCTCCACTGAGGCCGCATAGCTGGCCTTCCTATCCCTCAGAGCACTCAGCCTGTCCCTGGCACTCGAGGCCCGAGACCCTCAGCTGACCTGGGGTGCCCCGCCCTCCATGCCCCAGGCCTCCAGCTCGTTCACTGTCCTCTGTTGGGCACGACCTGAGAAAGGCCCTGACCACGCTCCAGGAAGAGGCCTCTGTGCTCGGGGTCCCTTTTCACGGGACAGTGGTGCAGGCCACAGCGGGATGCGAAACCAGGACTCTGCCTGTTCTCCATCTACCTGGTTTCCACGTCACCCTCCCCCCGAGGCCAGAGGCTGGGGAAAGAATGGCTCTGTGTCCATCTGTCTGTCTGTCCATCCGTCTCTCTCCCAGAGAGGCCACCTGAGCCCAGGCTTCTCCGGAAGTGCTGGCCGCCCTGGTGTCTGCCTCCATCTTCCAAGTCCGTCTCCACCACCAGCGCCCCTGGACACGCCCAGTCCACCTTCATGCAACAGGACTGGTTTACCGAGTTCTGGGTCTAGAGGTCACCTTTAACCAGGCTGGGCGTCCAGCTCCCAGTGGGAACGGGCACCCCAGGGGCTCTGACCTCACGACCTCAACAGCCTGGTCAGCAGGCAGCTGGGAGTCCCATTCTGTCTGGTGGGCAGAGCACGAGGCCTCCTGCTACCCTGCGTCCTGCTCTGTTGGGGACCCCCAGTCCACACAGCCTTCTGTGTGCTTACCAGCTGCTGCCCCTCTGTGCCCTTTGCGTCTCCTCCCAGTCAGCTGCTGGGGCCTTGGCCTCCATGTCAGCTGCTGGGGCTCCCAGAACGCCCACAGCCTGGTGCTACCTGTGTCTTCTTGCAAAGCTGCCTGGGACTCCAGACTCTCAGAAGTAGGAATCGGACGCCTTGAGGTCCCCAGGGTCCCCAACACTCTGGGACGGGGCCTAGGCACCCATCCCAGACACTGCCTCGGTCTAAGAACTTCCACTACCAGTGCGCACCAGGCCTCTGCCTGCATCCCTCGCCAGAGCCATCTCCAGCCTGGGACACTGCACCCCAGGTGCAGGGCACAGCAGAGTCCTGTGTCCCTGTCTGCTGTGTCCTGCAGGGTAACAGGGCCTGTGGCTGCCCCACTGTGGAGCCTTCGAAGGGGCTGAAACCACACACTGGCTCAAGGGTCACAGCGGAGGGGGGCTGGGGACCTGCCCAGGGCACAGCCTTGGCCAAGTGCTCACGTGGCTCCCTGGATGGGCTGGTTCTCAGGCCCAGCCCACTTTGCCGCCAAAGCCCCTGTGTCTCAGGCAGCCTCCCTGCTCTGCATTCCTGAGCCTGGCCCGTGGCTCCCCAGGGACGTTGCTGCATCTCTGCAGAAAGCAGAGCAGCTGCTGGGCATAGGTCTGCTTTGCCCACCACGGCCAAGCTGGCTCTGGGGTCCTGAGGAGCTCCAGGGGACTGGGGGACACAAGCTTCTGCAATTCACAGACGCCGCAGGCTGAAGGTGGCCCAAGGCCCACGGCCCTCCAAGTGGCATGCAGTGGCCCAGGGTGGTGAGTTCCTGTGTACCATTTCTGCTCCAGCCCTAAGCAACCTCTGGCCTGCACACTGCCATAGCCACAGCCACACAACTGTCCATGGTGCCCTGACCTGCGGCGTCCAGCAGGGCCCGGCGTGTCCATCTGAGAGCATCTGTGGCCTGCGATTGTGGGGTGCACCCTATGCGGGAGCCCCAAGTCCCTGGTGATGACTGGCCCAAAGGTGGAGCCTGCCGCCCCAGGACGCCCTGATCCAGCTGGGCCCCATGTCAGGAGCTAACAGAGGCCTCTGAGGGACGGCAGGACGCAGCCTTTCTGTGGTCAAGGCCTCTGGGCTTGACCACAGCCCAACACACTAACACCCCCAGCCAAGCGTGCTTGGCACACACTGGAAGCAGGCCGCCCGCACCGCCCTTACCCTCGGCGCCAGGACAGTCTCATACCACGGAGGACAGCACCCCAGCCATGCTCGGATACCGGACAGTGGACTCCTGCTTAATCCGCCAAACCTTGCACCCATAGTCTGAGTGGGGTGCGCAGTGTGGCCCAGGCGCACCTCGGAAGACTCAGGGTTCACAGCTGCTGGGAGACGGAAGCCCATGCTGGACCCAGAGCAGAACTATGCAGTATGCTCCCCACGAGCCCAGATGGATGGGCAAACAGACGGCAGGTGCGGAGACAGGCGTCGCAGGTTCTGTGGCCCCCACACTCACCTGTCCAGTGGCCTGGCCTGAGCCATCGGAGCACACAAACTGCACGAACTCCTTCAGCGAGTCCTGGCCATGGTGGTGGTGGTAGCGGATGGTCGGATGCGTGAAGTACGGGCTGGACTGCTGGATGATGGACGTGGAGGGGAAGTGCAGGGCGGAGGCCGTGGCCCTCGGGCTCCCTGTGCAAGGCAGGCAGGAGGGAGATGGCCTCAGAGCGTGGCCTCAGCAGCGTGGAGCCAAGGGTTCCCAGGGAGGCCATGGCGGGACACTGCCCTCGGCATGGAGCCCCGCTCAGGGAAACCGGGAGGAGTTTAATGCAGTTTGCAAAAAAAATACTAAGCCTGGCATGGTGGTGCATGCCTGTCATCCCAGCACTCGGGAGGCTGAGGAAGGAGGATGCCTGAGTGTTTGAGACCAGCCTGGGCTACAGAGTGATCTCAAGGCCAGCCTGAACTGCATAGTGAGACCCTGTCTCAAAAAGGCAAAATAAATAAATATATTAACAAACTAGAAAGATAACCAAATGTGCAGAAAGGGCCCCAGGGCCAGCTGCTCATCTCTGCAGCCTGGGGACAGAGCTCAGGGTCTCCCACATGCTGGGCAAGCAGTCTGCCACTGAGCCCCATCTCCTTGCTTCTTAAACTTTCGTTCTCAGACACAGCCTCATGAAACTTCCCAGGCTGGGCTTGAACTCCTGCACTCAAGCAGCCTCCTGCCTCAGCCTCCAGCACAGCCCGAATGAAAGGGAGGTGCCACCATGTCAAGTGGTCACTCGTGGGTTTTTTTGTTTTGTTGGGGTTTTTTGGTTTGTTTTTTTGAGACAAGTTCTCCCTATGTGGTTCAGGCTGGCCTCAACTCCACAGCAATCCTCCTGCCTCAGGCTCCTGAGTGCTGAGATGACAGGCAAGTGCCACCAAGCTCGACTGGTCACTCATTCTCGTGAATAAAGTGTGACCAGAGGCAGGACAGAGATTACAGGGTAACAGGATACACAGGCGAGACAGTCCTGTGAGTGCAGAATGGGATTTTGTCTTTGGAAAAGATTGTTTAAAATGTTATTTGCTCATTTTTTGGCAATGATTTTAATTTTCTTCTCTCTTTCTTTTTTTGTTTTTTGAAATAGGTTCTTGCTTTGTTTGCAGCCCAGGCTGGCCTCAAACTTGCAGCAATTCTCCTGCCTCAGCCTCCAGAGTGGTGGGATTACAGGTGTGCTCCATGGCACCCAGCAATAGGGTTTTTTTTTTTTTTTTTTTTTTCTATCTATTTTTGAGACAGGGTCTTGCTATGCAGTTCAGGCTGGCCTTGAGCTCACTGTGTAGCCCAGGCTGGTCTTGAACTGCTGAGGATCTTCCTGTCTCAGCCTCCTGAGTGTCACCACACCTGGGTCCTGATTTCTAAGAGCAGCCCATTAAGACAGGATTTAGCAGCTCTGTGGCAGAGCACTTGCTTAGCCTGAGTGAGGACCTGGGTTCAATCCCCAGCATCAAAATAAAGAAGAGAGACAAGGAACTACGCCGAATCTTGCCCGCTGAGTTTTTGGCAACCTTGGCCCTGATGCCCTGGCCTGGATCTGGGGAACTGGGTAGAGAGGACAGAGCCCCGGCTCAGGCCGAGCCTCACACACACACTCACATCCGGAGTCAGGCTCAGCCCCAACCCGCACAGCCGCTTGGCTGCCCTGCCTGTTTCCAATCAGCTCGCCTGCCTTTGCTGTCGGCTTCATTAGGGGCCGAGGAAACCTGGCTTTCTCTGGAGTTCATAAAAGTGAGTCCAAGCAAAGCGGTCGGCCCCACCCCCTCTCGCAGCGGCTGCCATGCTGCTGGGCTCCCCACTCTCCATGGTCGCTGTGGGCCTGGAGGCCCCAAACCTCCTTGCCCTGGCTCCCTGACTGACCGCTGGAGGAGGGGAGGGGAGGGCGGGGAGGCCCAGTGCTCTTCTCAGTGCAGACCTGGAGGGCAGAGGTGCCCTGCAGACAGCTGAGCCACCAGGTCCAGAAGAGGGCAGGGAGCCCAGGGGAACACAGCAGCCCCACAGGGCCCTCTAGGCGGTGGTTGGCAGGGAGGAGGAGGAGGAGGAGGAGGAAGAGGAGGAGGAGGCAGAGGAGGCAGAGGCCCCCCGCCCAGCGGCCGGCCTGTGCACACATGTGCACCGACCCTCACACATGCACGGGGGTAAGCGGCCAGCAGGGGCAGCTCAGCCAGCCCCTCTGGGGCAGCGGCCCCTCGCACACCCGCCCGATTCTCACCTGGTCTGACTCCAGCAAGCACAGGCAGTGGGTGGTGAGTGAAAGCCATGCGCGGGGAGCTGCCCTGAGAGGAGAGGGCGCTGCAGAAGTCCAGCTTTCCTGACTTCTTTAGCGAAGCCGGGCCTGGGGGAAGGGAGCAGCAAATGGCAGGTTTAGGCAGGCCAGAGGCAGAAGCCAGCAGCTGTCCTTCTGTCCCCAGCCCCGCCCCTCCTCCCTTTGTGGCGACCCCTGGGCCTTGGCTAGGAGCCTCGCAGGCCACGTACTGGAGAGGAAGGAGCCCCTGAGGCCCTGGGTGCTAGGCAGCTGAGGATGTGACAGGGATGCGGGGCCAGCGAGGCAGCAGGGCAAAGAGCAGCCTGGGGAGCCAGTGGGAGCCAGACGTGGTGGGCAGCGAAGGGCTGCAGGATGGCGGGAGGTAGGGGCACAGGACTCGATGCCCAGGCACCTGGGCCCTGCCATGCACTGGTGGAAAGGGGCTGGCACCCCTCTGGGGATGGAGAGCCTGGTGGGCCCTGGGGAGGGAGCCCATATCCAACAGCCCAGCAGGGCCAGGCTGCAGGGCTGGGTGGGCCCTGGGCCCATGTCTGGCCGGAAGGGCTTCCCTGGGCGGTGGGAGGAGGGGCTGGGCTCGGCTTTGATCCTGGTGCTGGAGGCCCGGGTAGCGCCCGGCAGGAGGTGGGCACAAGAAAGGCTGCACTTGAGCTCTGCCTTGAGCTTGGGGCTCCCAGCCTCTGGCACTGATGCCCAGTGGGCACAACACACAAGGGACACAGGTGGCAGTGTTCCCCAGGGACCCCCGCACTCTGCCCAGGCTAGGAGGCCCAGGGAGCAGAGACCGATCTCTCAGCCACCCCACACACAGGGACTCAGTGGGCACTGCAGGACTGCAGGCAGAGGAAGCAGAGTGGAGCTCGTTTACATCTGCACTGGAGGGGAGAGGCAGGAGGGCACACTCCCCACACCAGCAGAGGTGTTATCTGGCGGCAGCTGCGTGCCACCTGATAGCTGGCACGGTGGGGAGGGGGGTGCCCCACCAGCTGTGCACAGCTGTCCCTGCTGCCGCACAGCGCCTCTCCAGCTGTTCCCCGTCCTGCAGCTGGGCTGCTTAATTGGCGATTTGTCCCAGCCCAGGGAGAGACAGCCAGGTGGGGGTGGGGATGCAGGAGGGTGCTGGGGATGCGAGTGTGGGGGATGGGACGCAGGGAGAAGTGAAATGGGCAAGCACCAGAGCAGACAGCTGAGAACAAGAGCTCGGAGGAAGGCGTCTGTGGAGCCGCGTGGCTGAGGACTCCGGCAGGAACCAGCGCACCCGGGAAGCCCTCGAGGAAGGGCGCACCTGCCCTGCTGAGGCATCTCCAGGCCTCTGCACCCGCCTGCCTCCAACACCCGCCCACCCCAGCCCTGACAACAGAGCCATCTCCAGGGCTGCAACCGGACAACGACAGTGACCACCTGAGCTCACCCACATAGGCAGCTCTGAGCCCCAGGCCCAAGGCCTCCCCTACGTCCTTGGGTCTCCCTGCTGGGAGCCACCCCCACCACATGCTCATGTATGCACACACACACTCATACACGTGCACACGCACTCCTCTGAAGGGCTCTTTGGGCACTTGGCTGCTCGGTCAGTGGCCAGGACTGCTCAGAGTGCCTACAGGCCTGAGCGGCTTCCTCTGCCCATGCCCCCTCGTCCCTGAGCCCTGAGCTTCCCTGCTCAGACACCCGTTCCCTCAGAGCCAGCACTCGTGTAGGGGTCCCATACAGAGCTGGCGTTGCCCCAGCGCCCCTTGCCCTCTGTCCATCGCCCCAGGTGTTCTTGGCAGGGCAAGGCCCAGGAGCACGTACCTGCGTCCACATCATTGGGCCACCCGCTGGACTGGCTGCTGCCGGCTGCTGGGGAGCGGCCAGTGCCGGGGTAGAACACATCGTCCACCGGGCTCTCCATCTCGCTGTCATCGATGGACTTGGGGCGCTTGGTGGTGCTGGGGAGGCAGAGTAGGTCAGACAGGCTGAGGCCAGGCTGGGGAACAGGTAGGAGCCACGCAAGGCCGACCCCGGGACCCCATGGCCCTCAGCCCTGCCATCTTCTCCTGCTCCAAGGCCATGGAGGGGCTGCCAGAAGTGGGCAAAAACCCCTACCCCCAACCTCTTTGGCCCCACCCAAAAGGCTAACTCCTGTCATCCGAACAGAGACTGTTTTAGGGAGGGGCAGGCAGAGCGGTGCCCCCGTGATCCGAGCTACACTCAGGAGGATCACCAATTCAAGGACAGTCTGGGTGAATTAGCAAGACTCTGAAAATAAAACCCAGTCTGAGTTATAGCTCAGGGTTAGGATGCCTAGCATTTGCAAGACCCTAACTTCAATCTCCAGCACCACAGTAAAAAACAAAACAAGAACACTTTAATGTAAGATTTTAAAAAACGAAAAGAAGGTGGAAGGATTGCTGAGAGTTCAAGGCCAGCCTGAGCTACAGAGGGAGCCTCAACTGCATCATGAGACCCTGTCTCAAAAAGACAAATAACAAACAAATCCCCAAAAGGAGCCAGGCTTGGTGGCACATGCCTGCAACACCAGCACTCAGGAGGCTGAGGCAGGAAGATCACCATGAGTTCAAAGCCAGCCTGGGCTACATACCAAGACACTGTCTCAAAAACCAATAAGTAAATACATAAATAAATAAATAGCCAAAAGAAGGCACTAAAACCTCACAATGAACAAAAATACCTTCATTTTTAAAAGGCCAGGCCCAACTTCTGCTGCAGGGCCAGCTGTCTCCAGTTCCGGGGGCCCCTTCTCACTACACATGATACAGCTCTCGCTGCTGGAAGAACTTTCCAGAATACCCACACCCAGCACACGCTGCTTTGCACACTTGCAGGAAGGGAGGAGGATGCCACCCCAGACTCCAGGACAGTCCTCCCAGGGTCCAGTCCCCACCATGGTCCCGAGCCACAGCAGTGGGGGAAGGTGGGGCTGCCGGTTGGGCTTACCTGGTGGAAGGAGGGGAGGTGATGGACCTCCGTCCCAGGGTCACCTGGTTGATGTTGTAGTAGCTGGGGCTCTCCAGGTCCGCCAGGGAGAAGTTGGGCCCTGAGGCCGTGGCAACAGGGGCTGGAGGAGAGAGGTCCATGAGGCCCAGGAGGGGCAGATGGATGGTCAGGGCCCCCAGGAGCCAGGCCCAGGGTCCCAGTCCCCTCCTGCCCTGCCCGGCCCACATCCCAGGGGAGCACTCACTCTGAGACACTCTCACCAGCTCTGTCACGTTCCAGACCCCAGAAGTCACAAAACAGTCCTGGAAGCTGAGGTGCCCTGCAGGGGGAAGAGGGCGGTGAGTGGGCTGGGCTGGGTGCCGCCTGCTGTGCCCCATGCTGCATCCAGCTCTGCCTGGGGGACACTGACCGTTGGGCAGTGGTTTGATGTCCGCATCTCCTTGCTGGTTTGAACTGTCTGATTGTCCGGATTCTGCAGGAGACAAAACAGGATGCTGGTCAGGAGCAATGTGGGGTGCCCAGGCCGGCAGAGCACCTGCCCCGGGCCCTGTGCAGGAAGGTGGGCGACCCAGGCCCTCCAACCACAGCCAGTGGGGCGACCAGGACAGCCCCAGGGCAACATTCGGCCTCTGCCCTGGGCGCTGTGGGGCAGGTGCTGGGGTCCCAGTCTCTGCCTGCCAGAGGCCATGGCACCCCAGCCATGATCACCGTGCACTTCCAGACACTGCGCCCCCAACAGTTCCCCCAGAGGCAGTGGCAAGGGAGGTGTTTGGGGGAGAGCCCAGCAGCCACGTAGTCCTCTCCCCCCAGCTCAAGCCACCAGTGGGGCAGCCCTGTCCCCAGTGCGCTCAAAGCCACACCGTGGGCCCTGTCTCACCCCATGTGCCAGCAGGCAGTGCCTGGCAACCCGGAGGGGGCGCGCCCGGCCGCCCTGTGCCAGCCTGTCTAGGCTGCCTCTGCCCCAGGACCACAGCTGCTCCAAGGAGTCCAGACAAGGGCCCATTGTGCCGTGGATTTCGGGAAAGCTGGGGGCAGGGAGGTGTGTGTGCACGTGTGCATGTACACGTATGTGAACATTTTTCTGAGTTTGGGAAAGCCCCCCCCACCCCTGCCCCAGGTCCTCCGAGCTCCATGCCAGGGGCACGCCAGGGACCTCCAGGATGCCTGCCCGGGCATGACAGCCCATGGGGGTGGGGGCACTTGGTGCAGGATCGGCAGCCGGGGACAGGGAGGCGGCATCTGGGCACGGTGCCTCGGTACATCCAGCGCCCGGCTTGGCGAACCTCACAGCCCCCACCCTGGAAGGATGGGCGGCCCAGTGGGCACCAATGTCCCGCCCATGCCTACCATGCTAAGTGCCAGGCCCCTGCCTCCCTCCCTGTACCAGACAGAAAGGGTGCAGGTTTGGGGCCCAGGTCCCATCCTTCACCCCTTCCGATGGTTAATTCCCGAAAAAACAATGGCTCTCCTGACCAACCCAGGAAGCCCGCTGGAGACAAAGGCGTCAGTCCGAGCCAGCGATCAGAGCCTGTGGTTTGGGCACCCCCACCCCTCCTCTGGAAGGGGGTCCCACCGCACATCTCCCTGCCAGGGGCATTTCCTGGGCACCCGTCTCCTCCCCTACTCCAGCCTGAGGCGGTGCAGGGCAGGGTGGGGCCCTCATGCAGGTGTGGACGCTGGCCATGGCCCAGCTGGGCGCGTCTGGCCCCCCACGCACTACAGACCCTGGCGGGGGACTTAGCCAGGTCCCTGACCCCTGTGGGCCGCTCCCCATCGGCCTGCAGGGTGCACGTGGCTGGAAGGGCTCTGCTGGCCCTTCGTGGGCTCAGGCTCAGGCGCGGCGCCGGCCGGGCCGCTGGCAGCCATCTTAGCCCTTGGCAGCCATCTTACGCCGCCTCGGGCCAGAGGCAGGCAGGAGCTGCTGGGCCGGCGGCGCTGCAGTCCGGACAGCTGGCCAGGGCCACCCGTCAGCCGGCCGCAGCCCTGGCCAGGCCCTGCCGGCCCAGCAGGCGCAGGTCCCTGGCCATCAGGCCACCGGACATCCCAGATGGACGGGAGGCACCTGTGCCCTGCCTACCTCCGCAGGGCCTCAGCCGGACCCGGGATCCCCAGGGGGCCACACACAGCCCTTGTTGGGGCTCCCTGGTGATGGGATGGCACAAGCAGGGACTCTGGACAAAAGGGGGCTGCGTGTGCCACCTCCCTGGCCCTGGGTGCTGGCTTTTATCTGGCAGAGTGGCTGGCGCTTATCAGAGCCACCAGCTGAACAAACACACAAATCCACGTTAGGGGACTCCGCGCCTGGGCGCTTTATCTCCCACCCGCAGCCGTTGCCCACTGCCAACAGCCAGGAAGACCCAGGCTGCGGGGGCTCACGGCCCTGCTCCCCTGCCCTCCTTGCCCCGGCCGGGCGGTGTCTTGGCTGTCCCTGCCCACCCGCCGCCTTCTCCTGGGACAATGCACCAGCTGGCGGCCTATGGCCCGCGGAGCGCAGGGACAGCCATTGGCACAGGGCAGGCAGGGGCTGGCTCCTCATCTCCATCTCCCGCCCTCTCCTGCTTGGCTGTACCTAGGACAGGGCCGGCCCCCCTTCATCTGACCACCCCGGCTGCAAGAGCCTGAGGGCCCAGGGGTCCCCCTCAAGGATGCACCCCAGCTGCCCTGCACCCACTCTACTCCAGCGTTCCAGCAGCTTCCTGCATCTAGGAGGTGGTGGCCTCTCCTGCCTGCGCCCTAGAGGACTGGACAGGCCCTCGGCCACTTGCTCAGGACCACAGGTCACGGCTGGCTCAGTCCAAGCCCAGGCCCCAAGCCCAACACGGACACCCGACATCCAGGTCCCTGCCCAGGAGAGGCCATGACCCCTGGGCGCTGCTGACCGGCACCTTCTCCAAGCCACCACCCTGCCCCACCCTCCTCCCATGGCTGCCTGTCTGGGGCTCCTGCGGCGCTGTGGCCTCTGTAGGGGGCCAAGCGGGCAGGTGATGAACCTGGACCAGGCAGCAGAGCCTGAACTGGGACCAGGGTCCAGGTTCCAGATTCCGTCCACTGCAGCCACAGACAGCTGGGCAGACACCCCCTGCCTCAGGGACCACAAGGTCGTCCTTGGCTGCCCCACTGCAGCTCTCCCACTGTGTGCACGTGCGTGTGCAGGGGACCCCGGTGCAGCCAGCATGTGTCCCTGACACAGGGCTGGGGCTGCGCCCACCTCCCCCAGCCCCAGTGCAGTGTGGGACACAGCACTGCAGCCCAGCCCTGGCTCCCCGGCACGACACTCCCTCTGCCCACCTGGCCCCCTGGCTTGGGGTCTAGCGCTTCCAGGGCCCTGGAAACCCAATCTTGAGGACAGCCAGAGGCCCAGCCTACAGCCGTGGGAGCCACAGAATGTCACCATTGTGCCTCCTGAAACCCAAGTCCAAGAACCCGAGACACCCCAGGAGGGGTGGGGGGCTGGGGGAGGGCGGGTCGCCGAAGGGTCCCCTGCCCGTGATGGCAGACAGGACACTTGTGGGGCTGAGGATGTCCCTGAGAATGCAGGGCATCCAGAGGGCAGTGTGAGGCGGGGCTGGGCCGGCCAGGCATCCTGGACCCCATCCTGCTGGGTGCCCCAAAGCCCCAAGGGCCATACCCTCTCACAGACCTTGGAGCTGTCCAGAGGGCCAGCTCCGGCCTCTGCCACCCCCAGGCTCAGTCCAGAAGCAGCAGCCCCCAGGATCTGAGCCCCAAGTTGTGGTTGGGTGCCCGGGGGTCCGGGTGCCCCTCAACCACCCCACCATCTGCTCCTCATGGGGCCAAGGTGGCTCAGCCTGTGACTGGAATCTCCTGCTTGGCACTAGTAGAGGGGAGGTGACAGAAGAAGGAGAAACTGAGTCACACCCACAGGGACCCAGCTCCCTGGTGCTGTGCAGGGACCGGGCCTGGCTCCCATGGGACACCACGCGGCCAGGAGGCTTTGTCTAAAAGCCTGGGCCTCGGCCACTTTGCAGTCGGGATGGCTTGTCCTGGGGCCTGGCATAGAGGGGAATCGGGCAGCGGTCAGGATCGGCCAGGCTCAAACAAGGCACCAGCGGGGTGCAGGGTGAAGGTGCTGGACCCCCATCTCTTTGCTACAACCTCACGCCAGGCCCCAGCAGCACCAGGACAACGAGATGGCCAGCACTATGGCCAGCATTGGCCCTGGGCCTCGGACACGAGGGCCCATGAAGGTCACACATAGGGCTTGCACCCCGGCAGCACTATCCTGGGGTTTCCAGGGGGGCCGGGGCATGGGGTTCCTGTTGGGGTTTCCTGGTCAGAGCAGGCAGAAGAGGTGCTGGAAGAAGGGCCTGGGGGCTGCGTGTCAGCTGCACACCAAACCCCAGGGCGCCTCTGCCCAGGTCAGGGTCAATGTAGTTCTTGCTGCAGAGACTGCAGTGGGGCTCGGAGGGGCCCCCTGCACATGGACAGAGCCGGGAGGGTCACCCCGGGGTGGGGCAGGTGCCTTCCTGCTCAGGCTGGAGGGTGGTAGGGAGAGTGCCCCGCTGAGACAAGAGGGGCTCACAACAGCGAAAAGGGACTGTGCCTATCTCCCCGCTGGATTCCGGGCCGGCCAGCCTCAGCCTGCTTAGGGACAGTGGGCCAGGGGCACCTCCACCACCACGTAGCCAGCAGCCAAGGGCTCAGCCCAGAGCATGGAGGTGGAGCTCGGGCAGGTGGTCCCCGCCTTCGAGGCCTTGGTGCCCTGTCTGGCCTGATAGGTGGACACAGACAATGTCAGGAAAGTCAGGGGTCCCCAGCGGGGCCCACGGGGCTGCCGCCCTCCTGGCCTCTGTCTTCTCCCAGCACTGCCCTTTCTGGCCCTCCAAGCCGCCAGGCCAAGGTAGCCAGACATCCGCCCCTACCCCCAGCTGCTCTTAAGGCTATTAATAGTGCCCCCAGCTTCCCAGGGCCGGGTATCACCCTCCCCTCACCCCAAACAGATTTGTCCTTGGTCTAATTCTTCATGGAGGGACAGAGCGCACTGGGCCCCGATGCCAACCCCGGATGAGACGGGCAAGGCCAAGGTTCTGAAGGCATTGGGGTTTGCCAGGGACAGACAGGAGCTGGAGTGGGGGAGTGGTAAACCCCACTAAGGACAGGGAGCCCCGGGAAACATGTAAAACCAGAAGAGGAAGAGCCGGGTAGACAGGGGAAGAGAGAGAAGATGGGAAAGACTGCAGGGTGAGCGGAGAGAAAAGAGGAGGAGGAGGGGTGGCACACGGCATGGGGAAAACCTCCCCAAAGGCACGCAGGAGCCAGGCATGTTGGCGCACACCTGTCAGCCCAGCACCTGAGGCTGAGGCAGGAGGATTTCCCTGAATCCTAGGCCGCCCTGGGTTACACGGTGCCTTCAGGCCTGGCCTGAGCTATGTAGCGAGACCCTGTCTCAAAAAAAAAAAAAAACAAAAACAAAAAAACGAAAAAAAAAAAACACAGACTTGGGCAGCTTCATGG